ATTTATCGTGGATTGACATCAGATGTGAAAAAAACCTCTCGCATTAACTGAAAAAACTATTTTGTTATTCAATTTTTGTTATTCAAAACTAATTTTTCTATCAAGTAGCACGGAGAGTGTCTGTTATGGACTATATAAGGGCATGTATTTGTTTACGTACGGTTACACTCAATGTATAATTAAGCATATTTCCACGAGGCGCTTACGTATTTATGTCCTACTCTAAACAAATAAGACACGTATTTGTTAACAATAACAGCTACGCTCAATTAAAAGATGTGTTGTGGTTAAGGTATACTCTCCACTGGAATAAAGTGTATTTAAGGCTTACGTTCAACCAAGAGGGCATGTATTTGTTAAAGACTACGCCCAAAAGGGACATGTGTTAAGGCCTACGTTGCAAGGAGTTGTATTTGTTACAAGGCCTAAGCTCTACTGAAAGTGTTTTAAGTAATATTTGCTACAGAAAAAAAATGAGATTAACACATGAGTTTCGGATTAAAGACTGATAGGACATTTTTTCCCACGTTTACTTTAACTTGCTTTCGCGTCTGTTTGTTTGTTTGGTTCTCCAATCAAATCTTGCGATCGAAATTTCGGGCACTTCCCAGTTAGCTAGCGCGCTGAAATTTTTACAGGGAAGCTTTGTTTCCGATGACAATAGAATATTCAATTGTTATTATTACTAAATTGATCCATGTAAACATTTTATTGATAATTTTAGACCACTATATAATTGTACCAAAAACGTGGGAAAAGGGGACAACCCAGTCATTGTAATTTGATGAAAACAAGGTTCGGTACCGTGGGTTTTTTAAAACTTTTTTAATGATAATTATTTAGTAATGATTTAGTACAGGAAACATGGTAAGGTAGCTATAGTAAGTGAGACGTGTTTGTCTCCCTTTTCATTTCATACCTAACTCATCAAAAACACGGTTCATCTCGTTGTTATTTCATGTAGTGTTTCATTCATTTTATGTGTAGCTCATGTGTAAAGGTCCATCCATCTCATAGCCAGTTCATCTAAAGACCCACTCATTTCATACCTAGTTCACCCAAAGCACAGTTCATCTCGTAGCTAAAGGTCTATTGATCTATCTCATAGCTGGATCATCTAAAGGTCCATTTATTTAATGTAAACTTCATCTTAAGATCAATGCAACTCATAGTTACTTTACCTAAAGGTTAATCATCTCATAGCTAGTGTACTTAAAGGTTACTCATCTCATAGCTACTTTACCTAAAGGTTAATCATCTCATAGCTAGTTTACCTAAAGGTTATTCATCTCATAGCTACTTTACCTAAAAGTCAATCCATACCTATTGCATCCCCAGGTCCAATCATTTCATATATATTTTATCCATATATCCATTCGTTGTATTATAGTTTATCTAATCGCTAGCTTAATTTAATTACTTGGTTCTTAACACACCCTTCATTTAAAATTTAAAGACAACCGAACTAGATACCCAATACAATAATACAGTTTTAAGTATTTAAATCTAGTGTTCAATCATATCTGAATGATATGTCCTAAAGATCAAATGACGCTATAAGGACATAAAAAAACAGATGACTAATTATTTTAAACACATGACTAATTTATATATTTAGTTTTTTATCCACCACGGCATGTTTTTGGCGAGCTGCAGTAGTCTGTAGTCACCAGTCTGAATGGTGACACTGCAGTAGTCACCTAATCGATACTGTGTTCACCAATCAACTCGCTCCCAACACTGACTTGGTATATAATTAAATTCTGACTGATTGGCTTTTGGAGCAGAAGTGAAACTATCGATCGCCAGTCATGTTTTCCCGCGGATGAACGGAGCTTCGTTTACCAGTAGTGGAGCGTAGTCATCAATTACGCTATTGTAGTGGCCTGCTGTTGTTTGGGTGTGGTGTTGGGAATTAGTTCCCAATTTTTAACTGCCGAGCCTGGGGCGTGGGTTCCGTTCTAGATCGAAGATTTGCAGACGAACTGGTTTTTTTATCGCAATTCAAGCATTTTATTGAAGAGTTTAAAAGCGGTTTTAAATAGTGGGGAAGTGTGACACATTCTTTTGTTTTTAACGTATTCTTTAGTAGGCCATTTTCTAAAAACGTACTCCTTCTAGAGTCGTGGGAGATGGAGGGGGGGGGGGGGGGTCGTCAGAAACGTAGAATATTCTACCCATTTTAAAAGATAACTTTTCTGACTGAATTTATGAGGTCATTTCTTTTTTTTTAATAACTTCTTAAAAATTATAATTTAAAAAAAATTACCAGTAAATCAATTGTTGACTACTATTTTAGAAAGAAATCACTCCTTTAAATTTCATTTGGGGAACTGTTATACTAGTTAAGTAAAATATGTCTATTTGTTTAAGGAGGGAGGGGGGGGGGGGGCGTTTAAGAAAAGGCGTGACGTCATTTTGGACGAACCTTAAATCCCAGCATTTACGACATTAAAATTGCATCTAGAACAATGGCGACGGGGCATAACTCTGCTGATCTAATCTCCCCTGCATGCGTTATGATTGAGGGGAAAAATGAGTTGCACACACATGACACAAGTTGCTTGAATATTCTACAACAGGCTACACCAAGTTATTCTTCCTAAATTTTTCAACGTGTTGGGGTCGCAGAGTGCAATCACTTTTTTGTTCCTACCGGTCAGTTATTTTTAAATGTGTCCTTAAGCTGTCCGTCGATTTGAGAAATATTGTTTTAATTCACCTTGTGAAAAAAAAATGGTTTCTAATATATTGATAACTAATTTCTCTCCACTAAGGTTTTTTTTGCTTCAAGTTATCCGCTCTAGGGATTGATATTACAAAAGCAAAAAGAACGGCGTGGTACAACGGTGGAGTCAATGACATAACCCCTATGTTCGGTTCGTGGGTAGTAGAGTCCCTGAGTGCACCCAGCTCTGATGGGTATCTGACTGACGAGAAGGGTAGTATTAAGGCGTCTAGTCCTGACTATGCTACCCTTTCAATTGAGGTCACAAACAGGTGAACTCTACTTCATCTGCCAGGTGGGAGGGGTACCAACATGGAGAAGAGGAGACAGGTACTAAGGTCATCCTGAAACGAGCAGGAAATAACAGGGAGGAGTAGAGGTTGACCAGCATCAGTAGGCCTACTATAGGTTGGTTTTTCTTAATACCTCAGACGGGTATCACGTTTTGCTCTTTACTTGTACTTTACAACGGTTTAAATAAACAAAACTAGGTTAAAGAAATGATCATTTTTATTGGACCATGATGTTCCAGGACTCAACTACAGCAGTGAAACAGAACAAAACGTGATGAAGTTAAAGGTGGAATTACAAGCACATGTAAACCTATTGGCATTCACTTGAATAGTACTGTGTTCTATATTTTAATCCAGTCAATCTTGTTGGTGTAACAATTTAAACTTTAGCTTTCTATTTTCACAAAGGCATAAAGATTATAAAACAATTATTTTAATTTAAATATATATCAATACCGATGAAAACGATGTAATCAAGTACTTTCCTCACTCCATTTTACCCCAAACAAACGAGCATGCAGAAAATCTTGGGAGGAGCACATATTTTCCAAACTCAGGAAGACAAAACAAACATGTGGATAAAATTGTCTTTATTTAAGTTTGAAAAAAAAAATCACCATCATAGAGCCCTAACATTGAAGGGTATGGATCAAACCTCATACACCCAACCACAAAATTCTGGTCTAAACAGCTTAGATAGATCATTCCTACACATGTATATTAAATCATTTTTTTAAATCAAAATAAAACCACTTTACTTTTTTCAACTCAGGTTCATTTAGGGGGAGAAAACACTTCATATTCCATACAGAAACAATACTAGAGAGAAAAACTGTACATTATACAAATTTCAACATGTTTCTCAATATTGTTCAAAAGTCAAAACAAAAATGAACTATCAAATGGCAATAAACGAGGCGATGAAAATAAAATGGAATGCACAACACCACAGCGAGAAACAATACCTGCAAACAGGACACACACTTAGCGCAATGGATGATAAAAACACACTGTTGACCAGACACATTCTAAATGAGCACATGACCCCAGACCAGATTTGAGATGCCCACAAATAAACTGACCACTAGGTCTAGGACCAGCTCTGCTCCCCAGGTCCAACAGTGATAAATTTTAAACAAGCACTGTCCTTATTGACTCAACTGCATCAAAGCAGGGAGCAGTTAATATGGGGGCAAGTTTTTACCAAGCTAATAAACAACTATATTTCCCAGTCTGGCTTTAAAAATGCATCAATCAGTTGAAAATGTAAGGTGGACATTATTTATATCAAACTTAAATGTGGACAAATGAGAAAATAAATAAAAGGGGTCAATATTACTTCCTGCTCCAGAGGCCTGGTTCAAATCAAAAACATGAATGAGATGATATGACAATACACAACCTACAATACGAAAGGCTTGACATGAATTGGTTGTGACTGATCACCATGGGAGTGAAAATTGAATCAGGCTATACAATGCCCCAATGATAAACAATACATAATTCTAACTTGTTTAACAATGATTAACTTTCAAACTATGTTCAAAACCTGAAAACAAAAAGCAAACAACTGTAATTCTTATTTTATGTATAACATTACAGAAGAAGCAGAATTTAACTTGTATTATTATGTAAAGAAAAAAAGCATTAGTGAGTCAACGTGATTAATTAAAAAAAAAAACCTCTACTATATACAAACAACAATATTAAGCTATGCTTGTCAACAGTTTATGTATAGTTCTGAGTCTTCTCAGTAACGACTTGTGAATGCCAGTAATAAATTTTATAGTTTAAAAATAATTTGGAAATTAATTTCTAACCTGTTGATAAGTATCAGCAAAAAATTCCTTAGAATAAGAACAATGATGATGATCACACAACACCCACAGTGAACATCCATCCTTACAACTGACAGGTCATGAAATGTATTTTCTTTTTCAACATGTACACCAGGGAGACACAAAGTGATTTCTCTCTGTAGTCCAGCCAGCTCTAGCACTAACGCTAACAACAAACTACACCATTTTAAGCTAAACCAAAACCTTCAGAACATTCACTTATAGCCAACAGCAACATCTTCCTTAACTTGTCGTAGGTTTCATAGGCTGGGAGATCCAATTGGTTAAAGCTGAGGAAAACAAACAGTTCATTACAGCTTTACTCAACACTTTTAGCATGTTCAGTATACTAATCTAACTTAAGAATAGTTTAACAATGTGCTACTGGTAGAGCACCTAACTGCTAACATTATTGTCTCATTACAGTGTTTTATTACATTTCTTGAGGACTTATCTGTAGGACATCCTTAGTCCATAACACTGATGGAAGGTACTTTTAAAGACAGGGGAAACAAAATGTAGCTGGCCATTTAGTAATGACCAGATCTTTTTTACAAAGAAAAATGAACTGTACTTCAGCTAACATCCAGATTGTCAAGTCTTAAGAGATACATGACCTATTACATTACTCTAGTACTTACCAAGTGTGGGCTGATGGTAGGCGATCTGTAGATCTATCATCTCTGTGGATCTGGAACTTTTGGGTGCCATTCATTCCTTCCAAGTTACCAAAGCCACCCAATGGCACTTTGGAAGTACCAGTGACAAACTGCAAGAAGTTGGCTCTCTCTGCCTGATCAAAGGAACGTAAAGCTCTCCAGAACCACTGGATCTGCAGGACAATTAAGACATCATTTATCAAAATCAGTTAATGTAAACTATAAATTGCTTACATTAAAAAGTGCTAAAAACCAACAAATCGAAACCATACCTGCAAGCTTGTTGCCTGATACTTATGGTACTCAGTGTTAGCCTTCAAATCATCAATATCTATAGTGGGCAATCCAGATATCAACAGTTCAAGTTCTTGTTCAGTAAATATTGAGACCAGCTTCTTAGGGATAATATCATAGAAGCCTTCCAAAAATGCATTGAGCTGCTGTCTAATGGCACCAGTCATCTTCATCTGGCATACAAGCTTAACATACTCCCGTTTATTTTCATCAGTAACAAGGACATTTGATCCATTGGGGATAAGTTCTCGAGTTTCTGTCACACCAAACTCTTGAATCTGTGAAACAGGTTCACACATTTTTTATAAGCATCTTCTAAACCTGATATATGTAATTTTTGAATTTTTCAAAAATATATCAGATATTCTATTGTAATCAAATCTAAAAAAAAACTGACAATAAAAAAATATTTTTAAATGGAGAAATTTCTATAATATAGTTCAAACAAAAATAAGCTGAGAAAGATATTAGAACAAATAACAGCTGTAAAGAAGATTTTAGAAATTAGGAATCATTACCTCTGTACTAAAGAAGATATCATAACCCAAATCAGTGACATTGTTCTCCAGCAGGAATACAAGGCCTTGATAGAATGAGTAATCCTCGCTCTCCATGTCAGTGTACTTGACAGCCAGCCCTAGCATGTGCTTGTAAAAGGACCGGGTGAAGTAGCAGTCCAGCAGCTTGTTGTCATATACTGCTTTAGCAATGATCCGGCCAACAAACTTGAAGTAGCTGAGGTGGTTGCTGTTGCAATGGGAGGATGGGTTGATGCTGTAGGTGACCCGGTCACCAGGGGATGTCAGGAAGAGTGCATAGTTTTGGTTGAAGATCTCGTGAGAGATGATTATGTACCACTCTCTAAGAAGCCCTCCAGCATCTTGACCTTCTTCACCTAATCAAAGAGAAAACACAGTCAGTAAAAACTAGGGGAAAATATAAAAACAAGCTAAAAACTAATACTAATGTATAAAATTCTGTTTCCATTGCAAGTACCTTCAAAAACAATGTAAAATCTTTGCTTCCATTCCTCTGGTGTCCGCCTGAACAATTCCCTAAAAGAATCTTCAAAAACATTAGATCTGCGAACATGCACAGGTAAATCCTCTCTCCGTGCGCCTTCATTCATGCGCTCAAGTTCCTGCCTAAAGTATCTTCTCTTGACATCAAAGTCTAATATTCTAGTATAATCCACTAAAACAGAGAAGGGTCCTTCAGCAAGAGGAAGAGTTGACTGCCTCAAAATTTGGTTTAAAACTGTTCGATGTGTCTCTGAAATATTTAATTTCATTTTTTAACGGTAGTCATATTTTTAAATGGATTTTTCCATATCTTTTTAAAAACTTCACCAAAATACATCAGAAAGAATGTTTTCACAAACTGCATGGAAAACAAACCTGCAAACTTGAGGAACTTTTGAGTATCAGGTGGAAGGTGTGTAATTGAAGCCATAGCTATTCCTGAGTTATCCCTTGCTAGGAGAGATAAAGGTCCTTCAGCAGATGAAGGACCAGGGGAGGGACTGGGTGGTGCCATCTCCATGTTTAGATGGGCCAGCTGATCTTCTCGTCTAGCTAGAGGCTGTTCACTCGGCTTGCTGCTCTTCTCACCTAAAATATGACCAAACACTTTTCTTAAATATTCAATGTGGAAACCACGTATCTATAAATATAAATAAATTAAATAAAAAATTAAATTGTTTGATGAAAAACAAAACATCCCCCAACCCTCCCGAAATAATTTATGATTTCTAATAACAATAGTTAAGTACTCACCAGCATGAACGATGAAAAAAGCTTCAACTGCTGGTTGCAATATAAGGACAGCATGGTGATCTGGTGTGCGAGCCAGTTCTGCCAGACAGTAACCTAGAGTGTTCCACAGTTCTTCCAGGCCCAGCTGTTCACTGAGACGAGGTAAGGTTGTGGAGCCACTCACTTGGGTCATAGAGGACACAGTTTCTGACACTTTACCATCACTGTCAGTAGCAGCACCTCCTAGTGTTAACAACATTGGATCCCATGTTTAGATTTTCATATTGTTACAGCTCAAACATATCTTACTAGTCTCATACCAAAAGTACATTTATGTTTCATTTATTTTTCTTTTCAGGTTATGTTATAAACTTTTATGTCTATTTCTTTTTAGTATAAAGAAAAAAATGACTAAAAGCTTAAGTTTTAATAAAATTTATAGCAAAATACTAAAATGGTTCTGTATTATACTAAAACTCAATGGCAAGAACTTTTTCAGCAAAATTTGTGGCACTTTTCTGGGTATAAGTTTAAAAACAGTCACAATTTTTTTTTAAATATGGCATTTACCTGTAGCAGTAGCCAAAGAATCAACTTCCATGGGTACTTCAGCTGCCCTAGATATCTCTTCCTGTCCTTGGCTGGCCTGAGACTGGCTAACTGTTGGTCCGTCTGGAATAGAGGATCTATTGGTTGTGGTAGAAGCTGTTCGTCCAGCAAGTTGAGCCACAACATTAGGAGGCTCTGGCAACATTTGGTTATCACCAAACAGGTTGAGAAAATCATCGTCATTAACCACAGAATTTAAAATAGCATGAATCTGTTCAAAGCCTGAGCGACCTGAGGAAAAGTAACGTTGGGTCAGCAGGTGATTAAGATAAAATATCAACTTCACAATATTTAGTCAGCGATTAAAAGAATGTAGGATATCAACAAAATGACCAGATAATATATGAAAGTGAGATGTAAATTTCTGCAGCGTTCACCTCTGCCTCGACCAACAGGCTTTTTATGCTTGTTGCCTGCAGTCCTTGCAGCATCACGGAGCTGAATGATAACTTTGAGGATCCTGAGGAAAAACTGCTGCCCAGATGTCTTGCTGGTCAGCTGTGACATGGATGGAAGCTGCAGTTCACGGCCAGTTTTGAGCCTTGCAGGTGCAGAGACAACAATGCTAGCACCACTTGAAAACCTGGCAAGATATTTTTAGATTGTTAACATTATACAATGCCAGACAATTCCAATTTCCAAAACATAAAATATGCCAAGTTCTGATCCAGAATAGATGGGGTAGTGCAACCAACAACTGCTACATAAACATTGTTACACTTATTAGAAAACTGCCACCTCCTCAACAACTATGAATGAACACAAAACATGCATTGATAAATGTTGAGTATTTAACTTAGGATACTCTAGTAAACACACTAGTAATGGGGTTTTTAAAAGAATTAGCTTTACCTATCTTGTAGAATTCCTTTACCAGGCTGTGAGGCCCCAGAAGACCCAGACCCTGCTGTTGTATCACTACTGTTTTCATCATCCATCAGATCAATCCCCAACTTCAGATTTAAATCTCTCAGCTGTTCCAACAAACTGATGTTCAAAGAAAAAGTATAATGCTTTAGCCCTTAACCAGATGTTGAATAGCAACAAGTCAAGAAAAAAATTGTGGTCTACCAACCTGTTAATATGACTACACACAGTCATGCCAAGCTGTCTAGCACCAGACAAAAGTAACTCCAGGACAGCTGCACGTGTGGCTGTGTTGGCCCAAGACAATTGTAAGAGAAGATTAGTAGCATCTTCAAGACCTTCTTCTGAGCAGGACTTAGAAGTAAGTACCTAGATTTTTTGAGTGTGAATTAAGAATTTTTAAAATCATGATCAGTTTTGTACAAAAATAATTTAAAAAAAAAAATGTGTTTACCTCAACAGCCAACTTGAGTTGATTATATAATATTGGAGCTTCATCCTCCTCTAATTCAGTTTCAATGGTAAGGAGTTCATCTTTCTTCTTACTCTCCTGACCACTTGTTGAAAGCCCTGTTTAATTTAGATGTTTTTTTTTTATAATTTGACATAAGCAAAATGCGCATGATACTGGTTTGGTCCAGATGGCATATAAAGGTAAAATAGCTTACCTGGACTTGCTGCTGGCACTGGTTCTTGTGTGGTGACTGGTGTGGGTCCTGCTGATGTGACAGGGGCAGTTGTTAATGTAGGTGCTGTAGTAGCTGATGTAACCGTCACAGCTGTTGATGCCCTGGCCACAGATGTTGTAGTTGTAGTAGTTGCTGTGGTGGATTGGCGACTGCTGTCTGGTAAACTAACAGAAATGAGACCCAACAGCCTGAGAAGACGATCAGTCAACAGCTGGCTCCTCCTTACAACTGGGTGGTTTAGCATAGACATGAGTTGTCCAAGTGCACTGGCAGCGTAATCGGTCACTAACATTTCCGATTCTGATGTCACACCACTGTGACTTCGCTGTACACCTTTATCAAGAAAATAAAATGGACATCAGTGATAAAACTCAACATTTGTAAAATATTATTGCTAGAAAGGAACAACCTATACTTTTAATAAACAGTAAGAAATTTAATTTAAATCCAGATAATTTAAAACGTATGGTTAGAATAAGTAACAATATTTTTTTTATTAATTAAGAGTGTGGGTTAATCATGTAACGAGTGCATTCAGTTGACTAAAATTGAATGTTTTTTAAATACAAAAGCATAATCCATTAAGTCCATTCTAGTAAAACTAAAGTTTAAGATTGTGACATACAGATTTATATTTTTTCTTGCACTGAAACAAAATTCTAATAATCCTTACCTTTACCCTTGCTCTTTCCTGAAGTGCTATCCAACCTCACAAGAATGCTCCAGAAGTCATTGTCTTGTTTAATTTCATGGCGTGACGGTGTTTCAGCCGGCTTAGCTGACTTTGGACTAGATTGTGATGCAGCAGGTTGGCCTACAGACGTGGATTTCTTGCAGCTGCCAAGCTCAGACTCCTCCCCTGCCTCACACTTATTGACTTCCTTCACTTTTCCAGCAGGTAGGAAATAAGTTGGGAAAACTTTGGCCAGAGATATTAGTGTATCTAAAGCATGCCTGCAGACCACAGGAGCAGCCTGCGGGTGAATACTGACATGAGCAGGGGCTGAGCTGCTCAATTTTTTACCCGAGGTCCTGTGTATTTGAAAGACATTGGCTCTACAACCAAGTGCTGCTTCAAGACTTATCGACAACCAGTAGCCCCCAGCACCTGAACCAACAGGGGTGGTAGCACCAATGCCTAATGGGTGGGATAGGTTTGGTGCACTTGCACTTTCTGATTGCATAGAAACTTGAGTGTCAAATGATGACAGTGACATTGCTGGAGAGCTTGTTAGAGAAGATAATGCAGATTTCTTCCCTTTTCCTTTGTCCTTAGTGTTCCCTTCCACACACAAGTTGCTAGTCAAATGAGTATTGCTATCACCTGCCTTCTGTACTATTGACAAAAGGGCCCGAATAAGCCAAGCCCTAGTGGGTCCATGGTAACACAGATTTCTCAGAACCCTATGTAAACGCGTTGTGTTTAATTTAGGCTCATCAATAAATAATAAAACTAAAAGGCATGTTAAAGCTTCTGCATCCAACATAAATCTACCCTTAACTTTTGTGGGGTTAGAGGTCCCTGTTGGAGCTGGATTAAGACGACTACCACCAAACGACCACTGATTGTGTCTAGGTGCTGCACGAATGGCATACCTTGTACCAAGTCGACCAGCTAGACCTGAAACAAAATAAATTTTATTTTTACAAATTAATCTTTAATCATATTCAATTAGACTAATTCAATGTGGAGCTTTTAACTTTTAGTCTTAAAATTCCATTTAAAATTAGCGAATAAAAAACAAGCAATTATATTATTAAATAAACTTGTCTAAACTAAATAATAGCAAGCACAAGTGATTGCATTTTAACTTTGTCAGCGTGCTAATTTTTTTTTTCAAGGCTAGATGTAGGCAAATCATGATAGAAGTTTTTATAGTAAAGTTTAAAACAAGAGTTACTTCAGTTAAAAAGATATTTTTTAATGCTTCAAGCATAGTTTTTTAGTAGATTTTAGAAATGCAATAAGAACTGCAAAATTTAAAGCTCAAAAATACAAGAAATGTTTTTCAGCTAATGGATTTTAGAAACATGCTTGATTGTAAAATACTGCTCTCTTGGGTATTTTTAGGACTGACCAGAAGAGAGCATCATAATCTCCAATTGGACTCGAACGAAGAATATATAGAAGTTTTTAAACAAGTGATTTAAAAAATCAGCTCTAAGTTTAAGACTAAATTGTGATAAAAGCAAATATTGGGGTAAAAAAAAAGCAATATGTGTGTTTATTAAATGTGCAGCTAATCAGTACATCACATATTTAGCAACTGAATCTATAGTGGAATTTTTAATATAATTCAGTTGATAACATATGGTTTAAAGAGCTTTTCTAAGATTTTCAAGAGATGTCGAAATTATTTGCAATTTTCCTTTTATTTAGAGATTTTTAAAATATTTGTGACAAGTATAAATTTCTGTTCAAATTTTGTCCATAAACACAACGACTTTATAAATTATTGAAATTTTAAAAGATTCCCTAGAATAAATCACATACACTTGGAACAATCAATTTAAAATGTTACTTTAGAAAACAAGATTAAGTGAATTCCTTTTTTGAAAGAATTAGTAGCTAAAAGTGAATGCAACTTAAAAAAAAAACAAGCTGTTAGCATATTACTAGTAAACTATGAGTAGGGTGTTTGTTATAAAGTAGAATTTCAAGCAGCTTAATTTGGGGGAGGGAGAACTACAAAGGCCTAACCGGAGTGCCTGAGAATAGCTGAGATTGAAGCCGCACCAGCCTGAGCAAAAAGACGTTCCTGGAGTAAACGCCGGTGTCTTTCCTCCATGTCCCTGCGTAGCTCCTGTGCCTCAGCTGCAAGTTCAGGAGGTAGTACAGCCAGCATGCTATCATCCATGTCAGAAAGTACCTGCTGTCTAAGGGAAGTGGACAGCGTTGAGAAGAAAGTGGCCGGATCAACAGGTAAATCTGGGTTAGCCGCATTTTGCTGCAGGGCAGCCATTCTTGCTTGTTCTGCTCTTTGTTGTGCTAAAACCTGAAGGGATTCCAATCATTTCCTCTTAAGCATTAGTTATACATTATAGCATTATATATATATATATATATATATATAATATAGTGAAAAGTAAAACAATTTACCTGACAAAAAATCCTTTTTAATAAATATAATGTAGAATAATAGTGACTCAACCCAAAACACTTACCTCTTCTTGGATAGCTGGTGGAAGAGCAGCTAAGAACTCAGGGTTGACTTCCATAGCAGTGCTACTTTCATTTCCTCCAGATTCATTAGCAGAGACACTTTGTTGAGCTTGTTCTTGAGCTCGCCGTCTGATTCTCTGAAGTCGTAACTGCTCAGAGATCACCTCTTGCCTGATATGTTCAGGTAATGCTGCTAAAAACGAAGGATCCACACCTTCTGGTAGTTCAGGGTCTAAAAATAAATTTAAATATTAAGTTAGTTACAAGAACACTTAGAAGCATGAAGTACACATGAGTTTTCCCTCTTCCATTCAGTAAATCGTATTACCAGTGCTGGATCCTCCTTGTTGTGCTGTAGAAGTTGAGTTGGCTCCACTGCTGACCAAAGACACTTCACCAATTCCTCCTGAAACAGTTGGTGCTGTGGTTGAGACAATGAATGGTGCAGTAGTTGTCACAAAAGTCAGGTTGCTGAGTGGGGGTGTAGCTCCTGTGACTCCACTACTGTTTCAGATGCAAGGAAAAAAACAACAATGAAATGGATTTAGTTAATTTATTTTGAACAATTGTAGCATTAACTATTAACTCACATTAGTACATGAGTATATTTTAGCATAAGACTAACCTGTAACCAGGCTGAGTGCTTTGAGGTGAGAGAATACTAGACAGGTCCTGAGTTAGGTCAAGGCTACCACATAATGATGAAGCAGGATTTGTGGATGGTAAAGCTCTGTTCTCCCCCATTAGAGCTATAAAAAAAAAATAACGTAAGTTTAATTTTTAGAGTGTTTTTACATAGTTCAGGTCTTGTTATGTGTACATTTATTAAGCTACTACTGTTAAACTTCCATTTTTAACTTACAAGCTTCATTAAGTGCTGGACTTTGTCTATTTGAGTTTGAAGCAACAGATTGAGAAAAAGACATGGGAGATGTTGATAACCCAGATGTAAATCTTTGCTGTGGATTGGTTGAAGCTGCAGTAGTTGTTGCTTGTATAGTTGGGTCATGAGCTGAGCTTAAAAAGAAATGAGGAGGTGGCACAGTGAAATGACCATCAGGAGGCCATGGAATATGTCTGAAAGGAAACAAATAATGCATTAAATATTTTGATTTTTCTATACATAAAAAAATGGGTGCAGAACTATTTATGTCTAAACTGATATTCAGTTTGTTTGAATGTAACATACTAAAAATAATGAAAATAAAATGTGAAGAACATTTGACAAACCTGACATGCATGGGAGGGCGAGGACTTGTGTGGAAAGGTAGTCCTTGAGCCAAAGATGATGAAAAGGAAGGTGTTGTTGTTGTGCTACTGTTGCTTGAAGTATAAGGTTGGTCAGCCATAATACTGTCCAAAAGCTGGCTGATCATTGAACCTTGGATTGGATTAGCTGTGGGTCTTGTTTCATCTCTTGGGGGTGCGATACCCACAGCCCATCCTTCAAGTGAGGGAGTGTCAATCAGCTGTGGATTCCCAGCACTTGCCACTAATGAAGGCAGAGGATGAAATAAGCCAGGCATAACTGAGCTAAATGAGCTGGTCCCAATGCTAGCTGACATATCAGCAAACTGTGGAAGTGCTGTAGATACACTGCTTGCTTGTGTTGATATCACACTGGGAATGAGCTGGGACTGAGAGGAGAAAGATGTCAGACCTCCAGGATTTGGTATTTCAGGCTGGAATTGTCTGGGGCTAGGCTGAACAGATGATGACTCCGTGGTTTGCCTGTGCTCTGCGCTGGGCGACAGAGAAGGTAAATCTATGCTTGTAAACATGGCATTGGCTGAGCCAGCAGCTGTTGTAGCAGCTGTGGCAGCTGGCTGTGACAGACCTGACATTGAGCTTGTCACCATTGGAGAAAATACTTGTTCTACCATGGCTGAGGCTAGCATTTCTGCGGCTGGTTTAAAAAATAAAATGTGTTAGAAGGATGAATAACGGAGAGCGAGAACACAAAACAGCAAAACTGTTTCATTTAAAAAAGCTTGTGTTGAAAATTAACATCTTTATGTCTTACCTTGACTTGCACTGTTTTCTGTATTTGAAACAGATCCATTGCATGGGATTGCATTAATCGACTGTAAAGAAATATTTTTTAATAACACACTGACTGAAGAATTACAAAAAAATGTCTTTTAACTTTTTAAATAGATGTTAAATATGTGCAAGTTTTCTACACGAAGTCACTATAAATATGTTAACATTCTTTTAAAATGTCTAAATTACAACGCCTAATATTATACATGGATGCTTGAATGCTTATTATCTAAATAAAACGTAAGTAAGAACTTGAAATGTACCCCGGCAGAACTGCTGCTAGCCAAATTCTTCAGTTCATCTTTCTTTTTATCATCTGTTAATCCTGAAGCCTCAGCAGTTTTTTTCCTCTTCTCTTTTCTTTCTGCTAATTCCTCATCTCTTCTTTTAACTAACTCTTCAATAAGAGGTGGCTTCAAAACTAAAAAAAAAACAATTTTTTAAAACAAAGTTAGCAAAACATTTTAATACAAAACTTTTCAGGAATGTCAGAACCTATTTGATAAAAATTGAACAATTTTTATGTTGCTTAAAACCCTCAGATAAAATTACCAACATGTATTGATTTTTTATTGATAAATATTTCAGACCAATACATGACAAGTACTTACTCATGACAAGATCATGGACCCCATCACCATCTAGGACTTTTGTTTCTTCTGTCCACCTAGTTAATGTTGAGGGAATACATGATAAAGCCCCAGTACCTGATGAACCACCATCAGAGTATGGGTCCTGTGGAATAAAACAATGCTATTCTTTATATTCTATATGACAAGAGAAATAAAATTAACCTTACACAAAGAAGCTTAAACTTTCTAAATAAAAATAATCTTTGAAAAAGCACCTGAAACAATTCCTCAAACAAATCATCATCTGGACCTCTTTGTATGACAGGGAAATTATCTCCAGCTAGCACTACCCTGGTGGGTCCTGATCCTCCAGCACTTTGAGCATTACTCAGAGTACTAGTCAGCTGTAGAATTTCTGCTGCAGAAGCAGGGCCAAGTAATCTAAAGAATGGAAATGGAATGGATGCATATAACTGACTATAACCTTCAAAAAAAAAAAAAAAAGGCAATTTATGTTTCAATTTACAATTAACTTAAGAGTTAGTTTTAAGACTGAAAATGAAATCTTGGTTGAATAAATTTAATCAACATTATTTATAACATTTTATGGAGCTAATAAGAAGCCAAACTGAAAAATATAAAATTCTGAATTTAACAAATCACTTAATTCTGAAGAACTATTCATTACATATTTAATGAAGTATTCGAAACAGGCAGTTAACTAATCAGTTTAATTTTGCAATATAAAAAATAAAGTAAGACTACCTTTGCAATATAACTGGTGTGTTGGGCTGCCTGGTAGTTGAGTTCAGATTGACATGCACTGTTGGAAGAGCTCTCAGCCTCTGTCTACTGCCACGATGGCCACGAATAGAGTGAGGGTCTCCTTGTCTCATTAATAATGGATGAGTACTTGTTATATTACTGGGTGCAGGTGGCATACTTGGCACTGGAAACAAAGCTTTACATAAACTCTCTAACGACATATACATTAAAATGACTAGAAATTAGATTGAAGAGAACATAATTATCAAAATTAACAATAATAAACAGCAAATTTTCAGTATATTTTATCATGATAATAATTTTTATCTCCAACAAAAAATTATTACATGTATCAGTTCCATTATCATTATCATGTAGATGAACAGGAAGTTGATAGGTCTGTATTTGGCTAGCATCATTAAAGATAATGTGTTGGCCACCTCCTGAAATGTCAGTTGTATGTCAAGATTATTTCATAGAAAAAAAGGGTTTAGTTGTGAAAAAACAGTGATCAAAGATAGTAGGTATTATGAGTATTGTATCTGTTAAATATTGTCAAGCAAAGTTTGTCATGCATCTGTTATAGTAAAAAAGTGGTAGAAATTTTTGTTTCAAATTTAAGTTTTGTGAATTGAAGAAGAGAGACAAGTTACTATAAATTAATGAAAAGTTGACATAGAGAGAATACCATAAAATTAATCCTTACTTATGTATAACAAGATTTAATATCTTAATACACTAAGAATGTTTTAAGAAATTTCAATTTGTTTGAAGAGATACTTCAGCAAAATGAATTTATTTCTTAAATTTAATATAGCAGTCTTTGACTTGACATTTACTAATTTTAGTATTTGTTGTTCTCAGACTGCATTACATTTAAGATTACTATATAGATTTATATGGCTCGCATAATAAAACCACTTACCACCTGATGGAAAGCCTTCCATATGAAAGACCAAGTCATCTGTATCAAAGGGATTTCGCATTTCTTGGTAATCATCACCTTCACCATCAATGTCAGAAGCCTAAAATATTCATTTAAATAGTATAAAACAATTTCTTAAAGAACCAACATGCATAGTCGATAAATTTTATTTATGAAAAGTTATAATTACATCATCATCATCTTCTTCATCGTCCTCTTCATCATCTTCGTCATCTTCTTCTCCTATTTCTTCTTGATCTGCTTCATCATAGTCTTCTTCATCTCCAGACACATCATCTTGATTATCATCACGATCTGCATACAATAAATGTATTCAATGAACTTTAAAAACATGTTTCCATTTTTAATTCACCAATCAAAACTATGCTGGCAAAATATAATAAATGATGCAATAGCAATACAGCTTATTAGGTAATAATTTCCTCAATTTTGTATCAAATTGTGATTAGTTCAAGAATTCTTATTAATGTTGTGTTGGTTGAAATATCAGTTGGATCAATTAAAAATGATACAGAATACTACTCAACTTTTACTTTGACAGATACAAATATCTTACCTCTATGGTCTCTAACATCCCCCTCATCATCCTCATCTGAGAGAACTTGACTGACCATTTGAGAATCATGACCTTCATAATCATCTTCATCCCCTTCAACTTCAACATCAATAAGAATTTCATTGTCCTCCTCTCCTCCAGCAGGATCTGACGATGCATAAAATACATTATTTTTTTTTAAGTGGAATTTACTTTTAATAAAAGAGCTAAACAATGTAATTATGGTGTCTTTCAGAATATAAAGATAATCATATATATATAAATACTCAGCTATATGCTTGTCTTTTTAATTCATCATCAAGAAAATCAAAAAAGCGTTAATAACATAATTAAGTTACCATTCGATATAGTCATCTCTGATATGACCTGGTCTTCGGGATCACCACCTGGTTCGCTTTGGAATATTTGCTGCAAGACTGTGTCTAACTCTTCTTCCTGAAAGGTAGTTTCACAAAAACAATGTCTCATCACTCACAACACTGATTACACTGAACATCATGTATTGATAAACTAAATATTCTAAATATATGAGTATTATAACTAGACAAATAAAACAAGTCCAACAGCAGCATATCTCACCTGGCCAACAACTTGTGGTTCTGCTATCTGGTGATCACTAGATGTCTCTAAATCTATTTGGGCATCAGGGTTATTGGTTACATCTTCAATGGTAATGTTCATCTCATTTGTCGAAGGGGCAGCAGGCATTTCAACTAAAAAGTCATTAGTTTCACTTTTATAGCAAGTAGGTACAGAAGCCAATAAAAAATGTATAGTTCTAAAATCCACATGTAAAAAAGACAAACAAGTATCACAATATACAAAATGTTTTAAGATATTTTAGATGGTTTGGAAAACCTCACCAAAATGAATAAGATCTTAATAAATAATATAGCAGTCTTTGACTTGACATTTACTAATAACAGCATATGTTGTTCTCAGACTGCTTTTGCATAAATAGTATTTAACAAAAAACTGCTTATTATTTGTAATGGTTGAGATAAAAATTCAATCCTACCATTAGAGAGAGCAGGCTCTGTGACAACCTGGGTAGTTGTGCCCCCTTGATCAGGTGCTGTAGTATTGTGATCTGCACTGCTTTTCTTCATGGAAACAAATTTGTCTGGAGAATTCACAGATCGTGAGAGTGTTTCCAAAGGCTTCAACACAGCATTGATGGTAGGTGCCAAGAAAGGTGATGAGAGATCCAAGCTATGAGGAATGCGTGCAAGATCAACTAGCACTCCCTTTTTAACCAGGATTTTCATCATGTTGTTGTTCATTACTTGCTGACCTTCATAATAATAAAAAAAAGTATTTTGTTACAATGGTATCAACACATTACTCCAGGAACAAGTTTTAACATTAAATATACATTTCTCTCAGATATAACAACAAATCAGTAGAATTATCAGATATATGCTTGTCTTTGTTAAATCATCACAGAGAAACTTGCATGTAGTTTGGATTTATTTGAAAGACACTGACACACTAACATACAGTGAAATGTAAAAAATACAGCTGTAAAAATGATTCAAATTACAACAGTAACACAACAACTGGGATCAGATCTTAATTCATCAGCAAGTACAATTAACAGAACCTTATTACAAGTCAAAGCTGTATATTGATGCAGTACTGAAAATGAACTAAGAAAGAGCTACAGAAGAGGAATAATGGTAGGAAATTCACGATAAAGACTATCAGATTCATCAGTAGGTGCAATTTCAAACCAGATGGTTGTTAGCACAGATGAAGAATTAAATTCTTCAGCGCATGAAGGAAAAGTATAGTCAGGACACAGTATTACAATGTTTTTTTAGCTATTAATGGGTTCATTTTACCATCGCCATCATAAACACAAACTGCAACAAAATGTTAAGCAAATTTTAAAATCTTACCTTTAAACACTTGGTTTGGAACTTGGCCTGGAGTTGGACATGATTCAATCATTGTGTTTATGATGCTAGCAAGAGCCTGAATTCTCTGATGCTTAGAAGAACTCTCAGGCAGAACTAAAGCACGTTGAAGAGCTCCCTTAACTTCAGCAACCAGTGCCATTTGGGCATCAGGGCTGTGACTACAGGATGCAATGCTGGCAATGAATACCCTAGATAAAGCTGGACAATCCTTATCACCAACCTCTTGGGAACACGGAAGAAGACTATCAAGCACAAAGGCCAAGACAGAGCAGCCCTGCAATTTAAAACAAAATCTAATGACTCTCTTTACATGGCTTGAAATTTCCAGATTTTATTTAGGTTTAAAGAAACAGGACCTTTAAATTGGGTTTTCGAATCTATAAAATAGGGTTTAATGTTTTTCAAAATGTGGAAATCAAGATTTTTCACTCAGATTAAACAGATAATCAAATAGAATCAGATATATGCTTGTCTGTTTTAATCATCATTGATATTGTTTTTCAAGGTTACCCCTAAAAATAATGCTTACTTCAGAAACAAGTTCAGTCTGTCCAGGTTGGTAATTGTACTGAGTTATTAACTGTACACAGTTTCCATAGGATCTAATGATCTCAGACAGCAGTCTGAGAATAGCTGACTTTGGAATCAATGGTCTAAAAGAGGGTGTACTACTCTCATCTGCACCACTTGGTGATGAGTCTTTTTCCTAAATCAAACATTTAGAAATTAATTTTTATTACTATTTACACAAATATTTGAGCATAAAACTGAATTTCAAATCTAAAATAAATAAACATCTGCTAACCCCAGTTTCATTCTCTCCCATTTGCTGCACATTACTTCCTGTTCCACAGTGAATTACCCAAGGGAAATGTGCACTGCCACCAGACTGGCCTTCAGATGCTTCTTGTAAAACCTCAGCTAAAGTCTGTGGTCCTTTTGTTTGTGAAGCTGTGTCTGAAAAGGTAACAAACCAGTTCTTATTCCACGCAATGCACAAACACAGAGATGTTTACTTTCAGATCAAGACTATGGTTAAAAAACAAGAACAAGTACTTACTATCTTTGGCATTTTTGTTAGGTTGTTCAGCTATCAGAGCATTGAGCAAGTCCCAAATAAAAGTCTTGATAGATGTGTTCACTAATGATTCCAGTTGTTTAGTTGGAGTACATTTCAGTATTTGTGGAGCATTAGGACCCCAGTACCTTGTTTCATCTTCATCTAGAACAATTTATACAGTACATATATGAATAAAATAATTTAAATTGGTTCAAATAAAACCCAATAATTACAGAATTTACTCAGATTAAACAGAAAATCAAAAAGAATCAGATATATGCTTGTCTGTTTTAATCATCATAGTTATTCATATCTTTGAGATATTTATCATAAATATTTTAATGTACCTCTTAACGATGGTGGTGGTAGAGCTATCTGTAAAGTATCTCTTGCAACTTGAGAAAACATTTCATGGTCTCGACATGCTGCTGGACCTAATACTCTCAGAACATAATGCATTTCTTTAGCTCCAACACCACCTTGACTGACACCTGACTGACATGAGCCAATACCTGCACACACATTACGCATAACCTGAAAAAAAAGTGATTATGTCAGATATTACTTTGTATTCATTCTTTATTAGAATTATATTGTCAGTACAAATAAGTATTTGCCATTATATATTAAAGTATGTTATCTTTAATGGTATAAGAAGTTTTATGTATTTAAGCATTTAATCAATTATCAGTTTCTTAAATTTACCTTTTCCATGCAGTATCTTAAAGAGACTGGCTCCTCCAAAATGTGTCTAAATATTAAAGTTGCTAAATTCAGAAAACCTTGGAAATTTGAGTCTAGAGTAAGTGTCAGAAGCCTTTTAGCACCACCTTCAGCCACAAACTTAACAGCATTGTGGTGTTGTCGAGTCATACGAAGAATAAGCCTCATTGCAGCATGTAGCGTATCAGAGTTGAGGGGTATACTGAGGTAAGCACTAAGGCAACTAAAAAAAAAAGATTTCAATAAACATTATTTCAAAATCTTGACAAAAGTCGACATATTCATATTTCACAATGAAATAAATATTTTTTTTTTAGTATGTCACATTATCTTTTTCTTTGTTTTAGGATTGCACCTGATAATTTTACCAACTATAAAATAATGTGTGAGCCTTACCTAATGACAGTTTCAATACTGTCTGGTGTTAATCCTGGTAAGTAATCATCAATATCTGATGGAACTTCAAATTCTTTCTTAATATCCTCTGAAAACAAACATTTTAAAGCTTTAAAAGCTTCATTAAATCTTGAAAATGTATGTGTTTGTTGTGAATTTAAAAAATTATAAAGTGTTTGGTAAAAATGACGTTTTCAGGACAAATTTTAAAAAATAAACTGTCCAGTTTATAAGCAATTAAACTATGGGATTAAAATTCATTAACTAATATCAAATAAATTTTTAAAAATTAAAATGAAACTAGAAATTTAGTACTACATGTAGTTAAAGGAATCCTCTTGATTTGAATCACAAATTGTATTTTAAACCAAGATAAAAAAGAGGCTATCATTTAAAAATGAGGAATAAGAATTCAGGTTTTGGCCAATTTATAGACCTGCAAATATTCTTAATTTGAGCCAATAGTTTTAGGTAGCATTTTATTTAACTATTTTTAAAATATAACTGATTACAAACATGGCTTACCAACTACATCTTCTTCTGAAGGGTTGTCTTTGATCTCCTTCTTTCCAGGTGGCTTTTCCTCTGCTGTAGGAATTGACAGCATGACAGGGCGTCTGTTTCCTGTTTCTTCATTTAGCTGCCAAAGTAAAAAGATATAATTATTGCACTGAAAAAGTTTTTCAAAATTACCACAAATACAGGTCCAGAAATGTTTCTTACCTGGATCATTGTTCCAAACTGAACAGTATACTTTCTCCTGCCTGCTTGAAATCTGTTCAACGAGATACAATATCTAACAAGTTACTCATTGAAATAACATATTTTCTGTAATGTAAGCATCTTTAATATGTATAAACTACTCTTTTTCCTTTCCAACAATATAATTAATTTTTACCTGACAAAGCTGTCTCCTTTCTTGTATGCCTCATCAATTGTTGCATTGTTGTTGGAGCTGTATTTACACCATCTACCACTACTATCATCAAACCATTTCCAAATTCTGTTCCCACCCTAAAAGAATTTGTTTTGAAGTAAGTATTAATGCAAATGTGCAATTTTTAAAAAGACAATTGCTAATTACAATAGACAGTATACCAAAAATATTTTAAAATCACATTACCACTGCAATCCTGGCTTGCATTTTTCTTTTTAGTGCCACAGAAATTTTTTCCCAGAGGTCAAGAAGAAGTAACATTGGTGCAAGCCATCTGTTTATGATGAAAATAATTACCAGTTAACTTAAAATGTATCTTTAATAAAACAATGGCTTAAATGAGTAGATCATTTAGTTAACACTTTCAAAGACAGTATTTTAAAAAAAATTTACTTGGGTGTTTGCTTAGCATCTGCTACTTGTCCAGGACAAAGCATTGCATCCCTGCTTATTTGGAGTAGATGAACAATTTGATTTGGAAGATTTACTCTTTGCATTGCCAGAGCACACGCTAGATTCATTTCCTGTTTGGATTCATTGATAGAATACTTTATTTAGCAGAAAGTAGAATTCGCCTTGTTCAGTAGTGTGATTGTTTTTGCATGTGTCATTAGATGAATCAGTAAAACAGGAAAGTTAAAATATTTTTTTTAAGATCAACTTAAACAGACTTTAATCAGTATAATGAAACAGCATTAAAAAGCAATCATCTATGACACATGCAAAGCATAATCTTTTGTTGTAATAAAATTAAGATCTAGCAATAAAAGGTTATTTTAAATGTTGCAGTGATGCCAATTTACCATTGGAATTTATGTATTGTAAAGTTGTGTTTAAAATACACTTTGGATCTATTTACCTCTGCAAGCAAACTTAAAAGATGAAGTCTGGTGGCAAACTTTTGGGCGCTGCTTGATCCCTGCATTGCTTTAAAGTTCAGATCTTTAGCATAAGATGTCATTTCTTCACAAAGCTCACATAGCTGAGAAAACAAAATACATAAGTGTTTTAGAATTATCAAAAAAGTACTGATGAGGAAGCGATTATTAGATCAGACACTTACATCTTTGCAGAGTGTACCAAGGGTCTGTCTTTTCCAATCAGCCCCATTGCGAATCATAACCACGATTAGAAGATCACAGACTCTATAAACAGTTTCAGGTAGAGTATCCAACAAGTTGAGACAACCTGCAAATTAAAAAATGCATACGATTGACAGAATAATTAAAACTATTGACACTAAATACAACTTCCAACCTACGTTTTAGTAAACAAGACAAGTTAAGTCATTTATGATGGTAGTTATTCAAGTATTAATGTGACTAGCAAATCTAGTACCTGGGAAAATATTAAAAGTGAATTCATCCAAAACTGTAGTATCTAATGGCTCTTCAGCTTCTTGTTTCTCTGCAGCTTCTTCTGACTTGTCTTCTTTATTTTCAGGTTTAGTCTGAAAATCATTGCATGGATTAAGTCTATGAATGTCACTTGTACCTAATCTATACACTTTGACTTGTAAAAGAACTAAGAAATATTTACTGGTATAGTCTAACCAACAACTGTAATCTATGCTATCTTTAAAAGCAGGAAAATTTCTAACAAAGTATTTAATACTAATAAATATTGCATTTTTTAGTTCATTTATACGCTTTATTGTGGATAGCAGAATCTTCAGCTAATTTAACTAGACCACTAAAATAACATCCAGCACTGCTTATGGCTTAAAATAAATTCAGATAAATTAAAAATGCAACAGGTCTATTCCAATCATATTCAGTGACCATCAAAACTTAATATTTAGAAAATCCTAATAGACCTATGGATAAATTAAATATTTATATATACCTGGTCTGTGGACATAACTGCATTTTCTCCTAAAGACATTGCTATGGCTCTCATCATCTGAACTTCATCATTCAGTTCTAGATCCATTGCACCAGCTAATGGCTGCAGAGTACAGAAAAAGATCTTTAAGAACAACTGTCAGTGATTTTTCTACCCTATTTTTTCAATGATATAACCATGCTGTTCAGCACTTCATAAGTTAAAACTGTGTCACCAATTCTAGCTATGTAAATCCCAAGGAGTAGTAAGTGCAAACCTAGCAGTTATGTCCAATTAACTACTAAGACACAGATAATGCTAAAAATTCAGAACTTACATTTTGTGAAGTGGCAGGAATAGTGTTGGTTAGAATGTAGTCGGTTGCCTGTTCTAAACTAGTGGTGTTATTAAGAGCAACTGTTGCTTGCTCACGAGTAAATCCCATATCCATTAGCTATCGAATAAAGAAATCAAATGTAATGGGAAAAAAATTAAACTTAGCACGTAGCTAATTAGTTTTTTTATAACTCCTGAAAAACTAGAAACATTAAAATTGTGTAACTAGTTTTTGTTTTTGCTATGCAAACTATATAAAAATATATTTCAGCAAGAAATATAAACAGATTTCTTTTTAAAATGAAAATTATGAAAGAATAGTAATAATAAAACAAAAACTAATAGTAATAAATGTATCTCCCAAACAGTAGATATAATAATAAACTGACTCTTACTTGTTGAAGATGGGCTTGATTTATCATTGTTTCCAAGGGTCTTCTGGCAGTTGTGGAAGCCAAAGTTGCAGCTGCAGCTGCTGCACCATTGCTGACACCAGATGTTCCAGCTCCACTTAGGTCAACAGCTGAATCACCACCTGATCCTGATGGGGTTAGCTTTTCTTTCTCAAGAAACTTCTATAATTAGGACAAAAAAATTATATTTCTTCTTGCTGCTGCTATTAAACAATAATATATTTCTCAAGTGAGAAAGAAATCTTACCTTTATTTTAGCTTCACCATCAATGATATGACACAGAATAGTTAATATGGATTCAGACATGCGACTGCCATGAATCAACAGAGGTTTCTTGTTCCACAAATTCATCACAGAATTAAAAGCAGCCTTTGAAAATAAATGAGTGGGAATATAAGTTATTTCAATACAAACTATGCATTTTCTCATAACTGAAAAGTAATTTTGCCAGTAACTGAAATACTTCTATAACTTAGCATTTTCACATGTACAATTTATTTTGTAGAGAGCCAAATGACTAGTTTAATTATACTTAAATAATAATGTAATTTCTGTGGGTTTTTTTAAGTGGTTTACGATGGAAAATGCTTACTTTCTGAGTGCTTATCAAGTATTGTACTGGGTTGAAAGGTGTAAGGCCAGGTGCTTTATCCTTTGAAGGTAGTGTATGAGGTGAGTCTAACACAGCTTTGGGGTTGATCATTTTCTCTACAAGCGTCAACCAGGAATCCAAAAATTCACCAGTTCCTTCTGTAAAAATACATTGTTACTCTTTAACATTCACTACTGTCTAATTATTTATACCTGATTTAGTAAAAAGGTATTTGTGTTAATAAAACTAGTAACTTAAGTACTTTCAAGTACTGTCTTGACAGTTTTCTCAACACTAAAATCAAATTTTAAGCTTAAAAAAAAATTCCATCAGTATCTGTCTAAGGTCAACATAAGAAAATCAGACATATGCTTGTCTTTAAACAATCATCATGTGGAATAAAAAATGTCATGTAAATGGTAGTTATAAAGAGTGTTTACCAGGAAGATCTGCATGTTCAAGTCCCTCAGACAAGGGCACCTTACCATCAATAGATAAGGCCCATGAGAAAGATCTGAAATATGATTGGAAAAAAAAAAATTTTAAGAAACAAAAACTTGACAAACATTTTGAAGTCAAAACTAATTTTAGCATCATGGATAACAGCGATGTTTACTGATATTTTAATTAAATTTAAAATTTAATGCTACTTTCTCCATCAGTTTTTTTAAATAAGCATCACAAAACATCAGACATATGCTTGTCATTTCTTCATCATTTAGAGAAACATGGCTGCCTTTTTTTAATATAAATTATATCTAAAAACAAAAGTATCAAAGAATTTTGGTCATGTGAAGTTATATTTAATACTTAATAGAATTGAGACTTGTCTAACTAAAACGATGATAACAGATTTTTAAATACAATGTTTTAGTGCCACTTTTCTCTTCAGCTTTTTGGTAGAAAACATCACAAATTATCAGACATATGCTTGTCTGTTATTTGTTCATCATATAGAGAAACATGGCCATTTTTTTAGTAATATTCTAATGATGTGTAGATTTTCTTAAGCAATGTGTCATTGTATCCTATTAGGGGACGGCATTGTCAGGCATGGCTGCTAACTCTATTAATCCTGAGTTTGGACCATCGGGCGCATGGGGCTCGTTAGCTGGAGACAGAAACCCAACTAGGAGAGGAAAATTCTAGCAAACACTCCTACAAGGAACAATGCCAGGTAAATGAGGTAGCCTAAAGAAAAAATTCGATGTTATCAGATAGTGGACTAGTTAAATACAGGAAGAAGTACTGAAGATGCTGGACATATTGGAATTGAGGAAGTTGATCAAAAGGACACTAGTGGCACCCAAATAATCCATCTAGACTAAGGGTCAGAAAAACAAGGAGATTAGAAATTAGACTGTCATACTGTCAAACTATAACTAAGATTACAGATTTTTTAATAGACTGTTTGAATGCCACTTTTCTCTTTCAGTTATCTTGGTAAAACATCACTTATATCAGACATATGCTTGTCTGTTATTTGTTCATCATTTAGAGAAATGTGGAAACTTTTAAAGTTCAGAAAAGCATTGTGTTCAAACATTTTGCATTCACAACTTGAGCAACAAATAGGTATCTAAATCCATGTGTATCCATTATGTATTTTGTAATGAGTTATTACAATCCAAGCATTTGTTATGAATGTTTGTTATGAATGATGTCTATTGTATAACTATTATAAATATTTCAAAATTCTACTTTGTAAAGCCACATTCTCTTTCAGTTCAGAGAGTAAACATCATAAGATATCAGACATATGCTTGTCTGTTATTTGTTCATCATTAAGAACTATGGCCATACATAGCTTAAAAAATTAATTATCTCAATAAAATTAATGATTAGTAGATTGAAATGAATATACAGCTTTAAAAATACTGAGATGCTGTTGCTTTTTTAAAAAGAGTAAATACCAAGTGGAATGTGCGTATACTCACATGTTTCTAATTACAATGATCAATAATCAAAATTTTTGTTTATACATATTGTGCTATATCATTTTAACGTTATCCCTAAAGATTAAAACAAGCTGCCTTATAATATATTAGAAACCTATTTAAAATGTAAAATTCACATCTAATCTAGATACCACGACTAGAATCAACTGTTTATTAGATCCAGACGTTTAGTTAGCTTGATTACAAAAATTTGACTAAATGATAATTTCCAAATTCTCTTTCAGCTTTTAAGTCAACATCACAAAATATCGGACATATGCTTGTCAAGTTGATTCATCATTTAGAGAAAATGGCTCTTAAAGAATGAGTACTTAATAATAGAATCCTGTTAATTGTATCTAACTTACAAGTACATATTTCTGTATTATTCTTTTAACCAATATTTTATGTACCGATGACCAATAAAAAATCAATATACTTGAACCTGCCTATAAATGGTGTATTTGTAACAGATATTTCATCTATTTCTAATGTATGTAAATACTTCTAAAAAGATGTGTTTACAACTACTGAATTAAATGTACAGGTACAGGTAAATGAAATATGCCTCAAGTATAAAAGTATTTCCACTTTGTTGTTAAAATCAAATAATAAAATTAATATTAAAATGACATGTAATAGAATACAACTTTTCTTTTTTAAAGTTTTTCAAATGTCACTTTCTCTTTCAGTTTTATTTGTACAAGTCAACACTAAATATTCAGACATATGCTTGTCTATGTTAGTTCATCATACAGAGAAAATTGTGACTAGATAATAATGAAGGCATAATTCACTAATGACTTACAAGGTATAAAATTATTTTTTAAATGTGGAAATAGAGATCTAGCTATTATCTAATCAACGTAAAAGTTGTGTATTTTACTGCAGTTATTCATAATAAGATAAAGCTAAATGAAATAAATAAAAAACATTTTCATTTAACAAATATGTATAGCTCTTTATAATGTGTAAAAGTTTTTAACATACAAAATGATTTTTAAGACACTTACTGAAAAAGCGCAGCCTGACCTCCACACGCGACAAACTTTTGTAGCATCAAATGGTAGGGCTGTTTTTTCTCATCAAATAGCATGGGAGCAGTGAATCCAGCAGAACAAACAAGAAATGTCATTCTGGGGGAGGGATGAATTAATCTGGATTTTTATTAAAATCTTTAAAGCTTTTATGTTCTAGCCTCATAAAGAGGCTTATTATTCAATTTGTCAGATTATTAATTAAAGAATTAATAATTCTGACATGCTCAATATGTAAATTTATGTATAGAAATTATGAATAAAACTGACCTTAATTTAGGCTGTGGTGCACATGGAGGTGGTTGGAATGACAAGCCTCCAGCAAGTAATTTAGTCAGTGCTAATGCCACTGCCCTAGCTGCTGGGGATGGAATAGGGGGAGTAGGTGGCGGCTGCTGGGATCTACGTTGTCTCACAGGTGATCCAACACATAGTTTAACCAAAAGCACAAACAGTTCTGAGAGCGCTCTGCCTAATCGAGATGAAAGGGTCAGTAGTGGCTTCAGCTGCCTTAGCTGTGCCTGCATGGCAGGAGACAGTTTTTTCTTGGCATCTTTGTCATCAGATCCAGTTCCCAACCCAATGGGCCCAGGCAATATATCTGATTCAATTGAAGTTGAAGAAGTTGATGTCACTACAGTTGCAAGTGGGTTCAGATTTGGGGGAGCTTCAACTGTTACTGCTTGAGCGGCTTCTGGTAAACGATCGCTTTGATTCTGAGCCAAAGGACTTAGTTCTGATGTGTCCATTCTTTCTTCCCCAGTAGTTAAAGTTTCCATAGCAACACTCACTCCATTGCTTCCCATGTCTCCTACACCCCGAGATAGTCCTGACTGTTCTTTTTTATCTGTTTTACTTTCAGAACTTTTCCCTTCCTTTCCAGATTCTGCTTCAACAGTTTCACCATGAGTATCTTTGCTCAAAAGTTTTTCCAAATCAGCTCTCCCAAAGGAACAATCAGCAGGCAAGTAATCCTCATTGCAAAGGGCAAGCAGAACTGTGCTTTCCCACACCAGTGAGTTATATAAAGAGCTTAAACCTTTTAATACTTCCAGTCCAAGATCGGAGCCCCAGTTGTCCACTGAAATGGTGCGAATGTCTGTCTGCAAGTTAAGACGAATCTACTTTTAATTTAAAGTAGAATCAATGCTCATTTTTTTTATTGTTTTAAGAAAACCATGTGGGGTTTGCACAAGCATCTAACTCAGATGTATACAAATATGTGTACATTTGGTACACAAATAGTAGAGTCAGTTAATAAAAAGCTTTTTTTACTTTCAATATTCAGAATTTTAATGTGTCATTTTTTAAAGAGTGAAGTTATTAATGTAGCAGCATGTGGCATTCACTACATGGTTTTCTGCCTTAGATATGTTTACATTTACTAGCTTAGCAAAAATTGAAATGAAACACACTTCAGTAAAGTAGTAAAAAAAGTGAGAAAAAAACCATCAACCTAATTATCATCATGCTTATTCAAAACAACTTTTATCTTACTACCTGGAAATAAACTGACAAAGTAATACTTTTCTTACCTAATTTATTCATTTTATTCAAAATAACTCGTCATTGAATTTATTTAATTTTAATGATAATTAACATTCAAAATTCTATTTTGTAAAGCCACATTCTCTTTCAGCTCAGAGAGAGTAAACATCATAAGAAATCAGACATATGCTTGTCTGTTATTTGTTCATCATTAAGAACTATGTCAATACAGAGCTTAAAAAATTAATATTCTCACTGAAATATTTGTAGATTGCAAAGAATATATAGCTTTAAAAATACTGAGATACTGTTGCTTTTTTAAAATGAGTTAATTTTAAGTAATTAATCAATATGTGAATTAAAAGTATACAAACATAAAACTAAGCTGCCCTATCAAATGGTAGCTTTAAAATTAAAAATTCATTATAACCTGTTCCCCATAGATGCAACTAAATACATGGGGGGGGGGGGGGGGGGGGGGAGATAATCAGGTGCTTTCATTTCATTTTCAACAAATTCCAATGTGTTAGGGTCTAGCAGAAAATAGTATAGATAGACTTAAAATCTGGTATTCTTTAAAAGCCACAACACTTTTATGGAGACATATTCAGTTCACAACACAGACCCAACAACCCATGCCTGACATGACATTGGGGGGATGGAGCGGTGTTTGTTACTTGAAAATCAAATCAACAAAAAGTACCAGGTAATAGTGCTTAAATTTTAGCAAGTTAAAAGTAAAATTTTGGAACAGGAAATGAAATGTACCAATAAAAACTTCAAATTGATAGCAATTTTACAGCAAGGTAAAACAACTGTTAAGTTGAAGCATGGGTGTCAAAATCATAAAATTATAGGACATAATAGATGTGGGTAGCTTTGTTAATGTAATGCTACAGTATTTCTGAAATTTATATATAGACCCTCAAATAGTTAGGTTAGATTCCCTCAAGACAAATATGAATGGGAAGAAGAGTCTCCATTAAAAAGGAATTGAAGGTTTTAACAGGTATTAAATTTATCAGCAAAAAGTTTTTGCTATGGAAAGAAAAATATACATTACCTGTCCCATTCTGCAGACATGCACAAACATCATTATATATGCATGGGCAGCAGCCAGGGCATGAAGCAAAGGAGTGGCAGTTGGTGAGAGAGTGGCATCTGGAATATGAGCACAGTTGGCCAATTCATGTAGCAAAACAGATCCCCCAGGTGGCTCCAGAGGATTATGCAAGGGCTCAAGCCTCTGAAGCACCTCATGCATTTGAAGTAGACCTTGTTTGATCACTTTTGACTCTCTGGACAATGTCTGATATGAAAAAAATGATAGTGAAAACTCTATGCAGAATTAATAGTTTTGTTTAAAAATAATTTTAAAAAAAGAGTAATCCATAATCAGTGCCACATTTTTACTTTGCCCCTCCAAGCAACAACAAAAAACCAGACCCTCTTCTCCACACCCCATTCCCTAATGATATTACCTCAGCCTTTAACCCCATCAAAACAGTTTTTGTTTGTTAAAAATGAATCTATTTTGAAATATTTACTGAGCTGTCTACATTGAGTATACAAGTTTGACAAAGTCTTTTAAAAATACAAAATAATGGCTAGAAATAAAATTTTAACTTCTTTTTAATGCAAAAGCATGTCATCACATTTTCTGAACCCCCTTCCACTTCATGGTCCAATTCCTAATCTGCCCCCTAGGAGTGTGATAAACTAATAATAGATACTCACAAGAACAGATTTACAAGCACTAGAAACAGCCTGACATGCTGGAGAAGATGGGAAATCAATGGGCAAGTTTGGCAATCCCAAAATACTCATCAGTGGCTTTAACCCATTTTGTGCAACAAATTCCTTGCAATGATCATCTGTAGAGTTGTTACTAAGTATTGCTTCTACAAACTTCATCTGAAAATAATTTGAACACATTTTTTTTTTTACAAAAACACATAATAATCCAAATATTTAAATAATCCTATTGTAGTTGTATATTGCATTGTAGGCTATATACATATTAGAGATATCAATTTTGATATCTGTTTAAAAGTTACAAAGCCATAATTATTCTTGCACTGATTTATCTTATGATACCATTAGGCAATCACAAGGTTCAAAACAATGCGACTAGCACACACAAAATGTGTTATAACCATTATTTTGGTACTTACAACATTTAAAACATAATCCATCAGAGGAATAGCTTGTCTTTCTTGTGATCTAAGAAAAAAAAGGCACTTTATAAATATATTGTTAACAGTTCTAATAATTAAGATGAGGTGTTTAATTATCAAAAGTTCATCCAACCTATCTCATATACAATCATTTGTGCCTGTTATAAATATTTACTCTAATAACTCAAAGTCAATTCTTGCCCTTGCTTAAAAAATTTAATACAAAGACTAACTTGGAACAAAAGCACGACTGACAAAAACGGTTCAGGGGATCCAAATAAAATTAATCTTACTCTACAAACTCCAGTATGTAAACAGCCAGAATCTACTAAACTAGAGAACAATCAGTTCTAAAAGGAAAAGATGTATAACAATTACTAACTGCATAGGATCTTGCTGAGATGTAGAAGGAACTGTTTGTTTTTCTTGTGTACTAATAACATGAGAAGTTGGTGGGACAGTAGAGGACATTTCTACTTCTTCATCCTCTTCTTCATCTGAGGAGGAAGCCTCGTTAGACTGGGGTGACCTTACACTTGACTGAGCTGCAGTTTGATCTGACTTTGGTTGCTGCTTCTGACAAATGAAGTGAGGGTCTTGGCCCATGGAACAAATCTCTTCCAAGAGCTTAAAAAACAAACGGAAACACTGAGCATCATTAAAAAAAACTATATCAAAAAGCAAATTGAATACAATACATGCAATTTGTGTTTTTATTACAATAATGCCCATAAATACTAAGCAGAGTAACAAAATTCAATAAATCCGTCAATTAACTAATTTAGAGTTAGTTATGCCAAAGGTTTTCCTCTCAGATTATTATGTCAACAAATAAAATTAAGACACGTGCTTGTAAACATCAATGAGGAAAGCTCTAAAGTCTAATTATCAAAAACTAGCTTTGAGTGTAGTCTTTCGATAAGTAATGAAATGTTTACATAACATTTTAAAAATATATATTTTGACAAAGCAATTTCCAAAGAGGTACCTTGATTATTGCTTTTGTAGCATCAGTTCTAAGTGAGGGTTGATGTCTCATTAATTCATCCATAGCATTACCCAGATTGCTGGCTGTATCACCTAAAAAATTGAAAGAAATTAATGAGTATCACCACAACAACAAATAAACCGGTAGTGATCTCCCCTAAACTTTCTCGAATATTCTTATATAAAACAACAGGGGATGGTAACTGGGGATATAGTTATGATCTTTAATCCATTTTAAATACTGAAACTTTTAAAAATAGAATAGAATCTCAGTAAAAAACAATTGCGCACCAAGCGAACGCCTAATAAAGGTGTGTATAATAGTGCGCAATAGTATTAGTACTTTATAAATTTACATTAGTTTTTTGAGAAATCGGAAGTAGCGTAAAGTACTACTTCCGGTCAACGGAAATTACTCAAAATTTAACAGAAGGTAGAGAATTAGATCTTTTACTTACATGTGAAATTTCATTTATCTATCTGAAATAGTACTCAAGTTATAGGCTTTTGAAAAATTCAAAGTAGAAAAAGTACCACTTCCGGTTATCCGAAATCGCTCAAAAGTTGATACGGATCTACGATTTTGATATAATACTTGTATATGAAATTTCATCAACCTAGCTGTAACGGTACTCAAGTTATCGTGTTTACACACGGACACACACACACACAGACACACACACACGGACACACAGACATACGGACAAGATTGCAAAATTATGTTTTTCCGTATCAGTGAGATGTAAAACGTCGAGATTTGCAAAAATCTCGATTTTTTTTTTTTGCACGATTACAAGACTTTCTCTATACTTCGTATATACGAGAAAGTAAAAAAACTACATAAATAAACCGGGAGTGATCTCCCCTAAACTTTCTCGAATATTTTTATATAAAATAACAGGGGATGGGAACTCGGGCTATAGACATGATTTTTAATCCATTTTAAATACTTAAAGTTTTAAAAATAGAATAAAATCTCGTAGACAAATTAATTGCACACCAAGTGAACGCGAAATAAAAAAGCGCATAATAGTGCGCAATATTATTAGTACTTTTAAAATTTACATTAGTTTTTTGAGAAATCGGAAGTGGCGTAAATTACTACTTCCAGTCAACGGAAATTACTCAAAATTTAACAGAAGGTAGAGAATTAGATCTTTTACTTACATGTGAAATTTCATTTATCTATCTGAAATAGTACTCAAGTTATAGGCTTTTAAAAAATTCAAAGTAGGAAAAGTACCACTTCCGGTTATCGGAAATCGCTCAAAAGTTGATACGGATCTACGATTTTGATGAAATACTTATATATGAAATTTCATCAACCTAGCTGTAACGGTACTCAAGTTATCGTGTTTACACACGGACAGACAGACAGACACACACACACACAGACATACGGACAGAATTGCAACGCCCAGTTTTTCAAACTGGATTACGCATAAAACCTCTTAATTTTGATAAATCTGGATTGATAATTTTTGCCCGATTAAAATAAGTCCTCTATACTTCGGATGTGATGAAGGACTGAGGTGTAATACGGTAAAAATTGTTAAAATTTCAATTGATTTTTGTGCACGATTACAATACTTTCTCTATACTTCGTATATACGAGAAAGTAAAAAGGAAGTTTTTTTAAAAAAAAGGGCCATAATTTTTCGCTTTAATAGAAATATTTTCCCCAGCATTAATGAAAGGATCAGTTATTTTATCATTTATATTTGGCAATATAGGTTTGAGGAGGAAATAGTGAATATGGAGTCATGTAGAAATAAAAATGAAATAATCATTCATAAATCCATACTTGAATCTTGACTATTTAATATTTATTTTTCTCTCAGATTAATTATGTCATCAAACAAAATGTGTAAGACACGTGCTTGTAAGCATCATTGAGAAAATATTTACTGAGATAAGTTAGCACAGGATATACTTGTTTATAACTTGTTTTGGAAATGTTTCAGGGGGAAAAAGTTATATCACAGGATTTTAAGCACTCTCCATGGACTCTAAATAGCTAATAGGGATAAAAATATGAATTCTAAGAAGTCTGCTGATCCTTCTTAGGCAGAAGTCTTCAGTTTACTTACAAAGTGGGCTCAAATATTTTGAATGTCCTCACCAGTATTTATTTTAAAAATACATTTTAAAACAATTGTGATTTATACTTGTATTCCTTTTATTGGGCGTTGGGAGAGGAAGTCAGCTGAACAGGTTGGTACTATTTTGTGAATTAATAGAATTTAATAACTAGTTAAGAGTTGTTTTGGCAAAGGTTTTTCCCTCAGATTATTATGTCATCAAATAAATTTTAAGACACGTGCTTGGAAACATCAATGAGAAAAACCTATTAAACTAGCCTAAGAATTTAAGATTGTGTGTATTCTATATTCTTTCCGAGATATTTTAAAGAGCTTTTAACAGAGTTTGTATATATTATATTGCTAAAGTCATGTTCTATTTGGGAATATCCTCACCAGTGCTTAAAAATTATGTTATCATAAAGAGTGTTTGCTGAATTAGTTGGCAATAGGATAAGCAATGTCAATGAGTTTATTAAAAACAACCAATGAAGTTACCAAATGTGTCTGAACTTCTCCTCCTCCTCATAGCAGGTAAATAGTCTGGTGACAGGAGTACTTTAAAAAGACGATCAAATGGTTTGCAAGCCACAAACGCTTCTAAGCCTCTTGCATTAAGACACAGTGCACTGAATACATTAGGTAAAGCAGCTAGGACCTCTCTAGTTGCTGGCACCTAAAAGAATAAAGATGACAGATATTACACTTTACCTATTGGTGAATAGACTATACATTAGTGATAGTTATGTCAATTAACAGCATACACAAATAAGCAGATGCAGTGAATGCATGTTAATGCCATTCAAAACTATTGTGCCATAATTTTCAAATGGGCATTTTTGTTAGAAATTATTTTCAACAAATGCAAGTAAAAGACTTGGTTTTGTTATGTGCTTTACTTTCCACTTGGACTAAACTTAAGCTTCAGACTATAAACTGAGATTTTAAAGAATTATATGGTCCTACATAGGAGGCTTGTGTTAAAGGAAGTGACCACTAGTCTTGGCCACTTAAGAGTTAACATAGTTGCCTTTACCCATTTTTCTCTCAGATTAAGTATGTCAGCAAATAATATCTAAGACACGTGCTTGTAAGCATCATTGAGAAAAATGACTAGAGCCAAGTTAGTCAATTACTAAGAAAAATGATTTGGCAGTTTAACTTACATCTTTAATTAGTAAGGCATGTAAAACTACATCAGTAAGGCCTTTGTCTTGCAGTGAAGACAAAAGAGATGGTTCTTGAAAGACATAAACTGTGACCACATCAGTAGCTAAAAGGTAAGAAATTATACTATTCACTAGTTTGATGAGAAACAAATTACTAGAGAAAAACAATCATTAATATCTGTTTTTAGTAATACTGTTTACATTGTAAGGACATTATTTAGATGTATTATAAGAGGGAAAATTATTAAGAGAGATATAAATTTTAGGTACAGCATTAAGGCAACAGCGTAGCTAATATAATTAAGTATTTAACAGACTAAGTGTGTGAAAAGCCAATCAGAAGCAGTAATTAATTTCACATAAAAATATAAGATACCAAGAATTAGTCAATAAAATTAAAAGAAAACTATTACTTAAAAAAAACTTCCCAAAATAAAACTAAATCTCTTACCAAGTAAAAACAAGGAAGGTCCATAATACTCTGCATTACTGATAATGTGTTTGAGAGATTTTGGAAGTGAACCATCCATTACTGAAAATTTAAGAAAAATAATGTACATATTAAACATAATTTGAATGCTTTAAAGTTGATATTTCCAAGACAAGTGGGATTTTTTTGTGTGCAAACTACTGTGATTTAAGTGAATACAAAACATTTTAAACTTACAATGCCGTATGCTTTCTGCAAAGGATAAGTCTGGTATAGCTTTTTTCATAAAATTGAGCATTGACTTAAGGAGTGCAGCTCTTTGGGCAAAGCAATGTCTTCCTGTGAATTTAAGTAAGTATATAAAAATATTAAAATTACAACTAAACCAAATTTCTTTACATTGCATCTTTACCATACATGTAAACGCAGTATAGAAAAATTACCTTTAGGACAATTTGTACTTCCTTCTTCGACACTTTTATTAATGCTAACAGTGGCTGATTGCTGCAAAGTGGAATCTACACCTACTGATGAAGAAGTGTTTGCTATGGGTGTTTCTGAATTCTGTACAATTGACTCTCCATCTTCAGTTAATGAAGTATCCATTGGCACAGACGAGGGTGAATCAGCCATGGCATCCATGCTAGTTTCCCTTCTCCTGTGTTTTATTACAAATGGCTGCTCTATTCTGCAAATGTTCACTTCATGCTAGAAATAAAAATGAATTCAAAATAGAACCTTTTTTCTGACTTGTTATAAAAAAAAAATTTTAAGTATTTTTTTTGTACACCAACCTCTAGTCTATTGATGAACGCTTGTAAACCTCCATGAGCTTGAAAGGCAGCCATGTCCATATTGGTAATTAAATCAATCACACGTACTGCCCGTGTCACAAACTGTTTTAAGTAAAATTAGATTAGTTAAATGATGGCATTTTGTTTTTTAAAAATTGAAGGAAATACAAGTTTTAAAAGCTCTTTAGCTCTTACTGTGATGTGTTCTTGACCATCTCCATACCAATTGATAACCTTAAGCAATGACTCCATCATGCCACATGAAACAAGGGCTTCAACACCTGACATAAATAAATGTTTCATATTTTAAATAAATGAAATAAATATAAAAATACATAATTGAGCAAATTAAGCTTGTAACATAATGCTTACCATTATCATAGCTTGCAAGGTGGTATAGAAATGAGAAAAGTGATGTTGCATATGTCTGTGTAAATGGCTTTAGTTCTGGATCTGCAATAAGAGTATTTTCATTACGTGAGATTAATATAGTTGCAACTAAATTATTATTTTTTGGATATTTGATACACAATACAACATTAGCCTAACCATTTTAAGAATAAGTTACTTGAAGTTTGAGTTTAAATAAATTTCACATACCTATCATATGCTGAATGCATGTCCTAACCAAAACTGGTAAAAAGCCATGGTATGAAGAAGCTCCAGTAGCATCAATAATACTGTTTAGTCTGAAAGTATTTCTAAATACATTAATTCTAGGGACATAGTCAACTAAATTTTGTAATGTTTGGAAAATACTTTCATATTAAGAAAATGCTAAGAAATCTGCTTAATATTTTTATTACCTGGGGTTTCTTTCTATGTGTATCACAGATGTTAATGTTCTTAGGGCTGCTGATTTGATGTCCTTAAACAATGGGGGAAAAAATGACACATATAACATGTTATCTTGACAAATTGTAAAACATATGTTATCTAGACAAATTGTTCAAGTACAATCAGTAAATGATGTGTCCCAATACGTAGGTTGCATGTAGTACAAAAGAAAGCCACAAGCAAACTTTCTATGCACTACACAACTAGCACCTACAGTACAGAGGTAGAATACTTTAGCACACTTATGACTCAAGCACACTCTATGAACAGCCAATAAGGTTGTTTGGGCAATGGATGTTGTTAGCTTAATTCAACAAACTAACACCACTTATTTACCCAGAAGTGTGGATCTAAGGGAATGTGCTTTTACATGTTACTATGTAGCATGTTTATATAATTTCCAGGATACAAGTTGAAAGGCGATGGTTTGAAATCTTAATATAAACTTTTATATAAACAAATACAGCAATTTTTTTGCCCAAAAGGTGAAAGCAAAACAGAATCATTTGCATTAACAGGGAGGAGGGGTTTAGGAGCCTATTTAGAGATCAACTTATTTTTAAAGAATCTATTCCAATCTCAATTACTTATTTAAAGGTTTACAGTAACATTAAAATACGTTTTATTGTTTAACCATTTCTACATAAAATCTTAAAGATTTTACATATGCTGCATTTGTGTGGTTTTATTTTGAAAACTTTTCTTATAGTAGACGAGCACAAATGATATGTTTTCAAAATTTAAGCAGCCAGGTGTCTGGGAGCATGATGGTGAATATTAAAAAAAAATTAATTGTATGTGTTAACGTATGCATTCATTGCATTTTTTTTAAAAAAAAAAAACACTATTCTACAAAACTTATTTATAGAACACCCATTTAAATATTTAGTGTCTAGATGAGTATCATGTTACTTTACTGAAAATATGGGATGCATAGTAACAAAAAAAACATGAAATCAAGTATAATGAAAATCAAAGCCTCTTTTCATACAGTACATTGAATGAGATGTCCCTATAAGCAGGTAGCATGTAGTAAAAAAGAAAGCCACAAGCAAACTTCCTCTGCACTACACAACTAGCACCTCCAGTACAGAGGTAGAATACTTTAGCACACTTATGACTCAAGCACACTCTATGAACAGCCAATAAGGTTGTTTGGGCAATGGATATTGTTAGCTTGTATAGCTCACATAACCACTTATATACCCAGAAGTGTGGATCTAAGGCAATGTGCTGTTATAGTGGTCAAAGTTAACAATCGACTTTAAAGTGAAATGGTAGTGTTAAAATGTTCATAATACAATAATAAGGGATACAGTTAGTTGAAAGTAAATCATTATCTTTGTTTTAACTGGCAAGCATTGACAAAGCTTTCATTCAACTACAGGTATAAACAATGGATGAGCTACCTGACAAACATTCATACATGGAACATTATAAAAAGAGGTTACATTTTGCTTAAAAAAAATTCTTATTGTACTGGTGAGACAAAATTTCAAAAACATATTACAAGAAAACAGCTTAAGGACAAACAAAAATAGTTAAGTAAATGTATTACTAAATTAACTCTCATAGCTATCATACAAACATAAATAATAAGTTTATTTAGTCAGGTTTACAAGAGAGCAGAAGAACTATTGTAATGTTGATACACATAATTTTTTTTTCAAATTTAGTTTATTTGCAAACTTTATGTACTAACTGGATAGGTTCTAGAAATAGTCTGAAGCTTTCAATTTTAATGCCTGAAGGTTTCTTTTTAAACAAACCAATCTTTGTTTTTGGCTACTAATAAAGAAAAACATATTTAAGTCATAAGCACAGCCTCTCTAAGGTATATGTTTAATAAAACATCTAATTAGTTATGTCCCAATATGCAGGTCGTATGTAGTATATAAGCTACAAGCAAGCTTTCTATGCACTACACAACAAACACCTACAATACAGAGGTAGAATACTTTAGCACACTTATGACTCAAGCACACTCTATGAACAGCCAATAAGGTTGTTTGGGCAATGGATGATGTTAGCTTGTTGAGCTCACATAACCACCACTTATGTGCCCAGAAGTGTGGATCTAAGGCAATGTGCAGTAAAGTAACATAAATGAAACCATATATTCAAGCAAAGACTTAGTTTTTCTTGCTATAATAATCTCATGATTACTCAGTTCAAGAAACGAAACACTCATGATAAATTTTGTTTTGTTGAACAATTCATGTAAAATTAAAATACTTACAACTAAAGCAGAATCTTTTATTTCAACAATGTCCACTAACTCCTCAATTAATCCTGGATATAATATGACATTCATATTATCCTGTATTGCACTTGAGTAAACTGGAATGAAAAAGAAAAACCACTTTATCAAAGCAGTGATAACTTTTTAATAATCAACTGTTTAAAAAATTTGAATTGCTATGCTTAAAGACCAAACAAAAAAGTTTTCATACAGACATAACTAAAAAATCAATTTTTTTTCTCTTTGTTAACCTTAAGTGAGCAGCAAACAGGCTTAAGTATTTCATGATTACTAAAAACCTTTTTTATTTCTGAAGTAGGAAACTAATAAATATTTATAATTATAATCACTTGGCTTATTACTTGGTAAATAAATGTGATAAAAATTTATAAAAATGATAAGTGTTTTAATTTTGATACTAAAAATATAGAAATAAAACGTGTCCCTATATGCAGGTTACATGAGTACAAGAGAAAGCCGCAAGCAAACTTTCTATGCACTACACAACTAGCACCTACAATACAGAGGTAGAATACTTTAGCACACTTATGACTCAAGCACACTCTATGAACAGCCAATAAGGTTGTTTGGGCAATGGATGTTGTTAGCTTAATTCAACAAACTAACATCACCACTTATATACCCAGAAGTGTGGATCTAAGGGAATGTGCGGTTATAATGCTTGAATAAAAAAACTAATGGTAAAAATCATTTTCAAAATTGTATAAAATTTATAAATCAACATTAAAAACCATTTCCATTTCTGGTATATAATGCTTATTCTAATAAAACATTGAAAACATATATCCACAGAAAAAAGACAAATCTTTAACATACAGCAATTTAATATTAAAAAAATTTAAATAAACATACATACCCAAGATTGAAATAGCCTGAAGTCTTGCCTGGACACAGTGTACACGAGCTTCATAATTTGAGAACAGACATGCCAATCGTATGTGAGTAAACAGCAAAACCTAAACAGAAATAAATTTTATAATGTGCTAGAGCGTTACATGGAAAACATGTTTACCTAATGATACATTAGTAGGCTAAAAATAGATAAGTAAATTAAAGTTACAAACCTGTTTTTCTAATGGAACATCATACAAATCTAATATATCTTCCATAATCTGGGATGGCATTCTTCCAGTCTTGTCTACATTTTCCATATGTATGCTCTGAATTATGGTTGCTGTACCCTGTTTAAAACAATTTTGTAAGTGACATATACAATGACAAAGTTTATAAACAGAAACAAAAAAGTGCAATGTATTTGTAAATAATATAGTATGATATATACTCACAGATGGAAATTTTTTAAAGTGTTTATCTTTATCCTCTTTACTCTCTGTGTAAAATTCAAAGTGCAATGTTGTTGCACTTAGTGGAAAGCTCTACAATAAAAAGTTAAAATTTAATCCTACGTTAATACAAAAGAGTAGTTTTTGACAAAATACACGCAACAGGTTTGGACAACATATTATTGCTGCTAACATACCTGAAAACATCAAGTTTTTGGAGAATGTGTACTTAAATATAATGATACAAAAACATGAAAGAGAATATTTACTGTATGTTGAATATATCTTAAATTTTTCAATGCATTATAACTACTTACCCCAGAAGGAAGATCTTGACAACATTCTGCAAGACCAAATCCATTTTCTTTTCCTCCCCAACTCTAGATACATAAACATCAAAATGTTATAAATTAAAATAAAGCAATTAGTTTTGATACATTTACAATTTACAGTTAAAAGTGAATGTCATTTCTTTAAATAAATATTTACCTCTGCAAGATGAATTAACCTCTGAATGAGACCTTGTCTTTTTTCAGGATTCATCCGAGAAATAAAGTTGGACCGCTTACTGTATTTTGAAAAAGTTTAATAAAAGCTGGCTACATAAAGCATCAATTCAAGGAATTGTAAAAAAAATGAAAAAAAAAAAGGTTATAATGTGTAAATTAATCTCTACATAAAAAGTTTTGACTAATTTACAAGGTAGTACTGTACAATAAACTTATGTAAATTAAAAAATATTTGATTTTTCAAATGTGAATTCTAGTTTTACCTGAAAACATAGAGCAAGTTTAGCACATAAAGCACAGTACTCATGTCACATGAGGTAAGCAAAGTTGTTAAGTGATCCATCGAGTTGTAGAGATGTCTAGAGAAGCTGTGCTCAATCAAGAGAGCCGTAAATCGTAGAATTTCAAGGAGTAGCTTTTTAAGCTGCGAACACACAAAAAAATATTTAATTTCTGTGCTATTAACTAAATTCTTAGAAGTAACTTTAACTGGTAGCCTTAAAATATCAGTAAAGACTATATTGATTTTATTGTAAATAAGATGTATTGTTATAAATTTTTGATGGTGAAATAAAATAAATTTGAAACATTATTACCTGCTCACTTCCCCCCAGGTCACAGTGTAGTGTCCACTTCTTTTCATTTTCTTTGTTGCAAGATTTTTCCAAAAATGCATCAAATATATCTAGAATATCAGCCCAATGATAGAGCTCGCACTGCAGAGAAATAAATTGGAGTAAAGAATCATCTAATGCCAATTTAACACAACAAATAACTATGTAGTCAAAAAAACTTTAAGCTTAATTTAAAACACATTTTTGTGGTACTGTTCAACTGTTGTCTCTATTTTTATATATTTTAAAACTTTACCTTCCCATAAGTCCATGACTTAATATCTTTAAGTTCTTTATAGAGGTCATCAGGAGATAAACCTTTCAGTTTGTCAATCAGAACCTTGCAATCTGCAGGCTATAAAATGAATTGCACAGCAATATAAAAATCTATACATGGTATTGAAAAATTACTTATTATTTAATTAGAATACAAGTTTACCAACTAAAAGTGTAAACCTCCAAAGACATAGAAGTACTCACCACCTCAGATGAGGATTTCTTTAGTTTGGATCTGTCAACTTTCATATTGGTATCATGTGTGTGACCTGAACGGAATTTTTTTTTAATGTATGGTGAAAGGTAATCAAGCATAAAAATTTTAAAGACTGAATAGTACACAGTACATTATGTTCCAACTTTTCTCCAAACTTTCATTGCAGTGAAGTGGTGAACCTTTATCATTGCAGCATTTCATAAAAAGTTAAAATTTAATAGCTAACAGTACGCTTCATTTTTTTTAAGAAAAGAAAATAAGTAGCCTAAATTTTTCTGTAAGCTTGCCTACATTTTGTAGTCTATCATTTTCATTGTTTATGATTTTAACTCTTGAAGACCTAACAATGCACTCAGCAGTCAAGAGGCCGGCCTCCAGCACCCATTATAAAATTAACAATAATTAAAGTATTTATGCTAATTAAATACTAATCCGATCCATGATTTTTGTAGAAAAATGGATGTACTATGGTTTCTAATGAATACAAACTGAAGAAAAGTAATTATTTCTTATCATTAATTTTCCCAACAGAAGCATATTTTTTGCCTTAAAAAATCAACTCTTTAGGCCTATTTTCTTCTTTAAAACTAATTATCTTTCTTCAATAAAATGATTAGGCTTACATAAAATTTAAATTAATTTATCTCAGTAATGTGTGGGTTGTAAAGGGTTGTAAAAGATATGAGCAGTTTTGCTGCAGTGGTACTGAAAAAAATTCTGGTAAGACGTGAAAATAATTAAGGGCTTAATGAGTTAAAAATCAATAGAGGAGGTAAATTTTACATATCTTTTTTTTTTAAAGTGACTACGCGGAATGCTCAAATATTATCAAAATTCCCTAGAACGCGTTCTAAAAATAAGTATCAGGAAAACTATTTAATACTCCATAAATACATAACTAATAAACTCTAATAGGCCTATAGGTCTATTAATAGATAATCTAAAACTTTTTCATTAATAGGCTATATTATGTTTGGAATTATGATATATTTTGTCCTGTTGTAAAAAAATAAAGCAGTGTTTATTTCCTTTGGGTTTAGCCGTCTACTGATTGAAAATGCCTAAAATTTTGTTAGCTAACACATTGAGAGTGGCAATCAGTCTTTTGATATTTTATTTTTTAAAATTGCAAAGGTTGCAATTTTAGAATCTTTTTTTTTTTATCTATTTAAAAATATTATTTCACAATTTCCAAACATTGCTTGTTTGGTTGGCAGGGTCACATACGTTTTAGAATGAACATAAGATCATCTGTGATGTCACCTCCCACCACCCCCATCCAAGCCAATTGAATAACAGGGACTTACTTCAACTGGTTAATTTTGTAAGTACAAATATGTCTACATCTAGACTTAGATCTAGTACCACGCATGCCAGATAGTTGAGATAGCTATAAAAACACTTAGGCTACTTTAAACTACTTTACAAAAGAACAGTTTGATCACATTATATTTATCATCTGACCTATTTTTTTTGGCCGCGTTTGCGCGGTTCGCCCCGCATTACACGTAAGGCCGCCTTTGCGCAGTTTGCTCCGCATTACGCTTAATCTTTACCCTAGGTGGCACGCGATCTAAAAAAAAAACATCAGGACTGCCCGATTTTTTTTTCGTGGTAACAATTTAATGTTGACATAGATCTAGATCGAGTTTAAGTGTATTTAGATCTCTATATTATTTCAACACCTAAGAGTCTAGTACTTGTAAAAAAACAGTACAGTGTAGTGTCAAGGAAAGTTTGTGAGGTCAGATGATAGTCCTAGATCTAGCAGCAACCTAGCTAAATCAAACTGTCCTTTAACCTTTAGGCCTAGCTAACTAGCAAGCGTGATAGTAGTAGATCTAAGTCTATATTATTTATCCTTTAAAAAAAAATTCAATTTGCTTGAGGGGGGAGGGGGGTGGGAGGAAGAGAGAAGTGAAGACAGACGATCTCGAGTGAACGTCTATGAAGATTGCTTTAGGTCTGCTGAACTCAGTGACCTCGCCGACCGTGGGCCGTGGTGGGATTTTCCACTCACTGGATAGTAAACGTAAGGCAAGCAAGCAATCGCGACAGTGACGATGTTTGGAAATTTTATTAAAAAAAAAAAAGAATCATAGTCTACGTCATATTTTAAATATGAAAAAAAAAATGTAAAAAAAAAAGAGTTAACCCCGGGTTCGAACTCTGAACTCCGGGTCTATGAACTTCAGACTACAGCTGGCACACTGTTGACTCAACCACAGCAGATGTGATAGAGAAGCCAAAAATAAGCATTTTCAATTGCAAGATGGCAAATCAAACCTGCGAGACGCGTAGTATATTCTTTAGGGGCCACGCTTAGCGAGACGCGTAGTCGCTTCGATTTTTTTTTTACAGAATTAATAAAATATTCATATTTCATTTGAAAAATACTAGCTGCCAAGTACAAGTAGTTATTACACTGGCTAACAGTGAAACTGCATCCAAAAACTCATATGCATGCTTATGGCTATGGCCTTTCTACTTTCTAGGCTAGTATTAGAAATGCAGTGTTTAGGACAAGCCATGGAAGACTTGAAAAAAAAAAGTTTGTTGATCAACTCAACAATGAATTTCATTTTTTATTCAACAGACTCCTTTCTGGTAGTCTAGATCTAGATTTAGAAAATAGATTCTATGCCAGGGCATATTTTCAACTAGACTATTCTAGACTTCATTTCTAGATTATAGATTTAGGCCCTACACATGAAATGTGTGGGCCTAACTTTTAGATTTAAAATAACAAATCTAACTTTCTAAAATCTAGATTAGACCCTGGGCCTAAATGATTCAAAAGTAATTAGATCTAGATAATATATAGAATCTATAGGCCTATCAAGACCAAGACCTATGCCATACTAGTCAACAATGTATATTGAGTATATTGAGGTTGAAATATGCGTGCTCCCTCCATTTGTATTTTCCTAGGAGCTGTCTTCTCTACGAAATAATGCAGCACAATAAATGTGAAAAGTGTGATCACGAAATTTTGTTTCAAAATGAGTCAGCATTTTAGTTCTTTTCAACGACCATTCATTACTGTCGAAAATAATATACGCATCGATTGCTGATTAAATTGTTAATAAACACAGTATTGCAAGTTTTCTAGAACCAGTTTATCAAACAAATCATGAAAATTCTATGCTGCAATTCTTTTTACTTTTACCTGAACACGGCCGCCATTTTTTTCCAGTGGAAATGCCCGGATTGTAAGGAAAAGGGAGAGAACTCTCAAAATAAATAGCGGCATGGTGTGTGATAACGCTAGGCTAGAGGCTTCGTTTTACCGTAAAACGTGTTTTTTACCGTTAGGCCTAGATCTAGTCTAATACTGTTTTACCGACACCGAATTTGTCCTGAAAATTTTTCTCTTACTTTTAATTTTAAACGTTAAAAATTCATGTGTTTTATTTATAATGCTGCTAATTATTTTCTCAACCGTTTTAATATCTGTATTTGAATTTCTAACAATTTTGACAATTTGCAAAACATTGAAAATAGGCTAAATGGAGAAGATGCAAGTGGTGCCACCGCTCGGACACAAGAAAAATGAAACAACCCGTAGGGCCTAATCAATTAATTTCTCATCTAGAATAAGTTTTTAAACTTTGTTTTATGAGGGGGGGGGGGGGGATAAAGAAAAGGGGGCACAAAGGGGAGATAAGATTTAGTACTAGAAAAAAGCTAGCCGTCGACGGTGAAATGTTGGTCACAGATGGTTGGTTTCTTGCCTGAGATTCGTCACTACGGTCTAAGAAGGGACAGGTACTGATCGGGTTTATAGCCAGGGGCGGAACTACAGTGCCGCCCGACCCCGCAATGCGGGGGGGGGGGGGGGCAGACCAATTGGGGGCCCAAAAATCCTGGCTAAATTATTTTAAAAAAATAAAAAAAAATAAAAAAATTAGGTGGAGGTCGAGTTATCTTTCCTCTACAGTTACAAACAAACACGATAGTCGGCAAACGTCTTTGAGAAAAATGCACTGACTATAACTCGAGAGACCGCCAGACATATAGACAACTTCAAAGACGAAGCATCTGAAATTTGACTGTGTCGGTACGCTTTGAAATCGGGCTGGGGAAATGTTGCGGCGAGGCGACTATCCTGGTCTTCTAAACGATCGGAAAAAGTCGGCACTATTGATGTAGATGTTTATCGGCGCTTTCTTGTCCCCTTCCCTTCCCAACTCTCTCCCCCCCCCCCCCTCCCCCCTACCCCTCACTTCCACCCCTCACCACACCCTTACTCTTACAATAAGATGTAATGCATAGATTAACGAACCGTCTATGAACTGTAAGCTGACCACTTCTGCCCATTTTGTTAAAGACACTAGTCAGTAGTTGTTCATTTACCTGATGAACAGGGGCGGAACTACAGTCCCGCCAGACCCCGCAATGCGCGGGGGGGGGGGGGGGGGAGGCCGTTTAGGGGCCCACGGCTGACCAAAATTTTTTTTTTTTTTAAATTTTGAATTTAATTTTTGCCTTAATATTTGGTTTGTAAAAGAAAAACACTGTAGCTGCGGTACGATTATCTTTATTTTACAGTCACTATACCACGCTCTTCCGCAAAAGATAAAATCCATTACACAAACTACAGTGTAAAATATAGGCAACTTCAAATTTTGAATGACTTCTTTGACTCATTGCCTCCCCCCCCCCCCTCCCTTTGATAGCTAAATAGAGGACACGTAACTGTTTGACCGATCCTCCAAAGTATACTGTGGCAGATGGGGCAGGGGATGGGGACCAAAAAGGGGATTAAAAAATTGTCGACAAATTCTTTACATATTTAAAACAGTTATTTATAGTTGTATTTTTTAACCATCGTCAAGGCCGAGTTCTATTTCCCTACAATCAAACACACGCTGTCGCCGGCAAAATTCTTTTTAAAAAACAACAAAATCCATAGCACGAAAAGCCGCTACATATGAAGTGGGCTTTCAATACTTTCATGATGCGCGATTCTTATTTGCGGCATTGGTAGGGGACCCGAAATCCATTGTACATTTTTCAGTGTTAATATGTGTTTGTGATAGTGGTTGAATTTGTATCCTGTACTATCTTGTATCGTACAAATAATTTAAAAAAAATAATATAATACTAGACAGTGGCGTAGCCAGGATCGTCTCAAGGGGGGGGGGTTCCAATTTTTACCCGGGGACAAACTTTCGATTTGCACCCCCCCTCAAACTTTCGATTTGCACCCCCCCCCCCCCTCAAACTTTCGATTTGCACACCCCCCCCCCCTCAAACTTTCCATTTGCACCCCCCCCTCAAACTTTCGATTTGCACCCCCCCCTCAAACTTTCGATTTGCACCCCCCTCATACTTTTTCTATATACCGAGGGGTCTATGGGGGGGGGGTTATGACCCCCCCTACCCCCCCCCCCCCTGCCTACGCCACTGATACTAGAAACTTCAGTTTTATATACGTTTACTTGTTTTTGATTTTACAAGAAATATAGTTAACTTTTAAGGCCTATACTTCAAATTATCTCCCCTGAGTAAGTTTTACAATGGGCGATGCTGACGTACATAGATCAAGGCGTTTTGTTGTCCCTTTCAAGTTTTTTCCCGAGCCGACCCCTATCCCATCCCTCTTTTTCAACCTCACAAGTATCGAGGAGATAAATGTATCGTTTATGAACTACTTCCTAACCGTACGATTCACCACTTCAGCACATTTTGTCAGACACTAGACAGCACTAGATCTAGTCAACACATATTAATTTACTTTCATAGTAGTAGTCACATCTAATTCACAAAACAGGGCAGGTAAGATTATTTTTTATATAATTATTTAGAAATTAATTAGAACGTTTAGAATTAATTGAAAATTATTAATAGTCATTGAGGTGGTGGTGTGTGAGGGTCTGGCTTTTTGTTAATCCCCCCCTTCCCTAAATCAGAAGGTTATCCAACGCGTGACCTGGCCACATACAGTTGTACATGTGAAAAACATTTTTCTCTCTATTATTATTATGCATTACTGCATCATTCACCCAATCGCCATGAAAACTTGGGAAGCTGTTGAGTACAGCCCTGCTAAGGTTTCTGTCATAGGCCTAACATTTGTATATATTTGAGTGGGGACTCCTAACGGAAATATGTGATTTAGCGCCCCGTGATCCTGCATAAGCGGATGAGGTTACTACTTGAATACATCACATATGAGCAAGTTGGCCCCCACAGACAGTCGTTTAAAAGTTCCCACAACACTAGGAATAAGTCTCGCTACTACACTCGATGAATAAATCTAATTAGGTGTCGCACCAATGTTTCTTCCAGGGTAGACTGTTTTCGGGGGAGGGGAGGGGGGGAGCTCTGCCGGAAGAAACAATGTGTCACACCCATCACCCGTGCAGTAATGTAACCGGTAGCTCCAAGAGCCCCGTGACTCCCCTGACACCTGGGCCGTCGCCGAGGGATTTACAGCATGCCTTGGCGTGTCTAGTTGGTAGTGTGGACAAACCCGCGCCTTAAGATCCAAGAAATGAACTGCCGACATTGTTAACATTTAATTCAACTTCTGGAAAACAGGGCACACGGTTAGTAACGTTTTGATGAAAACCTCAGTTTGGTGTGTTGGACTAGATTTAGAAAGGGGCCAGCTCGTGTGTTGGAAAACCTCTGATTTATTCGTGTACCAGATGGAATTTTTTTTAAATTGAGAGAAAATCTTGTTATATATATATATATATATATATATATATATATATATATATATATATATATATATATATATATATATATAGGGGCCCAAAAAAATTCTTCGGGGGGGGGGGGGGCTTTTTTCTAGTTCCGCCACTGATACACATGACATGTTGTTGTGATTAGATTTAATTGAATATTTTTTTTCAAAACCCGATCAGGCCAGAAATGAGTATCCTATGTTCGTATTGTGTGTTTATATATATATATATATATATATATATATATATATATATATATATATATATATATATATATATATATATATATATATATATATATATATATATATATATACATATATGGGGGGCCCAAAAAAATTTTTTGCGGGGTGGCCCATTTTTTCTAGTTCCGCCACTGTTTATAGCAATGATTTTTAGTTGTAGACTAATGTGATGTCGACTTCATTAAGTAGGAATTTCTACAAAGAAAATAAAACAAATTTTAAAAACCTAGATCTAGATCTATATTAGTTGAAAGTTTTAGGGATGATTTTTTAAAATAAATATTTAGTGCAGTTAAAAAAACGTATTATGTTACCGGGTTTTATAAAGTTTTTTTTTAACAAGCTTTTACTTAGTCCGTTTGATTGTGGGTTTGTAACTCATTTTTTACCCACTTCTACTATAACCATCGATTTCATTCAAACTTCCTGACACGTTCTTCTTCGCTGACAATGAAAGAAATTTTTTAAATCTAATTAAACATACTTTTTAGCGCAATTTCCATTCTGGAGAATTGCGTTTATTAACTCGTCATTTCTGGGAATGGATGGATGGATGGATGAATGTGTGTCCGGGCTTTAAGTCGTATCTCCTCCTCAACGAAGCAATATCGATGAATAGTTCCAAAAGCAATTATGTTAAGCAAGTTACGAGAATGAGCATAGGCCATAAAAATTCCGGGTTTCTTTCATGTATTTCCCGGAAAAGCCAAAAAACCTCGAAAAAATTCAGTTTTTGGCCCATATCTCGGCAACCAGACCACTTAGCGACTTGAAACATGTACCAATCGATTCCTGTCATAATTTACAACAATATTGCCGAAGAAAGTTTTCAAAAATATTCTCTCGTTCGGTCACAAATTTTAAAATTACATAAACACCTACAAACCGATTGTTCTTCTAGCTTGAACGCACCCCAACATTATACGTCAGAGCCATTTTTAGATAACATAAGGAAATTGCGCACAAATGTCACTAGACTTTTTTAATTAACTTGTTAATTAATAAAAATGTAACTAAAAAATTACTACGTCCAATAATAATAGGGGAGATAACAGTTTTAAATACTAGCGATCGCACGATCAAATCGCCATCAAGGAGGAACTGCTGTCTCGTTGAGCGTCAACCACGAAGAAGGGGCAGATAACTCTTTTTATAGATCGCAATCTACTAGTCAAGAAAATATTTTTAGTCGTAGCCTAGAGTCTGTATATTTGATCTAATGTCAGCTTCATAAGGAACGAATTACTAAAAAGCGGGAAATAAAAACAAAAAGTGTAAAAAACGTTATAATAACAAGCTTTTAAATGCACTGAAAATTAGAAAATAAAACAAACGTACTTACATTTATAATATAAATTTATAAAGGCTTTGGTCTCTAAAAAATAAAAATATGTAAGAGATATCACGAGCGACTAAAGTTTGTAGTAAGTGAAGCAAGTTTGTTTAATTTTCTTATTTTCTGTGCATTCAAAAACCTGCTATTATAAAGGTTTTAATATTTGTTTTATTGTTTTATTTCTTGTTTGGCTTTAAAAAAAAAAAACGGCACAGAGTAAGCCCAAGAGGTCATATCCGTTGTTACCAGTACATGATATCGATAAGTAACTAACAAATATTCTGCGGGCCTTAGAAAACTGACTCAAAACTTCAATGTTATAAAAGGCCGACTTAAGCCATATTTCTGCTTTATTCTAAGTTATTAGTTAATGTCAGCCTGACAGGTGAAATTTAGAATAATTTAGATCTAGGCCTAGTTAAAATGATCAAGTAATATTGAGCTAAACTAGACATAGGCCCTAGGCTAAGTCACAAGTCAAGACCAAGCCAAGAGTACCAACACCTGGGACCTCAGGCATCTATTCTACTTTTAGTACTTACTAGTCTTACTTTAACTTACTTATTCTACTAGTCTTAGTTATTTAGTTAATAGTTAGAGTTTAAGACCTACACTTACTAGATCTACTACTTACTAGTACTGACTACTAACTAAGTACTAGGTCTACTAGTAACTAGAGTCTATAACTAATTTTACTAAACTATTTTTAAGTAATAGTTTAGTTATGCTAGTTAAGTAAATTGTCTTCATTACCACCTGTATGAAAATGTTTTTAATGAGCTTTAAAATTTTAATGTATGACTGCTAATTTCTTGTGTTGACCTCTTGTTGATATTGTGTGGGTATTCATTACATACTTTGACTATGCACATCAGATAGAAATAAACATCTGAAAATCAATGAGGAAAAAACAGATTCAAACAGTGGCTGTGCAGGTACTATTTGAATTTTTTCACAATGTCACTACAGTAAATAGTCTCAAAACAGGGTCTGATAACCTCATATGATGTATAAAACATTAAGTATAGATATATACACTGTTTACATGGGCATATTTTATTTAACCTTTCACACTTTCCTATAGCTAAATATAATGTTTTTATTTTACAGGGCACTAAACCAAAAACCAAGAAACCTTTGGATAAAGTTTGTGCTGTAAAAAGGTTTTTAAGCTTTCAATGAAAAATTTTAAAATCTAAATGCATCACTTACAAAATACCCTATTTATAGAAATATTATGTGATAGTAGAACACAAAAACTTAAAAGCCCAAACATTTAAGCTAGATCAAGGTAATAATCCAGCCTTAAATAATCTTTAAATAGTACTGAGTAATGATTACAAATTTTTTTTAAATCCTTTAGAATCTATTTCATATATATACCTGTTATACACTGAAAAGGGCTTGGTTAACGTAGACTATAATTAACCATTTAATGTTTAATTCTTTTTAAATTCACTATTGATCCCTTCCATCAGTGAATTAGTGGTGGAGCATTTCTATTAATTTTACCTTCAATTTTCAAGTGTTTAATTGCAGCCAAAGGATTATGACCTTCAACTTTTCCTTACATGATAATTTTAATAATGCTAAATATAGATTCTGTTTAGAATTTCTATGTATTAAAATGTTTACATCACTCATATGAGAGAACATGTATAACTTATTTTAATCGACAGAGAAAATGGTAAACACACTTCCACTGTTCACCCAGCAGCCAAAGTACGTTTACCTTTCAAATCTGCCCCAGGTTTCTCTCTCTACTCAGATTCTGAACATGAAGATTGTAGTACACAACAGAAAAATAAACAAATCAGTAAGTTTAAAATGTACTGAATATTTATTATTTTATTATATAAACATTCATAAAAATTAAATGGTTACACTTTATTCAAAACTCAAAATTAATACTGTGATTCAGGTTAGTTTTTTTTTTTTACTTCCTGTAAAAATAATTTACTTGCTCCAGTAAGGATTTTTATATTTCTCTTCAGAAAGTGGACCAAACATAAATAGCTTACAAAAAGCCCTACACAACAGTGATCTAGTGGAGAAGAGCGAAAATGAAGTAGTCACACAAATGCAGGTACAAGCCAAATCTGAACAGTCAACATCAAAATTCATGAATGGTAGGTTAAGAATGCAATAACAACTTCAAACAAAAAAAGTATTACTATTGAGCTTTTATTAAGTATAGACTTATACTACAAAAAAAGTATTACTATTGAGCTTTTATTAAGTATAGACTTATACTACAAATCTCTTTGATTTTTATTTGAAAAATATAACGAAACATTTAGTATTGTTTTCCTCACATTCTAGGTTTAAACGACGTCACACCTTTAGAAAATATAAACATTCCTGAAGTAGTGACACCGTTTAACAAAAGGCTTGTTTCATCCACCCCTGACCCTGAGCGTCTGCTAGAAGCAGACATGCAGCAGCAACAAGCGTACACATCTGGTCCCACATCTCTCCTAGCCAGCATTCTCTCACAACCACCCCGCAGTGTCTCTCCTCAGACAGTCCCTGAGCGGGACCTAGCCTGGCCGCCACCTCCCATGTCCACTGGGGTTAAGCAGCAAAGACAAGCATCCCAGGAGAAACCTGCCCTTCAACCACCTGAACAGTTGTTCCATCACGCATTGCCTGGTTATGAACTCCGACAACTGTCTCAGATAGAAAACGAAGGTGGTTATTCTTATAATAAATTTGTTTCTCAACATCCAATTTATAAAGCAGAATGGCTGGAAGAAATGGAGGATGTCGCCCACCGCAAAATATTACCACCTAAAGACCCTAAGAAAGAAGGGAATAAAATTACTTTAAGCTCTGGAAAATTTCCTTCTGTATCGCATATAAATTCATCAGATAGAAAACCTCGACAAAAATCGTTTCATCCCATAGAAGCACAGTCCAGTGTCCATCACAACAATGAATTAAATCATGACAGTAAATCTAGTGCTTTTTCTAAGCCGGGGAAATCTGTAACTAGCACAGTCCAAAGAAATTCCAGGTCTATAAAAGCTGACCAATTAAAAATGAGTGTTGAAAAGACCAAGCCAATCAGCATGCTCCAAAACAACTCAAAAGTTGAATCTGTGGAAAGAAGAGCAGAGAAGGAAAGAGAAGGACCAGTAAAGTATTCTCCCCCAACTGTAGAAATAAGAAATATAGTGCTTATACCAACTCAACCAGATGAAGACACAGGATCCTTGGAAGTTAGTCGAATAATGAATTGTTCAAATAGTGATGAAGTGGGGGTAAAAACAGGCATCACAAATGTTGAAAACAGATCACCTTCAAGTGATTCGTCAAACTTAAGCCAAGTGATTGAGTTTTTAAAAACAGGTGCATTTAATTTGAGCAGTGAGAAACAGAGCGCTGTAAGCTTGGGCAGTGAGCAACAGGGTGCTTTTAACTCCAGCAGTGAGAAACAGGGTGCTTTTAACTTGAGCAACGAGAAACAAGGTGCTTTTAACTCAAACAGGGAGAAACAAGATGCTTTTAACTTGAGCAATGAGAAACAAGGTCCTTTTAACTTGAGCAATGAGAAACAAGGTCCTTTTAACTTGAGCAATGAGAAACAAGGTCCTTTTAACTTGAGCAATGAGAAACAAGGTGCTTTTAACTTGAGCACTGAGAAACAAAATGTTAATAACTCTAGCAGTGAAGAACAAGGTATTGAACCTGAATTGGAAGAGGTTACCATTGATGTCTCAAAAAATTCCATTAGAGATCTAAACAACTCTCCTGAAGTTCCAATAGATGTTTCTAAAAAATATGAAGCCACTGATAAAAATGTATCTCTAGAAGATCAGAATTTACAGGATATCATGAACTGTTATCTCCCCTTTCGAGAGCAAAGGGAAACCAATCCAATCAATGAGGAGAACACTCAACAAGGTTCTGTATCAAGAACAAACAGTGAGGATGAGGATAAATTAATTGATAATAAGGATGAAGGTGGGAATGTTAACCAGAACTATAACAGTGATAATGAGCAAGATCATCCCCGACCTAGAAGAAATTTGGAGTACTTAGAAAAAATGGCTGACCCCACACTTCGAGACATTGCTTGCCGACTTACATTTAAGGCTACAGCATTACGTAAGTACAGTGTATTATAATATAGCTGGGTTGATGATATACATTTATTATATCTTGGGTAGAGTGAAATTATGCTAATACTATGGTGGCCAGTGATGTATGGAGGATTTGGTTATTCGGTGTGGGGGGGGGGGGGGGGTTGTTAGAGTTAAATTCAAAATTTTGAATGGTTGAACAGCCCTTTGTGTAGCACTGCTGGTGCAGCAATGGTTAGTATTCCTCCGCAGAGAATTTGTAAAAGCTGAATCGTCAAAACTGAAGTCCACATTTAGACCTGGTCATCTACATTATTGAGCATGATATCAGCATGTAAAGGGATAACATGGTCAGCACTATGTCCATCTGACTTTACTTTCCTGGAGTTGAAATAGGTGTTGAGTTGGCTCAAGGATATCTCACAGACTGAAGCTCAGGAATTGAATTTAACTTTTCTTTTGAGTTACAAATTGGCTCAAACACCCACCCATCCCCCGTTTGTAATTGCTACCATTTTATTTTCTACAAAAACTTTGCTTGAAAAATCTGATGATTGCAAAAGTTTTCAAGTACAGAATAACTTTTTTTAAGGAAAATATGCTCTTTTGTTAAGCTTAGGAAAAGTATATTTGACAACTTCACATTATTTACCAGGTGATGTGGAGCTGCGAGATCTAATTGATGATATGTTATACTACACTGATGCAGCTCTAGGTAGAGAGGTTGTGCGATGTCATTCAGCTCAAATGGACTTAGCTAAAGAAAATAGCAAATTGAAAAAGTATGTCTTTTTAATACAGCTTTTTCCTTTCATACACTTAGCAGATGATTTTATGCAATCTTAGATGGCATTTAAATAATAAGAAAGATAATATACAAACATTTTAAAAAGTATATTTAGTATTAAATTTGCTATTAGGAGGTTCATATCTAATTTTTTGAGTATAAAATTTCAGGAGACTTCAAATGTTGAACCAACAGCTGGATTTCAAGGAAAGACAAGAGAGAATAAATGCCAGTAATGGTATTACAAGAGAGGATGGTCAGTATTACATATCCCCTAGTAGTGGTCTGGGTTTATAAGTAACTTACCCTATTAAAAGCAAATACATCTGTTATTAGTGTTATAAGAAACTGTCTCAACTACAAAGTCATTTTCTCCATTATCAGCAAAGGTTGTTGTAAATATTCAGTTACACCTACATAAACTGATTAACTATTATGCTTGGTCACTTCTAAAGCCTCATTAAATGATGATGTTTGTAAAACCTGTTTTGAAAAAATAGCTTAAGTGTTCTATTTAAAATGTTCCCTTTCTGACCAGAAGATAGATAGAGTAGATGGCATCTGTTGTTTCTCTGATCTCGGCAAGTGAAGGATTAGTTTGGTCAGCACTATACCCAACTACCTTTACTTTCTTGAACTAAATTCAGGTACCCATCTGATCTGACCAGGGTGGATTTGAAGATACCATAAGGGCTTAACCTAGTTACTCAACTGTTTGTAGTCAAATGCCCTACCACTTGATTACACCATCCAGCAGTGTTATATAATTACATTTATTATATGTATCATTAGTGCTCCTCTAACCCCAACAGCTGTTTAATTTGTCCTTAATTTAAAGCAAAACATTTACATAACTTGTTTGGTTCAAACTTGCAGTGTTGCATCTGGAAAGGAAGATTCTGTTCTTAAAACAAGAAAAGGAAAAACTAGACAAGCAGGTAACAAACCTGTTGGAAGAGAAAGCAAGATGGCTGACCACGCAACAAGACCTTGTGAAAACCATCAGCATTAAGGTAGGCGTAGTATACCAGTTAAAACGTAAGTACGGGTTGCTGGTAAAGTTAAGTAAAGTTTCCTTTTCAAACCTGACAGTCTATAGGGCAGGTGAAGTAGAGTTCGCTTGTTTCTGTGACCTTGGCATATGAAGAGATAGTGTGGTCAGCACTATGCTCAGCCACCTTTACTTTCCCTAACGTGAGTTAGGTACCCATCAGAGTTGGGTGGACTCAGGGACGGTCTACTGACTTGAACCTGGATTTGAACTCGAGAGTTATGGGTTAGCAGTCCAGCTGTCTACCACTAGACCACTCTTTCCCACAGGTTGCTGGTGCCTATCGGCAAAAGCTGTGTCTTAGGATGGTTGATGCTCATGGCAACAGCTCTCTATTTCTGTCACTTTTAGACAGGAACAACTGGCTTAAGCAATTATCTTAGCCAGGTATGCCACAACAGGATGTAGAAACAAAAGCTTCTCACAACCCTGTTGCCAGCCTCTATGACCTGTTAGTTCCCACCAGGTTCTTCCCTCCCCACTGATGCTATTTATTTGGAGAATGACCATAGGCCTTGTACCCTGAGCTGAACTTAGGATTTTAACAGCAACATTATTAAATTTATTTTTTTCAGCTTAAATTATTGCAGACCCTTAGAATAGTCTTCATATTGTTACGTAAAACAAATAATTTTTTTTTCTAGGTTAAAAAATATTTCTCTAAATTAATGTAATACCAAACCAGTTTTGTTTGAGTTCAGACTAAAATGATAGTTGGCTCCACAGGATCATGAACTGCTTAAATTGGATGAGAGATATCTAGAGGAAAAGAAAGCCCTTCACAAGTCACTAGAACAAGCCACCCAAAACTCTCAGGGTGTTCACTATAAACTATCAGTGGCAGATAGGCAGGTCAGCAACCTTGAGCAGAGGCTCAAGTGTAAAGACCTGGAGATTGATGACTTGAAGGAAAAACTGAAAGAAGCTAATGAAAAACTTCTTTTGTGTGAAAGCCGAGCTCTGAAAAAAGATGAAGAGATGATGCGGATGCAAGATCTTGTAGAGTAAGTGATAGGGTCAGCATTAAGTGGATATTGTCTATATAAAGTAAATCTTAAATACACCAAAATCTTGTAGAGTAAGTGATATTGTCAGCATTAAGTAGTTTTTGTATATATAAAGTAAATCTTAAATACACCAGGTTCTTGTAGAGTAAGTGATATGGTCAGCATTAAATAGTTTTGTCTATTTAAAGTAAATCTTAAAAACACCAGGTTCTTTCATTCGGGTGATAAAAACCATTCTTCTTCTGTTTCTTTTTTTCTCCCCAAGAAGTCAAGAACTGCCACACTTCTTATCTTACTGTTACCCTCATTAGGCCTGGTCTTTCCATTTGTATATTGCTCTTCTACTTTTTACTCTTCCTTTGTGGATACCAACTCATTTACTTACTGAGCAATGTTGTTATGTAGTTTTCTTACTGTAGTCCTATTCTTCCTGCACATCCTTTCTATCATTTAAAATTCCATCTTGTCTAAAGATCTCCCATAGGCATGTGTTTTTGTATGTCTCATGCCAATGTATTTTTAAAATGTTGAATTCCCACACAGCACCTTAAAAGTGGGTGTGGACAATGTCCTTCAAGCTTATGAAGCCAGCTCATCACAGGATGCAACATCAGCACAGAGACGAGGCATAGAGAGGCTTACAGTGATAGCACATCCAGAGCGGTACAGGTCTGTTGTAAACTAAATCATCTCTTCCAGTACTTTTTATTTTTGCATGAAGCACAAGGGATAACTGAACAGCAAGGCTGGGTGGTAGAGCACTAAGGGACCACTTGACTCCTAACTAAAAAGTCTCAAGTTCGTATTTCGGACTTGATTTTGTAGGACAGTCCTGAGTTCACCCAGCTCTGGTGGGTACCTGACTCACATTAAGGAAAGTAAAAGCGGCTGGGCATAGTGATGAACATACTATTCCTTCAAAAACCATTGTCAAGAAACAGATGAACTCTACTTCATCTATCATATGGACTTCCATGTCTGGAAGTAGTGGAAGGGTGACTTTTTTGCATAGGATATTTGCAGTAGTCAAATAGATATTTGTTCTGCAGGTTTGTCTAGAGTTTTTAGAAGAGAAACAAGCAAGCATTTACTTTAATGTCTTATCAAGTTCAAACAATAACTTTACACTAGATTTACTTATGTTCATAGGATAGCCTAATAAAATAAAATTTAGCATAGCTTTCAGCTGTATATGTCAAATTTTTCTTCAACCACCAGTGAACATTTGGAAGCTGACGATCATGCTACAAAGGGATTGCGAAGAACCGTGCCCACTAGAGAAACCAGACAGCCAGTGAGGCCCCAGAAATTCTCAGCACCTAAAAGAAATGGGAAGGGACCAGCACCTGTGCCTAAAGTTCAGCGTGGAAATTTGGAACCACATCCTAACAGAGTTCAGATCTTGAGAGACAGCCAAACCAAACAAAAAGGTCTGGATCTATATTCATATATACCCTACATTCTAGAAATAATTTTTTTTTCAATATTTTCTAAATGTTTTCCTTTTTATCTTACATTTATAATTTAAGATGTTCATGCCCACATAGTTGTAGTTCACATGGCTAACAGATCTTTTCCTTTTATTTCCTGTCTTTAAAGGAACTTTGTTTTATGAATATTGATATTTGTTTTTGTCAAATGTATTCAATGGGTTTCTCCAAAAATGTATCTTGTTTTGTCCTAATTACTAATCGAAACTGAAATCTTGGACAAAGTTATAATGTATTTTAGATTGGAGTAACTTAAGTGTAAATATGTGACACCCACAACAAAGTGATTTACTTTGCAACTTGAGCTAGAGCCAAAAATATGAGGAGGTCTAAGATATTAATTTTGGGAAATTAGTTGTTCATATATGCCAAAATTTATGGTGCATGTAAAAAAAGAATCTTAACTTAATTTAAATTGTCTTTAAAAGTACAAACATGCTTGTAATAAAGGTACCAGGTTTTACTATATAAAATAAGGTTTAATTTTTGTTGAAGGAACTGATACTGAAAATACAAGTTTTTATAACTAAGCACACAGAATAAAACTGTATTTATATTTCTGTAACAGGCGTAAGCAGGCTAACTCCTCAAGCCTTGGAAGAACACAATCGACACATGTCACCAGTAGACCACAGAATGTGGAGGAGTTTAGATGAGGCACTAGAGCTATCACCCCCCGTTGATCCGGAACCTTACTATTCTGATTCTGAAATTGAAGTTCAGCGTGACTATCAGCGAAGGCTGTCTAAAAAACACACCGATAAAAAAAGTAGCGAGGAACCAAAAACATGGACGGGAACTCAAAGAAATGATTGGAGAGAGAGCAGACAACGGAGAAAAAGTGAAAATGATAAAGGTACAATTCTTATGAGTACACGCAGTCATGGCAAGGATAAAAATGCTGTTTCTTTATCCAAAGAAGCCGATGACAATTATTACAATCCATCAACCAGTGTGCAGCAGTTTAGTGATTTCCCTACAAGGGCTCTTAACAGAGAACACGAATTAGACGCAGACAATGAGAGTATAGAAACGGAGTACTCAACACTGAGATCAGAGACAATACCCAAGTCTCTTTGTAATGAGCGCCAGCATCTCGACACAACACCATACTCTACTTTGAGGTCGGAAAGCTTGCAGCATTCATATGGGAGTGAAGAGGCAAACATCCCTCACCAACATTCACGTGAAGCTCCTAGGCATGTTTCTAGAACTGATCACGAGCCTGGTCCTTCATCAACCCAACACTCTACTCAGAAAACGCATAATGGTTCCTCATCTAAATGCTCAAGGAAAGAACCTCCACAGCACAAACACCACTCTGAGAGATCTTTGAACTATCATGTGGAGCATATACCTTACAGACCTCATGTTTCTCATGAAGAAAGCAGGCGATCCAACCCAAGATTTGACGAAAACATCCCACACACTTCCTCAGTCGCAACAGAAGATTGGTATGAGGAAGAAGAGTATTATCATCCACAGCGTGAAACCAATCAGCATCATACATTGCATGATTCTGATCTGTCTAGGCTTGAGTTTTATAGAGTTGAGGCTAATAAATCTCAAAGAAAAATGAGCGATAGAGCATCACAGTCATATCCAGAAGTTGCTGAAGTTTATTGCCCTGATACATCTAAAGAGTTCTCCAGAAATTCTTATTTTATAAATGGGCCTTCCCAGAGCTCTCCTATTCGTACATCAGACACCTCACTATCTAGAAGAGCTACAAAAGGAAGTGATAATGTAAACACCACACAAAAAGATTTCTTTCAAGGGACAGAATTCTCCAATTCCTTAAGTTCAATTTCTGATAATGATATGGCACATGCTTCCTGTAATAATATTAATAATCATTTCACATCTATGGAGGACGATCCATTCACAACAGGAATAGCATCTCTGGATGAAAAAATTGCAAGCTTGCAGAAGAAAATAGACAGGACAAAGGCTATTTTTTCTTAACAATTTACAGTGTTAAAACAATTTAATTATTCAGTTAAGGCTAGTTTTTAATTGTTGAAATGTGAAAGTTTATTATTGAATGCTTTTAAATATTTATGTTAAACTTGATATTATTAGCTGTTTTCAGCATTTAAAGAATAAATGTATATTTTTAACCACACATTGTTCATTGTATAGTTGGCTACGTTTATATTTAAAGAATCATATTTAAAATATATAAATTTTATTTTATATGGCGCTACTAACACTAAGTTTTTGGTTTTGTATTAATTTATCCAATCGTCAAGACTTTTTTCTGAATAGGTGCCTGAAAGAAAATGATTTTTGGGAAGGTTTCTGCCATTCAATTTTTATTTTGGAGGGCAGCGCACCGGTAGTTACTAGAAAGGTGGTGTGATTTACCATTCAGTTTCCCAGCTGCTATTTTTACACCTAGGGCCTGTTGATTGGGCTCCCTGCACAACGGGGCAGGGTTACTACTCGATTCAATTGTCAAACTGCACAGGCGCGCCAGCATATACTTGTTTTAATGAGCGCCATGCCTTAGACATACGGAGGGCTATTATATTTATTGACTAAATAAAATAAGGGATGTCCTCCAGCTCCTCAGCAGTAGCATACGGTTGGGCGCCTTGAGTCTCTCCATTGTGATTATGTTATGAAACAAATTTTAGATATGCTCTTTGAGTCAGTAAACATGGCCATCCTAGGTATCGAACATACAGAAGCAGCTAAAATGGACCTCAAGGAACATAATTATTTTGCAAACTGAGTGTCACCCACACCCCCTGCAAAAGTTTGCATTTCCGGTGTGTGTCACCCCCTCTCCCTAATATTTTATTATTTTAACAGGATAAAACAGTTGTGACAGTACATTTTTACAATTTTCGTAATGGTGTCACGCCTAATTGTGTCACCTCTGTCCCGCCTTGTGACGCTCTTGTGTTTGGTTACTTAAATGATCGACACCCCCCCCCCCCCAACACACACTGAATGCCACTACCTGTACAGTAAGAAAGGATTGGTGGCCGTTTTGTAACTTTTAATTATTTCTGCAGTACAAACGAAATTTTCTTTTTAAAATGTTTTATGTAAAACGTAAAATTCCAATGTAATAGTTTTAATTTTTAAAAATGGAAAATGCCCCTATAATAATATGGGCCTCTGTGCCTTGCTTACGCTAACTTTACGATATCTACGCCACTGGTTCATAGACAGACAGACAAAATTGCAAAATTAAGTTTTTTTCCGACTCAGAGAGGTGTAAAACGTCCTGAGATTTGTGAAATCTCCTCACCTCCTCCCCCCCCCCCCCGTCCACACGCCTCCAATTTTGACTAACCTCCCCCCCCCCCCCCCAATGTGGACCTCCACAAAAATTTAGTAGCCCTCTCAAAACATGCTACAAAATTACCATGTAATGTGTACCTTGCTACATTATTACTTACTAATGTAATATAGGATTTGATATTTTCGGTAACATCTATTACTAGATCTAGGTCTAAATAATAATATTAAAAGTTGAGCCTAGAAAGTGTTGAAAAAAATTAAGCATATTTCAAACGATTTAGTGATAATCGCTTGCTTTATTTAAATGTTTCTGTCAATACCAAACAAAAACTGCACAAATATTAAACGTTTGATTTTGTATTTAATTAATAGTATTTTTCTGCCTTATATTATTAACACAATTTTTTTTAAAATTGAAGATGCTGTGGACCGAACACCTCACTCAACTTTACGCAACACGTGTTTCCATAACAAAGCACCTTCCCTCCCCCCCCCCTTTTTTTGGGTCGAAATCGCGCTGACCGTGAGCCCTACGACACACCTGAACAAGCGAGCACATTACACACGCTGTTATTTAAATATCTAACAGTAACGGAGTTATTTTGACGGTTTTTTTTTTTACTTGAAAAAAATATATCTAGATCTGCGTCATCTTAGGGTTTGACACAAATTTATTATTTAGACAATGATTTAGTTACGAGATCGGAGTCTGGAACTAGATTCTAATTGTTTTTAAAGTTATGCTTTAATTGTTGAAATGTTTAAAATAGCGCGAAATATTTTAGATAATTGCCGCGGTCACTGCCCCCTCCCCTCCCAACTGCAAAAAAATAAATTAAAAAATCCAGCTTTTGTTCTTAGGCGGGCGGTATACAGTTACCTTTCACACGTTGCGCTGCAAATATTCAACACAAGAACTGTCGATTTAATGTAGATTATATAACCTACATTTCATGAGCAGTTTTTTTTTAAAATATAAGTATTTTGTTGTTAATAAATTCAACACACGTGGACGTCCAGAATGACCCGGACACCCCCCATCCCCCCACGCACGCGTCCAGTGTTTCTTCCAGACTTTTTTCTCCGGGGGGGCACTTGAAATCTTCGGGGGGGGGGGGGCGGTAAACTTTCTTCGGGGGGGGGCGGACACTGTTAAAAGTATATATTTTCTATATAAATTATATAAATTTCATTTCGTTCGGGGGGGGCGGTAAAATTTTTTCGGGGGGGGGGGGGGGCGAACGAAGAGATGCCTGAAAGAAACTCTGCACGCGTCCACAGAAGTCGATTTTTCATCGTTTAATAGTAGCCTACTTCTAGATCTACTACCAGTGGCGGATTAAGGGGGGTGCTGAGGGGGCTGCAGCCAGGGGCCCCCGATTTTTAGGGGCCCCCAAATTTCCTTTTTCAATCATAGTAAATTTCCCTTTAAAGTAAAATCTTTGGGTTTTTTGTTTTTTTTTTTACTATAAAAGCCAATGTTTTAATATTTGAATGACAAGTTTATTTCAATTTTTGATCAAAATATCAAACTCGGGCACACACTTTAGTATAAATACCAGCCCGGACAGCGTTTGCTTATCACAATAAATTGGGTTGATTTTAGAGTTAAAAACAAAAACAGCGGTCGAATTCTGACACATAAATGACATGAATCTGGTGTGAACACTATGATTTAAACTTCTTAAAAAACCCTTATAGGCCTTTACTTTTAGTGAACGTTAATATCGGGTTTACAGGCCAGGGATGACGTTCTTTAAATGGACGCTTGTGGAAATCCATTTTTTTTGTAGGCCTCATAAATGGATGACACCTAAGAGGATGGAGGTGTGGTTTTTTTACGCTTATACCGTGCTTACTTATTTTAGTTGGGCCTAGTTTAACCTCTGCATGTTATTGATAATTTCCTATATTATGTGGTTTGATATTCTTTTTTTTTTCTTTTTGCGTCTATAATGAATCAAGTGCCACCAGTTTTTATCGTCTGCTCTGTAACGACATTATAATATTCTCATGGAAATTTACATTATTCAATGTTAGTCTGCATTTCCAGCTTTCTCACGCCCAATATAAATACTTGAATTACAGTTCAATAACTATCGTGTCACGGATATACAGGCTCAGGAGTTTGACTCCCATTAGCCAGGGAGGTCTCGACGTAGTGAACTCCAACTAAATGGCAAATAGTGGACTGAATCAGGCTCACTGAGATGTTGGTTTGATCACTACATGATGGTCGCTTATTCATCCGTAGGCTCTATCCAGGCTTTACTTCCCCCACCACCAGACGTGGGACATCGTCCTACCGTCTGGTGCCTGGCTAGTTGATGATCAGAGGTCTAAAACATCTACAGGCCTAAAGTAAACAGTCGTATATTTAGTACTGCTGACGTAGCGCATGGATCTCGCCTGTGTTTTGTTAGTGCGTGAGTCGTGGTAGTGGATGGGGACAACATATAATCATGCTAAAAATGAGTACATATTGGTTAGATGTTAGGGGATCGGCGTGATCAAGTCAGTAAAGCTCGTGGATGCTTAACCGAAATGTCTCGAGTTCAAATCCTCGGTCAGGTGAGGCTCGTTAGCTGGGGATAGCCACTCTTTTAGGAGAGACAACTCCATATCAAACATCTGCTGTAGTTTGTTCTTGGTTGGACACAGGCTATGGAAACAAATTAAAAAAAGAAAAGCAGGTTGAAATCGGAGTCAATTGTCTTAGCGCCTAACCAGTTGACACAATTACTTAATTGTATTGGAGGGGATCCCTTCCAACACTAAAATTAAGAACGAAGAAGAAGAGAAGAAGAAGGCAAGATGTTTGTATCCTATTTACCGCTCATAGAACACAATTGACAGCTTTTTAAATTAGCAGTTTTGTAAATATCGGTGTCGAATGTTCCTATAACTATAAGTTATAAATAATCCATTAATATCTTGAATAGTGTATATATATATATATATATATATATATATATATATATATATATATATATATATATATATATATATATATATATATATATATATATATATATATCAGGGGTCCCCAAAATGTTTCAGCCCGGGGCCCCGCCCAAGCTTAATCCGCCCCTGTCTACTACTACTGAAAGACACAGAAGCGTCGCGAGGCGGGGGCGAGAGGTGCGGACTGCACTGGGTGACTTCATTCAGGGGGGGGGGGGGGTGACACCAAGAAAAAAAATTGCCAGTCAATTGCATGGTTCATTAGAGCTAAAAGGGCATTTTAAGTACACAATGACGATCCCGACAAGGAAAAGGGGGGGGGGGGGTAGCACCATGACGTAAAAATGCAAACTATAGTGAAAACAATGTTACACGTCCAGCTGTATAAACAACCGACTATAGAGCATTAGTATTAAATGTGAACACTTTAGAGCTTTTATGGAGGGGGAGAAGGGTCACACAAACTGCAAACTTAACAGAGCATAAAATAGTGGGGGGGGGGGGGGGGTGACTCCATGAAGTGCTGCACCGGGTGACACCCGACCGTTTGACGCCACTGGAAAACAACCTACAAGGTGGTTGTAATGCCGCCAGTGTACTTGCTTGTTAGGAGAAAAAAAATAATTTTTTCTTAAATCCATAGATCTAATTTTAAAACAAATAAGCCTACGTTTAATTTCGCTGTAATAATTTAATGAGTAGATCATTAGTATTAAATAGCATTCATTAGTCGTCTAACTCTTTTATTTGAAAAATACAAAATTGAATGTTCCTGATGTTTGTAAACATGTCTGCTGCTTTGGTTAGCCTATTTTTTTATTTATTTTTTAATTTTAATTTTATACCTCTGGTCTTGTTTAGATCTAGATTTAACGTAATGTATAGCTTTCAATTTCGCAGCCTCCTCCTCAATTTGAATTTAAAACATTAGCCTACTGGATACTTCTTACTTCTTGACTAATCTGACTCTTGTTTGCTGACTGACTGGATGCGATAAAATAAAAATTAAATGAAAAATTCTTGAAAATGGAGAGTAGTCTCAGAGTAGTAGATCTAGATCTATATCTATTAGTTAGTATTAATAAAGTTTTAGTATTAGATCTAGTATTACTATTCTAGAATCTAGATCTATCTAGATCTAAGTAAGTAGCTAGTACTAGTCTAGCTAGTAGCTAGACTAAGAGACTAAACTAAGTAAGACTGACCTTTACTTTTAATAATGGACACCAGTGAGTTGACGAAAATCCTTCTGTAATGTTGTTGACATGGAATAAAAATGTGCTTTTTTAGATTTAGGACCATAAAAAAAATAAAAGATAAAATTTTACGAAGTGACTACTCGGAAGAAGATTTTTCTCCCCAACGTCTCCACTTAGTCGGCAAAAGATAGCTCTGCGCATGCGCAGTGACCTATGGCTAGGGTTAGGGCTAGATTGAGGGTAAGGGGTAGGATTAGGGTTAGGGATAGGGTTAGGGATAGGATTAGGGCTAGGGTTAGGGATAGGATTAGGGATAGGGTTAGGGATAGGATTAGGGTCGGTGTTAGGGTTCTGCGGTTGTAAACACACGCATGCGCAGTACCATCGAAAACATCGCAGCAAAGGCAAGTCGTAGTTTCTCTACATTGCGCATGCGTATCGCATGCATATCTTATTCCGGCTAGCATTGGCCAAAATTTTATTAAAAACTTAAGCCTAAAAGTAATTCAGAAATTTAATATTTTTAGAATCAATGCTATACAAGTTGCAGATCCAGAGAACTTGAAAATAATTTGTTGAGTTTAAGGCTACATTTCTATTTATTTTCATCAAGCCTAAGTTATAACCCGATGTTTCACTTTCGCAAGACAAATATTGATTGGCTGTAAAGGAACTCCGTGATAGATTTCTGACAGCCCCACTTTATAGTTATTTTGTTTACAAAACTTTGCAGATCAAGTTTTTAAATAACAATGCAAATTTAAACACCATGACCTAGTTTTTCTATTTTTAGCTTACAATGTGTACAATAAAATTTATGGCCGCCTATCGAATAGCAGGATGCCATTGTTTATGTCGCCATTACAAGTGAAAACCAAATTGTTTTTGCTTTTTTTTTAATTTTCATTTAGTTACCGAAAATATTAAAAACATCAAATACATCCAATCTTTAGTAAAGTCCAAAAAAAAACCAGACAGACCGGATTTTATAACCATATTAATTGTAACTACGCTGTGCAAGATTTTTAATTTAATTTATGGACCTCTCAAATACCTTTGAGACTTTTCTCACTGGTGTCCATTTCTAACCATAAAATTAGTCGAGATTACAATACTACTAATACTATTAACAAACCAACACACTTATTTTATAAAAAGAGTCTATTATCAGACATAGGTATCTAAAATCATCCGTTATCATATTATTAAAAGAATTGTATTCACAGATTTAATTTTTTGGTCAGATATTAAATATTAGGGTTTTGACAATGGTAGGACTTCAGGGTCTTGGGAAAGAATTATTGTTACTTATGTCCAAATATATATGGATAATATTAATATTTAATATGGTATCTAGACTCTTCTGAAAACAGGATCCTTAGTAATAGTATTAGTACTATTAGTAATACTATTACCGTACCGACCTCTGAAAATAGACTCTTCCAAAATAAGTGTGTTACGTTATTATGATATTGTTGTCTAAAGTTATGTGTTGTGTTCAGAATTTAGGAAAGGGTTAGGATTTGGGTTAAAGATAGGGTTGGTGTTGACTTAAGTTGTATATCATATAGGACGATTGAAGATACCGATGTCTGATAATAGACTTCCAAAAATAGGTGTGTTAGGTTGTTAGTGGTATTGTAATCTCGCCTAGTTTTATGGTTAAATTTTGTGTTAGGTGTATAGTAGGACAAGGGATGGGGTTAGGGATAAGGTTAGCATTAACTTTAGCAAGCCATGTGTGTATTTAAGTAACCTATTATCTGATACTAGTATACAAAATCGCCCGATAAGGTTTAGTAAATTGCTAGACTCTGAAAGTCTTGAGGCTGAATACGGGTTCAAGATAGTAGATTAAGTAGAATGCCCTGAGTGCGCCCAACTCTGATTGATGGGTATCTAACTGATAGTGATCATACTACTATAATATTGATTTAAAATATAGATCTAGATCTAAACCTAGGCTTATTTTATTAACTACACTGGTGTATGTTTTATACCAGCTTCTGACCACACTACACTAGTAATTAAGTATAAGAGTAACCAGTAATGGTTATTGCCAGTTATCTGTCGCAGTGTGTGCCACACCTTAATTGCTCAAATTTACAATACATCCTTGAAATTATAAACTGGTCTTTATATGTATTAACTATTCTGATAATTCCAAAACAATTACAAATTATGTTGTGGTTATATTACCAAAACATTGGTAAAAATTTAGAGTTCAATTATGAATATACTTAATCCAATCTTATTTAGATATGATTTTCTTACACTTATCTTTATAAAAATAGCAATAACATTAAAAGAAAAACCAAATAACATTGTAAAAAATAATGATTATATTTTTATCAGGTATTAGCTTCCAGTTTAAAACAAGCACTGTAAGCATACTAGTTGTATTGAAACAAAATGACCACATCTTTGAAAACATTAAGACAAAGATTCAACAAAGATCGTGACGACAGTAGAAAAGATGGGAAAGATTCACCTAAAGGTGGACAATCACTCAATGCAGCAGCAGAGGAAGTAAGTGATGTGTTACATTCCATATTTTAATATTATTATAAACACATATTTATGAGTTTTAAATTTAATGATTGTGTTTTTCTACTTGTAACATAACAACTGTAAAAAATCTGAAACAGGTAGAGGAAATAAAATAATATGTTCTTTTTACTTTTAGAAAACATAGATTAAAAAAAGTTTAGATTTTAATTTTCTTTTTATCTTTTAAAAATTTTTTTTTACTCTTTTCACTTTAATATTATAGTAATTTGTACAAGAGACTTAAAAACAATCACTTTTTGATTTTTGAGACCTATTAGACCATATCAATATAAAAGAACAAACAAGTACAGTGCTTCTATGGTCTGTCTACACGAATCATTTGTGGGGACAGTTAAGTTCTTTACCCAATTGAGGTGGTTTATATCCAGGGACCTTAATATGTTTTATCACTTATGACACTGTTTTATATTGGATTAGAAAATTTTTAAAAACTTAAAACACTCGTGCAAATTATTACAATTTAAAAAATGCTTTCATTCCAATTTTAAAAAAAGTTTTAAGCACAATTGACAGTATGGCTTACTAAAAAGTATAATTATTATAATTCCTAATTACTGTATTCTTTCTTTTATTAAAGGAGAACTTTGAGTTAGTAGATACTGGAGATGATCCAAGACAGTTTTTAAGTATAGAAAAATCAAAAGCAAGCTCAGAAGATGCCCAGAGTTGTGGTTCCTTCCCCAGTGAAGATCTTATGTCATCAATAACATGGAACAGTCCAGAGGAAAAAAAGATTTTTGAAGAACAGTTAAATCTCATCCAGGAGCAGTTAATGATGGTCATGATTGAAAATCAAACATTAAGTAAGTGTACCTAAAAGTAGCAATATAACCATTTATATGACGAATCTTCTACTCCTTTAAGATTTATTTGCTACATCCTTATACAGTACTAAAATATTTAAATAATTTAATCGTTGTTGTGTCATAAAAGGGGAAGGTCAATGAATGGTGTGCTTGGTCAGAGATCATCTTGCATCTCCTAATTCATTGTACTCACCTTTTACAACTCTCAATGGAGCAAACGCAATTTACAATGTCCTCCCATGCTTTTCTGTCCCTTGCTATTTTTCCATTTCTTTCAAACTCTTTCCAGCTATTTAATGTCTTTTTTCAATTTCTCTATGCCTGGTGTTTGTTGGTCTCACTCTTCTTCTTGAAAATCTGTATTGAGAATCCTTGTTGTATAACTTTTTGCTGGTCTCCTAAATGTATGGCCTATCCATCTCCACCTTGTTTCATGAATTTCTTATTCCACTCGGATTTGTCTTGTTCTTTCCCGTTTTGCTGTCTTGGATACTTTTTCAAACCACTTTATATAAAATATTCCATGCCTCACAATAAAACAGTTTTCATATTAGAATTATGATAATAGAACTTCTATTTTAATGTTAGGCCGAGGTGAATCATTTGAGCTTTAGTCACAGATTCTGCCTAGCTAGAGGCCTACAGTTCTGTTTTAACAATCACTAGTCTGTGCATTTGTATTCTTTAAGCTTTGAATTGCCGTAGTTACTTTCTTTAGGCTTTTGAAACTGTTATACTAATTTTGAAACTTATTTTGGTATTAACAATTTTTTAAATATTACACTATTTTACATTACCCAGTAAAGACATAAAAATGTGTTTGTGAACTGCGTTTTTTTCCCCTTGTAATTACAAATTGACTCATTGCTAAAATGATATATATTTTCTTGCTGTTTGTTCATTATAAGAGGATGCTATCCTAAAATGTTTTAATCAACTGTCACTTCTCTAAAGTTAAAAAGGGGTTAAGTGTATGATTTATCCTTGTGTATTCTTGAATCCTTATCTCCTCTTAAATTATACAAGTCTAATATACATTTATTTTCCTCTAACTCAATCCAGAAAGTGAGCTCCATTCAAGTAAAAATCAGATGGAGCTCGAGAGGGTGAAAACGGAATTGGCTTACGAGCAGAGAAGATGTGAAGTATTAGAAAAAAAACTGGAGAATTTTTGCAAGAAGAAGTAAGTATATTATATATCCAGTTTTAACTTTAATATAGCTATTTAAAAATACCCATAAAGCATCCTTTCATGTTATATTGTAATATGGATTATAGCAGACAATAAGAGATTATTGAACCATACTGAATAGTTCGTATGCTTTATTAACATAATGTCATACTGGTTGAGAAGTAATTGACCTTCAACTGTGGAGAAACCAGAAAAAAATCTGAAGGATTTAAGTGTGAATCCCAGTAATAATCTGGTGTTTGGTTAAATTATGTAGGGTAAAAGAAAAGTTCATCCGCTTTTAAAGTAAATCATTCTGCACAATTTTACAATCTTTCATGGGCACAGAAATAAGGACCTCTGCTTCATATGCCATAACAGCCTGAATGAGTGTTAATATTTTTAAACAGTTTACCACTCTTTGTTAACATTAAGTAACAGAACTTTTACTGCCTTAAATAATACCATTACAACTTTCAAATGTCTAAATGTGCATTCTAAAACTTAAAAATGCTGATAAAAACTTTCTAAAGTTGGAACTCAGGGCGCTAAGGTTTACTGAATGATTTTTTTTCCCAGGGCTCAGAAAGTGAACAGAACCCAATCAGAACTTCCACCTAGAAACAGGATTACTCTATCTGGTGCTGGGATTTCCGATAACAGTGTAGCAGAAGATAACGTTGGTAAGGGATTACGTTTTTGGTCTCATGACTAGTTCTTTTATTCCAAGTTTTTGTTTGCCTTGTTTTAGTAGTTGCTTGATTATGTGTAGAATGCAGTTATGATAAAAAGGAAACAAAATAAGCTATGAACATTAATAAGCTATAAACATTAGTGAAACATGATCATAGTTATACTTAAGAATAATTAAATTAATGTGTTTCTTACAAAAAACAACAGCTTTTCTATTTTAAAGGCAATTTTTGCACATTTTATTTAAGTATTGGACTGTTCTTTTTTGCATAAAGTATATGTTTAAACACCTATAGAAGCCATATTAACAGCTGTTTGTTCAATTTATATATCTTTTAATTAAATTTCATTTTTTATAAGTTCTAAACATCTTTTTCTCCTTCTGTTTCCCATTGAATCATTTGTGTAGCATTCATATTTATTTAATTTAGTTAAAATATCAGTTTTTAAGAAAAACTTAGTATCAATTACACTTCCTATTAACAGCACTGTACTTTTTGTAAGGATATATGTATGAATGATTGTTGCCTACAGAAATGTTGACACATTAGGTTGAATTATTTTTTTATATTCAGTGGAGTCACTTTGCTCGAACTTTAGTTTGATTCAGTACAATAATTTTATAATGCTTGGTTTGTATTACATCTTTTATTTTTTGAAACGCTGTTGTTTGAACAAAACTTTTCATTTTACATAAAATATCAAAAATATTTTTTTTCTTAAATGAAGAACATTTTACAATTATGACAAATACATATCAGTTTTGCTTGCTTTCCATCTTTATTGATAATTCATTTTGTTGTTAGATGGGGCATCAACAGAAATACAATTGCCTGCAAGAAAGAAGAGATTACATGAAAGGGCAAGGGATTATTTCATTAGTTCTTTCTATTCATTTCTTGACGACTTCACTGAAGAACCACCAGATAACAATGATGTTGACCCTGATGGGGATCCTCTCACTGTAAAAACGTAAGCACTCTATAACCATTGGTTAAAAAAGCCTGTGAGATGCATAATTTAGTGCTATGTCTATCAGATAGGGCAGTTGACTGGTAGGCTGCAAGTTTAAATTATACATCAAGTGTATATTTAGATCCTTAGGACTGCTCAAAGTATTTTTTTAAATGTATTTTTTTCATATACCTTGTTCTGCAAAGATGCATAGGATTGCTCAAAGTATTTTTTTTAGATGTATGTCTTTCATATACCTACTTAGTTCTGCAAAGATGCATAGGACTGCGCTTAGTGTTTTTTAAAATTGTATGTCTTTCATATACTTTGTTCTGCAAAGATCAATAATGACTAGTGATTATGTCATCCACATAATTTTTTTAAGCTCTTGATTAAAAATAATGACTTACTTGTTAAATTTAATGCTTTATTGCATTTTTTCTTTCAGATTAAAAGAAAACATTAAAAGATTTGGTAAGAAGAATTGCTTTGTGTACTTTCTGAGTTTTTAGTGAAAATATACTGTTAAAAGCATCTTATTAGGGTTATAAGCAAATCAATGTTAGCATTTCATAGTAAACAGATATTGCAGTAATGTTATCAGAATAGTTTCCTTAGCTAGAAAAATGTAACCAAAACATTTTGAGCAGAATTTCTAAACCAATTTTATTAATAATACAATCAATTTGTTTTTGATGTTCCAAAATTATATACATTTCAATAGGTAGGCTATCTACAATTTAGTTGGCTAAGCCACAATAATCAGATAAAAATCTGTTTAGAAGAAATCTGTTTACTACATTCTGATGACCTAAACTGAGACATGTCCATTAAATACAGGCACTGAAGCCAAACCTTACATCAACACAATCCAAGGCATTGGGGATCTCTTGGCCTGGAAGTCACCACCCTATACCCTGATTGTATTTGTGGTGAGTTTTATTTTAATAATTCATATGTGGCTCATGTTTCATATTTCATTCTTTCAATGACCACATATTTTTCCACTTTCTGACCTCACTATTTCCATGACGCAGTTTTTAGATCCAGACCTTAATATTTAAACTGAGCTAGCTCTTATGTTTTCCTAACCAGTTGAAAGTATTTCTTATCAAAACAAGAATTAAATTATTTTTAATGGATAAGTTAGCAAATACTGAATATTAATTAAATAAATAAATAAAATTAGCTTGCAGTTTGAATTTTTTGTTATAGAAATGATAATATTAACATTTTAAAAAATGCAATGTGTATGAGATTCAATATTCTTTTGTCTATATTCCTGATTTATGAAAATTTAATATAGAACATCATGTTTTACAGGTGTACATGTACTCTGTGTGGCAAGGCTGGTTCTTTCCTGTCCTGTTGTTTTGCTTAACTTTGAGGCTCTTTATTAACTTTCTCAGACACAGGTAAGCCACCTTAAGTCTTACACCCTTAATTAACTCCTCAGACACAGGTAAGTTTGATACCCTTCATTACCTTTCTCAGACGCAGGTAAGTCTGAAACTTTTTATTAACTTTCTCAGACACATTTTAAGTAGCTTTGCATTTGACTTATTTTGTAATGTTTAACTTTTATACTGTGAGTGATAGTTTAATGGAATCATCTAATGAACAGATATATTGTTTTTAATGTGTTTAACTACAGTTTGTCAATTGTAATAGCTGCTTAGTCCTGTAACCAGAGGAGCGATAATTCAAGTTAACTCCGACACTAACGTTTTAGTCGTAAGTTCATAATATACTTAAATATTTCAGAGGATGGAACTTGAACTTCAACTTTTTTGATACAATTGAGGAAGTCAAAGTAAGATTCTTTCTTATTATGTTTATGAAAAATATGTTTATGAAAAATATTTCTTTTAGTCCTGAGTGTTGTTTTGTTTATTATTCTGTTCTATTTCATGACATTAATCACCATTAGGACTGAAATATTCTTCTTTACCACGCCCCAAAGTGTCCTTCCTAAATTGCCTAAAATTCAAAATAATAAATATATTATATGCTGCAACAACATCATATACCAAAGCAGGAATGGTTATTCTTTTTTATTATTGTGGTGTATCCTTGGCATACAAACCTCTTGGTTGAGTAACTGATATGTTTTAACAGGACACTGAAGAAAAAGACCTTGGAGTGTCTGATAAGTTCAATCTTGTAATGCAAGTCGCCAGAAAGGTCCAAAATTTTCTGGGCCAAGTTGCTGACAGTCTAGAGAAAATAAAAAGGTAAATGATGTGCAGTACAGTAAAAAAGTTAGGTTTTCCAGCCTCAGTTAAACTATATTCATGTTTCATTTCCTTTTTATGGATTATATAGTTGGCCTACAGTTTACATATATTTTTTTTTTAGTTTTAATGAAATAAAACTACAATTTGACTTATCAAGAAATTTTTATGATAGCTAGATGTAACAGATTTTATAACTGTAGTCCAATATGTGTTTAACTACTTGACATGTAACTATTCTCAAAGCATTTGCTCATTGGTCACCAACAATCCTCCCCAGTTTGTTGACATGGCGACACCCTGAAGCAAGTCGTCAGCTACTGCTGGCATTTTCTGCTGCATTCATCACATCCTGCATACTTCCAACAAACTATCTGTTTTTCTATGCAGGTAACCATATTTTTTTAGTCTAATCTGTATAATCACTAATCATGAGCTGAATTGTAAGAGCCCTAGCGCTATCTACACTATCTACACTTCCTTTTGATTTTTCTGTGATAACATTCTAAAGCCAACCTTAAAACATGGGTCATCAAACCTTTTTTCTGTTAGCTGTACTTTAAAAATAAAATAATTTCTTCTTAAAGATTGTTTAGGAAACCACCCTGAATGTTTTTTTTTTAATTAGTGAAGTTTATATTGAAAAAATACTCTAAAATAAATTTTTTTAAATACCTGCGTTTATTTATTTTAATTGAACAATTAGTTGCAGTTCATTGCCTTAAATTAAGCCCAATTGACTTTTAGAAAAAAAAAATATGCACACTAGAAAATGGAAAAAAAAAAGAAATGCTCACACTAGATGATAAAATAACAAAATTGTACACACTTTATGTTAAATAACTAAATATTTAAAAGAACAACCTACATGAAACATTATACTGTGTAATATATGTGAATTAATGTAACATTATCTCATTACATTATACATTATTTTTTTTTTCTACTTTTGATTGATGAAACATTATACTGTGTAATATATGTGAATTAATGTAACATTATCTCAATAAATTTTTTTTTCTACTTTTGATTAATGAAACATACTGTGTAATATATGTGAATTAATGTAACATTATCTCAATACATTTTTTTTTCTACTTTTGATTGATCAGGCCTTGCAACTGGAGTCAAGCTGTTTATCATAGACTACATTTATAACAGATTCCCCAAAGTTAGAAGAAAATACGACTCTTCCTACCGCCTCTGGCAGGAGCTGCCTACTGATATTCAGTTTGAGAAAAAATATGTCAAGTCCGAAATTGATAAGGTACAACTAACTTGATTGTGAAGCTGCATGCTCATCTTTTTAACCAGTTTTAAACTATTTTTTTGTGTGCGTCTTTATATAATTTTGTTTTTCTTTTTTAATTAAATTTTCTTATAATATAGTTTAGTAGTCATTTTATAAAAAATTGGTTTTTAAAAAAAAATAGCAACACAGAGAAACAGTCAAACAGTACATTTTGAAAGCAATATATCAGTCCCAGTCAAGCTGTAATTATTGCATACTTAAATATATATTTTTATTGATGTGAAATTGAATAGCTCTGCGTATAGTAAACAAATTATAACTTTTCAAACTTGTTACAGGCTTCTGTAGCAGCCATAGTTTTCATTAATCTTATGATCTGGTATTTAGATGTTAAGTATGTATTGTAAAATTTGTCTAATTCATGAATTGTCTATAAAAACATCCCAAACATTTCTGTAATTTATAAAAATTACTGCACCATTTTAAGGCTAACCGTTGTTAATGAACACATAATATTTCTCTTATTTTCAAAATTTACTGTATCATTTCAAGATTAAAATGTAACCTTTGGCCCTTTGTTTCACAGTACATTCTCCCATACGATGAAGAAAAACGGGAAGTTGCAGCAGAAACCAAAAGTGACCAAGTTTCAATGGACGACAGATCTTTCTGTGAACTTTTCTCACTGCCTGAGTCAGAATGTCCTCTCTCAGGTATTTTCTTGCAGAACTTTTTTATTTTTAGCCTTGTGTGCAAAGTTTATGATTATGTATGATATTTTTTGGTGAAGGCTGACACAAAAGAGGTTTATTTATTTATGTTTGATTTATAAGCTTGCATGAAAAAAGTGTGCATTCAGTGTTTTTTATCCTAGGATGCAAATATATATTAAAAATTATATCAATTATATCATTTTCTTAATATTTCTTAATATTTGTGGAAATATACTTTTAATAAGGCCTATTTTTTTGTGTGTCTGGGATGGTAAAAGAAAAATTACAGATATTTATAAGTATTTTTTGACTGATGCATAGTAAACATACACTTATTTATAATTATATCTTGCCTGGCATGCACTATTTAAATATTTTGTATAGGATGGCATGGAGGTAGAAGGTGTACCCTGATCAACAAAGAAAAATCACTTACTGCAGCTTTTAAAAATGGCAGGCTGTATCTAACCCACAGGTCAGCTGGTTTTTAAATTTATTTCAATTATTAGAACATTAATTACTTTTAAGTTTTCAACTTTCACCTCAGATTTTAAGATATGTTCAATAAGTATTGTCTTAAGGCTACAAGGATTTTGATTCATTTTTCTAGCTTCTTGTGCTTTGAAAGAACAAAAGTGCCTTCTCCAAAAAACATTGTTATACCTCTGGCAGATATTGCACGTCTGGAAAAGGTAAGATGCATGTACATTTAAGAAAATAGTAGCCTCAGTTATATGATCATGATCATTTTTCATTTTCTTTCCTAATGAAAAATAGGGCCTCTGTCAAAGCTTTTCACTCCCCACTCAGCTGTTCAGGGTCTCTGTGAAAGCTTTCCATGTGAAACTTATGGCCTCTGTCAAAGCTTTGCATGTGAAACATAGGGCCTCAGTCAAAGCTTTCCATGCAGATAGGGCCTCTGTCAAAGCTTTCCATGCAGAACATAGGGCCTCAGTCAAAACTTTCCATGTGAAACTTAGGGCCTCTGTCAAAGCTTTCCATGCAGAACATAGGGCCTCTGTCAAAGCTTTCCATGCAGAACATAGGGCCTCTGTCAAAGCTTTCCATGCAGAACATAGGGCCTCTGTCAAAGCTTTCCATGCAGAACATAGGGCCTCTGTCAAAGCTTTCCATGCAGAACATAGGGCCTCTGTCAAAGCTTTGCATGTGAAACATAGGGCCTCAGTCAAAGCTTTCTACTCCCTACTCAGCTGTTCTTAATTCCTTCCTATAATTTCAGACCTCTAGCACGCTACATCACCATGTCTTCCTAGCCTCGGTTATATAAATTCTGTGTAAATGTATCGTAAAGAAGACTAATTTCTTGCTGTTTAAAAATGATATCCTTGGTTAGGTGTATTACCCAACTTTCTGGAGAGATATTGATCAGGCTGAGTTGATATGACTAGAGGTACAAAAAATAGTCACCAATTGTTTTAGTTAGTGAAGTGTCATCTCAACACCTTGCTTCTTAGGGAACAAGAAAGAATACGATGGGAGGTTTAACCCCACTAAACTTTAGTCCAAATTTTATTTGTGGGTCCTCTTGCATTCTATATTCTTCTTACATCTGGCATGGGATTGTTATAAAATTGAAATACAATTTTTTTAAAGTGGGTAGAAAAGTAAAATTATAATAAAGAATTTACCTGTAACTTGAGTGGGTTAACTTTCATGATCTCTTTCATGCCATCCCATTAAAACAGTGGTTCCCAACCTTTTTCGAGTGGCGACCCCCTTTTATAAAAAGTAAGTGACCCGCGACCCCCATAGAATTAAAAAGCCGAAATTAGTATGGAAATTAATAAGCACTAAAATAAGATTTTCTAGTAGACTTTCAATATGAACTACTCTTGATAACTATTTTAATAGCATGAGTATAATTGCATACTATTCACTAAACCTTCGTAGTTAAGTTTTTAATTTTAAAAATTTTTGTTAACGCCAACCTATGTCATTATAATTATCTTAATTTTGTTTTTAATCAAAGAGTAGTGTTGAAAATATATTCTCGAAAAGTCAATCAATTTTACATTTGGGTATGAATGGTGAATACTACACCAAAATTGTGTCTGCAGTTTTTCATCTTACTCGGAATCATTCTGCAAATGAAAGAATGAATCTTGTAATTCATCGGGAATGCTGGCAACATCAAGGGAAGAAGAGAATGGGTAATGCGTAAATACAGATTCTTCTTTTTCAGCTCAGAGAAATAGCGATGCAGTTCTTTTTCAAGAGATTCAAGATGCCCAGAAATCGCTTCTTTCAAAATTTTAATTATCTCACAATCAGATTAATCTACCACACCGCAGAGTTTCTCAAATTTACAATATTTCCAAGATTTATTTTCTCTACCGATTTTGCAGCTTTGATAAAAATGCCCCGAGATTATCATGGACAGTTGTAATATTTGTTCATTTTCCCTGAAGCTTCAGGTTTAGCTTATCTTGATGTTCGAACCCATCTGCTAATGTATGATACTCTCTCCAACCACTCTATGTCGTTTTAAGTATACCAAAAAGTCTTGTTTCCTTTGCACTTCCAAGAACAATTTGATTTCAGATTTCAATTAAAAAACACAATTTACAACATTTCGTTTGACAGCCAGCGTACTGTAGTGTAGAAGAGCAGAACCTCGTGATCCATATTAATGTTTTTGCTCAGTTCTTTGAAGGCTCCAGATTTTATATAATTTACGACTTATACTAGCAATGGACTCTTGATGTCGATTGGTTAGGGCAGTGGTTAGGGAGCTAAATCTTTTCTGTTTTCTGAAAGCCCGATTTTGAGCTAAACATAGATGGCACACCATCCGTACAAACACCCACAGCCGTTCTAACCCATTTTAATCATCCAATTTAAAAAAAAAAGGTATTTATTTTCTCCATGCTATCTTCACAAAAGAGCATGAATATAGACAAAGACAAGCAACTGCGAACACGAACTCACGTCTGTTGATTTATCAACTTGAAAAGCAAACAATGGTGAAAGCTTAATTTCGATAGAAAAGTATTATTTAACATTTACGTACATGCAGCGCTTGATGAGATTTTCTCCAATTGTTTTTTTTTTTTTTTTTTGCTTGGCATTTTCTATTGCGACTTCATTTGATGCTTGCACTAATGCTAGTGAAAACTTCCTGTTCGATCAAGTCTCTGGCATTTACAACTAGCTTCTTACCGACAAAAGAACTCCGTATATTTTTTGGTGTGTTCCGGATGACTCGTCTCAAATTGCGTTTTAGTTTTGAAGATTTCATAGATTCGTGACTGAGAACAACTTTGTACAGTGCGCTTTGTTTCATCTCTATTACATTTCCAGTGATGTTAATGAAGCCGAATTTAAAAAAATTCTTCTAAACATTTATGTTTTGTTTCAAATTACTAAGGTTTAGTATACCAGTTGGCGACCCCCCAGAAAGACCTTCGCGACCCCCAGGGGGGTCGCGACCCCCAGGTTGGGAACCCGTGCATTAAAATATATTTCCTGTCATATCACGTTTTTCTATTTTTTTTTCCTAGGCTAAACCTTATGCTTGGATGCCTGGGGGAGGAATGGCAATTGAAGTGGCTGTAGCTGGGAACGACAAGGTGTGTACTCTAAATATGTTTTCTCTCTATGAGCCTATATTAATTTTTTTTTACTCTACCTTCGAAGTGAAGAAAATTAATGAAATGAGCTTGCTATATTTTAATAAATATCTAGGTTAAAATATATTCTGCTATTTCTGTTGAATAATTAATGTTTTAAGTTTGTGTATAGATTGATTACAGCGAACTTAAATTAATTTACTTAAAATAATTAATAATAATTTAAACATGAGAAATATGCTATTAATAGTTAATTTTTATCTTAAAAGTCTGCTCACACTGCATCACTTGTAAGAAGTTGCATATTTAAGCAATATTGTATCTCTAGCCTCTGTACTTTAAGAAGGAAAGTTTGTATTTTTGGGAGTGGTACAGCACTAAAACAATTGTATCCATATGTATGTGCATCAGTTATTGTCCAGTGGTAATTGTCAGATCCACTTTGTTTGAGTTTATGGTATGCTGGAGTTTCATAAACAGCTGAAGTAGTTCTTTACCCCTGCAACATGAATTATTGCTCTTTGAGTTGTTCATTCAATGGTTAAAATATTTTTTTAAAACTAGTCGTGTGTTTCAACCATTTTTACACACATCTCCGCATTTCCTTGATTAAATTAATTTGTAACGACTTCCTTCAATTCAACAGCCCTATATTTTTGGAGCCATTTTAAATAGAGATGAGGCTTATGAGGCCATAGGGGCAGCAGGTCGTAAAGCAGGACTTTCATGGTCCAGCGCATCTAGATGTCCATCTCCAACTGAGTAATTTTTATGACAGCATGCTATGGTATTTTTTTCAACTCAGAGTTTAATGTCATGGGCACATTCCCTTCATAGCTGCATCTCCTTTTTTGTTTTGGATAAAAAAAAGTCTCTAATATTTTTATTTGTTTGCTTGTTGCATGCTTGGTTCATTTATGTTCTGTCGATAGAAAAGCACCCAGCTAAATGACAATTTGTTTTTTTCAGTAAATATTTAAAATCATTTTTTCAGAAGTTTTGAATTGAAATTTAATGTTTGTAACTCGTTGCATTTTAAATACAGGTCACTTGATGATTAATCTTTTATAATTTTCTTTTTTTAATAGAAAATTATACTTGATGTGCAATGATAAAATTTTGTTTCACTACTTTAATTTAAGCTTAAATTTTGAATATTATCCTTCTTCTGTACCTAGTTGTTTGTTTTTGCGCAACAAGTTGAAGTTTTAAATGTGAATTTCCATTGTTTTTTGAGCTTTGATGTGTTTTTCAAAGGGACAAAAGCAAATGCTGGTTTTAGCATGTATTATCACAATGGATTTACCTAACTTAAATATTTTGTCATTAAGTACTGACTGGAATTTTCAAGTTCTGCTCATTATCAAATTGATATTTTCATTGTTGTGGTTCGTCTAATGATTAACTTGCATGCTAGTTGTTTGATAATGATATAGTGATGCAAGTTTTTTTTAAAAACTCTTTGCTACTGTTCTCAGTAGGTCCATCTTAAAATTTTGCTCTAATCCTTTTTTTGAATAAACTACTTTAACAACTTTTATTAGAGCTGTGACCTTTTATTTTTTAATATTTTAAATAACCCAACATCAATGATGATTGTTAGTATAAATTCTTTGTTCTAACTACAATCTAAATATGTATCTATATATAGATACAATATCTACCTATAATCTATAATATCTAAAGATGTAGGCCTATAGTATATCTTTAACTTAATATAAAAAAATATACTCGTAGATGATAACTGCCATTAGATTTTTCAGCTTAATGATGATTGATTTTATTCCTACTCTGAAGTGTATTTTTCCCCCAGACTTTTGTCTTTGGCGGTCTCTTAAACAGAGATGAGCTGTTTGACCACATTTGTGAAGCAGGCTACAGGAAGATTAAGGAAGTGAAAACAGATGACAAGCTCCTGCCCTGGATGCAGAGGAAAACACCCACCAAGAAACACGTTGTGCCGAAACATTATCAGCCATTTACATTAGCACATACGTATGAAGCTTAACCAGGTAGTCGGTTTCTGTTTTTTTTATACTCTTTTGTGACAATGTGTATAAAGCTGAGTTGATTTCCGAAACTTGTTAAGTAAGTTTGTGTTTTGTTTTTAAAGTTTGTTAGGTTTTTGGATCAGGGACAAATTTTAACTCCACATAACTACATAACTTCCATTATGTGTTGTTTTTGTTTTGCTTTTTCTGGCTTATTTTAAGCTAATTCGTAAAACAATTTCAAATGTCCATTTTCCCAAATTTTGTTAGGTGAATGTAACTTACCACATTTAAAAAAATCTTTTTTACCAATTTTAAAATAAGAAAATAGATTTTAAGTGCTTTCTCTGGAACTGGAGATTACTGATTTTTATAACATTATCACTTAACAAGTTTTGTAATATGACTCTTCACTTGTAAAGCAGTGTGGGCCATGAAATTTGTGCAGGAGTTATAATCAGCTGTCGTCATGGGTTCTGGATTTTATCGGTTTGTAAAATTTTGACAATGTGTACCTCGGCAGCTTACTTGCTAAAAGCGTTTGTAAAATACTTTAGAGTGTATTTCTATGTTGAAGAAATGTGAGATTATTTTAAATGTGAATGTTTAGCAACAAAAACATTGTTATTTCAATTCAATATATTTTAAGTTTTGAAACCTCAAATGTTGTAGCTTAAGTTATCTGTCTCTTAAATAAATAAAATATTATCCACAAGAATGGTGGAAACATGTTCATTGGAATAAAATAATTATTGCATACTTAAATATATATTTTTATTGGTGTGAAATTGAATAGCTCTGCGTATAGTAAAAAAAAATGTATAACTTTTCAAACTTGTTACAGGCTTCTGTAGCACCCATCGTTTCTATTAATCTTATAATCTGGAATTTAAATGTTAAGTATGTATTGTAAAATTTGTCTAATCTATGAATTGTCTAGAAAAACATCCCAACCTTTTCTATGCTACCCAATGTCAGTGTGTTGAATGAGCAATACTCCAGCTGTCACCTAAATGGAATTTAAATATTTTAGTATATTTTAGTATATTTTTTATTTATTTTGAGAAGTGTTGCATCATGGGACCAGAGCCAGCATATTTTTGAAGTTGTGTTCTAGCATTATCTCATTACTGTTGGTGCCTGAGTTCTAAAATACTGTAGAATTCTTTTAGTAACAGTGTTCTAAAGAATACTTTTAGTATCTGTGTTCTAAAACATTATAGAATACTTGTGGTACATGTGTTCTAAAACATTATAGAATACTTACGGTTTCAGTGTTCTAAAACATTATAGAATACTTATGTTATCAGTGTTCTAAAACATTATAGAATACTTGTGTTATCAGTGTTCTAAAACATTATAGAATACTTTTGGTATCCGTGTTCAAAATATTATTGAATACTTTTGGCATTAGTGTTCTAAATATAGAATACTTTGGGTATTTTATTTGAGACCTATCAGGAAATTGTGCAATAAATTAAGGGTAAAATATGGCTTTTTGTTTGTTCAAAGAACTGTCAATCGCTACATTACAAAAATATTTTATAAGATTTTTATAAACCATTTTGTGCAATTGATTTTTAAAAAAATGTTTACCTGTTCATTTCCGAGCTTGTGGTGGCTTTTTGCTGTCCTATATTATTGGTGTTGATTTGCCTTCCCTTAAACTTATTTTGTCTCTTTGCTATACATTTGTTTGTCTGGTCCACAAGGGCTAGTTTTTAACTAAACCAGAAAGTTATTTGTTCCTCTAAGGGTTTTATTTCACTGATCCAAAGATGTGTTTATTCCCTTGCTCACCTAACCTACATGGGTGGGTTTGTTCCCTTGCTCACTTAAGCTACAAGGGTTTGTTCCCCTGTTCCTATGAGACACTAAGCCTCTAAGTATAAGACAGTTTACTCTTAAGGTATTTACCTTAAGACATTAGGAAAAAAATGTGTGTGCCTTGAGCAACTTATTTTTTAAACCTTTTTTTTTAAAATTCTGCCTTGCTTATGGCTTCCTTATTAGAGTTATCTGCTATCCTCATAAGTAAAAATTACCTGCTATTGTCCTTGAATGAGCTATTCGTTATCCTAATTAATAAAAATTGCTTGCTATTGTCCTTGTTAGAACTATCTGCTATCCTCCATATTAAAGTTTTCTGCAATCCTTTTCATTAATTTTGTCCGCAATCCTCTTCATTAAACTTACTCTGTCCTCATTTATGCTACCCACTACCCTACTTACACCTTGTTCACATGATTTAAAAACTACCTATTACATTGGTCAAGTTGTGAAAGAGTTTGTTCAGTCAGTCTTTGATCCTTGTCAGATCTGAGTATGTTAAAACCAATGCCATCGTTTTGATGGCATTCTCTGTGGATCACTGCTCATGTATCATTCCATTGAGAGTTGTATTGGAGCTGTCTTGTGATGCCTTGAAGGTATGTGTGGTACCAAACAATGTGTAAGGTCATTTGTTGCATTGGCTGGCGTCTAAGATCTCAGCATTTGAGGCTTGTTATATTCAATGCCCACATTTAATAAAAATAAAAGTCATATTTTTTGTCATTTTACAATGGTAGATTACTAAGCTGACTATAAGTATAAGCAAGTAGTAATAGTTAAGGCTAGTCTTGTAAACATTAACTCATATAGTGAATGTAGGTCTCTGTCAATGAAACCAACTCAATGCAAGGGCATGTCTGCCTGGTACCTTGTTAGAGAACAATACAAAAAACAAATTTTAAAAGTAAATTGTGTCTATGTATTATATGGAACAAAACAAATGTTAAAAACTTTTTTTTACACCCTGATTCCTACATGAATTGTTTTGAAAATATTTTGTATTTATTCAAAAACCACTGCAATGGTATTCCGTATGATTAAAAATTGTTGGTGTTGTATATTTTAATTTAAAGAATGTTGATGTTAACTGTTAAATATAAAGTTGTACAAATGGCTGTTGATATAATCTTCCGTTGAAATGTTGATGGACTTCTGTGAATGTAGTATATCTTTGCCTTTTAAAAGAGCATAACATTTCCTGATAGGTTGTGGATTTCAATACACTGTACTATTTACAATTTAATTATGCCTGATGTTGATGTCAATGGTATGCTTCTAGTTATTTCATTTCTTTTTCTCTCAACTTGTGTATGTAAGTGTAAGAGTTGTCTGAGTTGTACTTTAGGTTATCCCCTTATACAAAAAACATTGCTTAGATAAGTATTACATGAAAATAGGTCTTTACACAGTTTTAGATTTTTTACTGCTGTTTTTAATTTTATAAATTATTATGAATTGAACGAGACCAAAAACTATTGAACTATACAAAATAAATTAAATCTATATATTTGAAACAAACAACACATAATTTACTATGGAACATTTTATTTTACTTCACCACTTTGTATTATTTATTTTTTGCCAAGTGTTTCTTGCCTTTTGCTTTTGATATTATAAATTGCTATTTGTATTCAATCATTGCTTAGAAAGGAGCTTCATCAAAACCTTTTTTTCTGCAGTAAAAAATCATCAGTGAGAAGGGAGGTAGATACTGGTAACTTGAAAACTGTATTAGTTGCTTTGTCTTTCATATATATCTTTAGTTCTTACACGATCAATCAAAATGTGATTTTCTACCATAGTGTTGATATTCTTCTTAAAAAAACAAACTTTTTGTGTTTTATTAGTTGCTCAAAGAAGTTTAGAATTATGTGCTCCAATTAAAATGTGATGTTTTAATGTAGTGCTGATATTCTTCTTTAAAATTAAAAAAAAAACAAATTACTTGTGTATTATTTGATGCTCATTTCCAAAAAGAAGTTAAAAACTATGGGCTCCATTAAATTTTCAAATAAATACAGCATCACATTTAAGTTGCTTGAAGCTCTTGAACGCCCAAAGTGCCTGTTATTTTAATTTAGTTTTGTTAGATATTACTAAGGCATTTGTTTACTGTGCACTTTAGTATGTTTTTCTTATAATTTGAATGTCTCTTAAGGGCAGTTATATGTGTATGATGAACATACAATGATGAAAGACAGTCAAAATCAGTGTTTCCCAGTCCAAGCTGTTTATGCTTTTTGAAAATTCTTACACTCCACAACCCCCCCCCCCCCCTCCATATACATCATTTTTACTATTCTTAAACATAAATGTTTACTAAAGAATAGGATATCCTAGATTTCAACGAGAAATCACAAGGAAATTATTCAGCAATTACAGTAAGTGAATTTTTTAAACATGATGTTGAACTAAACTTCAATTACCATTATAAAGCTGTTCTCTTTTGAGAGTCATCTTATATCATAACATGGAGTTTGTTCTTCACAAAAGAACTTGAAGAGACTATCATATTTGTCACTAGCTTTAATATAATAGCAATTGTTTTTTATTGTTCTTTATTAAAAATTATTAAGAACAGGCTGTCTTTTCAACTACCATTACCAGGCTTTCCCTGTGAATAAGACAATGAACAAGAATAATTTCTCCGAGCTTCTTGAATTTCCCCCCCCTGTAGGTCCCACGTTGGGAAACACTGGTCTAAATATTTGATGAATGAAAAAAACCTTGACTAATGCAGTATTTGTGTTGTATTACTTAACTAATTTTACTTTTGATGATTACTCTAAACATAAGCATACCCAAGTTCAAAGCATCAATGTATTTTTCTTTCATGAATTTTTTTTCTAGGCATCACTGTTGATGGTAACACTTTGTATCGTCTAATGTTGCATATCATCAACACAGTCAGTAGTTCTATATGCTGAATGCAGAGTGAATAGTTTGATTTGCTTGATGCAGTTTTGTCCTTTATTCATTTTAGAATGCTTTTTCATGTCAATGCTATTTTCTTAAAGGCACAGGAACACATTTAATCCACAATAGCATTAAAGTTCAGTACATTTTGAATATTCTTCTTTGCTTGTTTTTATATGTTTCTTTATCTTAGTTTCATTTTTTTTATTTTGCTGTACATAATTTAAATATTTTTCCAACATGTCAAGATGACAGATACAGTTGATATGACAACAGCATTGTTTCTATACACAAACAACCATCTTTTGAATACCATTATTAATTCTGTAATGTACATGAACATGTTTGTCTATATTATCGTTTGTAAAAATGTTTTATGCAAATAGCTTACTATATTCAAGAAACAAACTATTTTGAACAAAGTGTTTGTAAAAACTTTTTGTGAAAATAGTCGCTAAAATGCAAGTAACAAAATACTTTAAGGACATTTATTAAAATTATGTTAATTGATGTCAGAAACTAAAAAATGTATTGAGGAAACAGAACAAAACTATAATGTCTGCTGATCCTTTGATTGGTTTCATTGTCATGTTAAAAGTGCAGAAATATGCAAAGAACACTGTAATAAATAGCATTTGGCTATGTAACCACTGTAATAACAATACAAATGGTGGACTAAATGAGTTAAAGACCAGTGAAGAGTTTGTCTAATGAATGTGTACTGTGCTAAATCGACAGCAAAAACTCTTATATGGTTTTGTTAATTTTAATAAACAAGTATTTACTGTGTCAAAGCTAAAAGTATTTCATTATATTTATATTATTACATATAAATTAGTTTTATATATTCATAGTATTCGTGAATGGCAAAGCTTATATGATTTTTATTTTTTTTAAATTTTACTCCTGAGTTAAACAAATGGAATTTTAATTAAAAAATAACTGTGCTGTATTTTAAAAATGATGTAACCAAGACATTGCTGTTTATACTGTTCTTCTATTTCAAAGCCATGTGATGTCCTAGAAATCCAAGTTAAATTGATGCTGTGATGTTTTTTTTTTCCAGCTTAATATTAGTTATTGGTAGTATTTGTGGAACCTTTTTGTAGCTTTTTTTCTAAATTCTAAAACATTTTATTATATAAACATTGAGAATTAAATTAGACTTAAAGATGTTGGCCCTATATCAAAAAAGCTCAATTTTATACTAATATCAACATTTAATGTTAAAAAAATGCAACATATAAATATTAAAGTATTAATTTTTCCATTTACTGGAAAAAAACATCAAATCTGATAACATAAGATATTAAAAATATGCTTCAACTTCAACATAATTCTGTCTGTTCTTAAAAGATATAGAAATCGTAAACTGGTCATTCCTTGGGTGTTCAAATGATGATTATTTATTTTTAAAAAATGTGTTGCCTCAGTCTGGTGCAATAAAGTCAGTGTTTTTCACTTCTCGTTATTCAACTAGTTTAGTGTTGTCACCCATCATGTTTGTGTTGAAGCTGTTGTCATTTCTCTTGATTTGAATAAAATAATGTTATTACCATATCACATTTTTTTTTTGTTTTTTTTTATTTTACAATATAGTCTACACACCTGATATTGTTCATTAAAAGTGGTGTCACTAGGGCGAGTGTTACTATGTGTGATAACTCAGGGTATTACCCTAAAAAAAAAAAAGAAAAAACGCAAAAAATATTGAGAAAAAAAAATGGTGTATGTATGTTTTATATGGGTGTATATGATGTTTTGTGGTGACTAGTCACTGAGGGGGGGGGGGGGGGATACTAACTTTTTGAGGGGGGTAGATATTTTACACTGGTAAAAGTATATATTTTCTATATAAATTGTATTTAGTATTTTGCGTTCTAGTGGGGGGGGGGGGTAGATATTCGAGGGGGGAGCATAGCCCCCTTTGAAGAGAAGCCTGAAAGAAACTCTGTTCAAAGTGGAGACTTTCGAGTTGCATCTTCCAGAAAAAAACGCATGTTTTGCATTTAAAAACAAGACAATCGTATTTTTACAGCAAACATAAATACATTTCCATATGAATAGAAATGAAAGGGAAGCTACTCTAAATAATATTTTCTTAAGATGGCTGGTGTCTTTTTAATAGCAAATTGACTATCTCGAATAGGGTTGATAAAAATCAAAATGACACTAGAAAACATCAAGCTTATCTACTTCGATGGCAGAGGTCGTGCTGAGGTGACACGGTTAATGCTGGCAGCAGCAGACGTCAAGTACGAGGACATCAGATACATTTTTCAGAGATGGCCCGCCGAGAAGTCAAGTAAGGGTAATCTATCGTTTTGGGTACGTAAAATCGCCCGCGGCTAGAAATGCACGAAAAAGTTGCCTCACTATCAAGGCTTTAATAGAAGTATATTGTGATATATTTGTGTCAAATATTATAGATAAATGAATAATAAACCTAAATCAATGGCTAAATATATCAATATAGATCTAGACCAGAAATTAACTTTCAGTGTTTGCGAGCAAGATTTCCTATAGGCCTATAAACAGCAGCCATTTGTAAAATAGAGTTGCCTTCCCCTGAATCTGGCGCTTTAAGTTTGCAAAAAAGAACTTAAACAAGATGGCTGCTATAGTAAATGAGCATGGTTGCATCTGTTGGAAACATCACTAGTCTTCATTTATTACTGAAAAGTTTCAATTCAGTTGTTTAAAAACAGGTACATAAATGAAACAAGGAATCATTTTTGTATTTTTTAAAACATATTATGTGAAATAATTATTAAAATTCAAGGAGTCACCTGCCTTTCACATTACTAGTCGCGGGCGATTTTACGTACCTAAAACGATAGATTACCCAAGTAAGATTTAACTTTAAAACTTTAAGAAGACTGAAACTTTTAAAAATATCAGGAGACTATCAATTAGCTAGGTTCAATAACTCGAAAGCGTCCTTCGTTGCTAACAAGAACATGGCTACCACACCTTGGCCTACGATTGGGCAATTTTTCAACTTTGTTCGAGAGACCACCTTAACATTAACTTTAAAATAATTATCACGCGAAAAATGGCGGTTTTTTCGCGTATTTTAAGCTATCTGATGATGACAAAGTTATTTTTGCCAGAAAAAAAATATTAAAATTTGCTTCCGACAATGTAGGTCAAACGTAAACATGGGTATAGTTTGAGTTGTTTAAAAACTTTAAATAAGGGACTGTAATATGTCTAAATGGCACTGTAAGGTAGGGTATTATTAGATTGATCGTTTAATGAAAAAATATATAATTATTATGTGCCGATTTTAAGAAATCGGCATCGTAAAAAGGTCACTGAAAGCACGTAATTTTTTACTGTGACGTCATCGCTATTGTTACGGAAGCTGTACAGTAGTATCCTCTCGCTGCCTATGTAATTGTGTTTTCTTTTCACTTGACACCCTTTTTCAGCTTATTTTGCTAGCGTAATTAGACTAATTAAGCCTAATTATGGATATTTCACCTGGCTTTTGGATTATACAAGGACTCTAAAAGCCCTTAAACCACAACGATCTGTTTTTTTTTTTAATCCCTGGAATTTGTAGTGAGCGTTGGTCTTTGTGTGCTTATTTAGGCCTAATTATTTGTTTTCAAATAGGGGGGATTTAAAAATCGTCCAAAAAAAAGCGTGATGTCATCTATGGATGACCCCTTAGCGATTGGCTGAAAGCGTAAATTAAATTTGTGAAACTATCAAGGCAGAAGTGCAAGAAAATTACATTTTAAATATGTTTCTGTTAATTTAAAAATGAATGGTTGGCTGTGGGCCCTCTATCTAACTAAAGGTCAGGTCTAAACTTTACTAGATCAAGTAAACGGCTTCCCTTTCCCTCGTGCGGGATCTGGCTGTATGGTAGTTCTGACACGTGAAACGGAAAAATGTAAAAAAAACAACAACAAATAAACAGAATAAAGTCAGCTTTTGTTAGGAAAAAAGTCACAAAAATGATTTTTGGAAAAAAGTCACAAAAATCTTTTAAGAAATATTCTGATTTAATAGTTGAGAATTGTAAAAATTTTGTTGTGTTTATGATGTGGGCAGTGTTTTTTGGTTGCATATTTATATACTTTAAAAGCATTATGGTTTATAACATTACTAAGTAAAATACTGTAAGATAATTAACACAGCAACCTCTACTTTTGTTATGTCTTTAAATACATGGTTACGTTAATTATTAACTATTTTAAGCACTTCATTGTGTTTCGCATGTTGTTTTTTTTTGCCAAAGGCCTTTCCTTGGTTGGCTTATCCTCAGTTTTCCTTGTCCGTCCATATTGTGTGTTGTTGACTTTTTGCGTTAATGACAGCTTTTTACCATACCATGTCGGATTTCTGTTCTAATCTTATGCTTTTTTATGTAATGATAAATGTGGGCAGTACAGGTAGTTGAAATATTAAGTATGGTTTTTATGCCATTTTACAGTTTTTATGCCATTTCACGCTAGTTTAAAAAACATAGTGGAAATCGAAAAGGTTGGAACATTCCATAAAATTCTATTAAATATTTTATGTATTACGGAAATTCAAACCTACATACTTCATACTAAATATTTTTACGTGTGTTATTCTACGTAGACAACCTAAGCACATTATATTACATTTAATTAATTGTAAGTTGATTTGCACTTTCTGAATATTTAATACATAAAAGTATGTGAGGGCGTGGGGCTGCTAACCCGATACTTTCAAGTTCAAATCCAGGTCCAAGGTAGTGGAATGTCCCTGAGTCCACCCAACTCTGATGGGTAACGAACTCACTTTAGGGAAAGTAAAGGTGGCAGGGCATAGTGCTGACCACATTATCCCTTAAAATAGCCAAGGTCAAGAAACATGAACTCCACTTCATCTGCCCAATGGATCGTTAGGTCTAAAGAGGAATCTTTTTTTTTAAATACATAAAAGTATTAATACATTCTATGCAAGTACATATTTGTGATTTTTTTCCTACAATCATGTTATGGCATTGTCTCTAGCAGGCGAATAGATATTAGATTTAATTAAAATATTTCTTAAGTAGGGCTATCTGTTATCTAAAAACAGATATTGTCCTAAACATAGAGTATTAATAAAAATTATTACCTTAATTTTAACATGTTGCTGTTGCTTTTTTTTTTTTTTACAGAAATGCCTTTTGGGCAACTACCAGTACTAATTATAGATGACAACATGTTTGGCCAGAGCCTTGCAATAGCAGCTTACATTGCCAAGGAAGCAGGTAGGCCAAATAGTTTCCTTTAAGTTTATTTTCACCTTAATTTAATAATTATAATAAATAAATAAATGTATGTAAACAATTTAACAACAATTTTTATTTTTTTAGGATTTTATCCTAAAAGTAATCTTGATGGGTTAAAAGTGGATCAAGTAGTTCAGCTGGGAGTTGACTTTCAAACAGTAGCAATGACAGCTTTGTTTCACGAAGATGAAGCTAAAAAGGTAGCATTTTCACTTTTATAATTGACTTTTGCCCTTGTAAATTTTTTTTATGATGAACAAACTGACCCGCAACGGTGGTATCTAGTTGTTGTTTCCCTCCCCAGTGAAAGCAGCCGTTTACCGACGACAATGAAAAGGTCAAGCAGAAATTGTTACCTCCCCTTTGTTTCAAATAATTAAATACTAAATAATCTGCCCCTAATAGCCATCACTAATTCAACCCTGCTCTACGATTGTAAACATTCGTCGTGAACCAAAGCTCACCAGACGGGTGGGGGTGGTAGCGATATACCTGGAGAGCGGGGGAGTAATGGCGTGCGTCTACATCTTGTTCCGCATGGTCCAGATGAAGAGAATTATATATATATAGATCTGTAGGCCAACAGTTTTCATATCGGTGGTCTATTTTATTTTCCAATAAACATTTCATTATATATTATATAGGTCTATTTATTTTATTTTGTTTTCAAAATTGAATCCATTCATAATTAGATTTAAAACAAAAATATATAATATTTATTTGGCTTTAAATATTTAATTTACTCAAGTTGCCTTTTTAAATTTATTAACTCAGCTAATAAAATATATTTTTTATAATTATATTTATAACAGAGTGAGCTTGTGAAAGAGCTCAAGGAAGTAGAGGTGCCCAAGTACTTAGACTTTTTTGAAAAACTTTTGAAAGAATCTGGAACAGGATATTTTGTTGGTACAACGGTAAGACAGTGAAGTCATATTTTTACTGTATTATGAAAGCATGAAATTTACTTAAGAAATTTTTTTGGGTGTAAAACAAGAGCATGAGATAGTTTGTTTTATATATCCTAACTATAACTATACGGTAAAGCTCATGGCTGATAAACAGAAAATTCTCGAGTTCGAGCCCTCCAGCAGATTAGGCTCAACAGCTGGAGACAGCCACTCTTCTAGGAGAGACAACTCCAAAATCGAAATCAAACAATTGCTGCCTTGTAGTTTGTTCTTGGCTGGACAAAGGCTATGGAAGCAAATCCAAAATCTAGTTGACATGTATACTTAATTGTTTTGGAGGGAATCCCTTCCAACACTACAATTAAAAACGAAGAAGAAGACTTAAACAGTACAACATTATTTTCTTTTATATAAATAGCATTATAAATCTTCACATTTTATAGCTCATTTGATTGTTTAATTGTTTTTGACTCATGGAATTTTACCAGTTTGTAACACATTTTTTGCAGTTAACACTTGCAGACTTCTTCATCTATGATATAATCTCTGTGACGATAGACAGAGGAGTCCTCAGCACATCCAAACATCCATTAGTGGATGGGTTAGTTAAGAAAGTTGAAAGTAATCCCAATGTAAAAACTTACCTGGCAAACAGAAAGAAGACTGATTTTTAATACAGAATAGAAACCTCCAGATTTTAAAATTACCTGTCCATTATAAAAAATTACGGCTTTGTAAAACAAAAAACAACAATATCGGCATCTTAACATTTTGCCACATTATTAAAACAATTGTATGTAATTGACAGAAGTAATCTTTTTTAATTAAGATATAAAAAAATCCAATTTTAAAAATCTGTATTAAATTTAACTGTCTAAAGATGCTAATAATGTTTATAATGAAAATTTCCAGAGCTGTAAAATTTGAAAATATCACATTTGACAAACTTTCCAATTGTGTATTGTAGCATAAATATTTTATTCAATGAATAAGTGAATTTTAAAATTCTATCTTGCAACATTAGATTTCATTCATTGCATTGGTTTATTGTTGTGAAATTCAGCTAATGGAAGTAAAGTTTATTGTATCAAACTTAACATTGGCTGTCTATGTAAATAATTGCAATCCATATTTGATGTAACTTTATATTAATGTAAAATGTAAATAAATATGTAGACTAGAGATAAGTCTTTATTTTTACATTTTAAGTTGTTGCGCTGTTTGTTTTATACGAATACTTTACATCCATGATCAGATAACCATACCTGATTTATATTTTCTACTGACATATTCAACAGTTAACTTAATAGCCATAAAAATATGACATTTAAACTAGCAAGAAGTCTCATACCCTTCACAACTTAGTTTATAACAAATTCACATATTTGGGAAAGTGATCAACAAGGATTGAGGGGGGAGGGGTGTCAGATGAGTACACAAAAAGATGTATACACAAAGCCATATAACTCTTAATAAGGAATTGCACAGCCTAGTCACTCCATAGCAAGATCAGAATCTTCTACACAAATGTTAATGTAATGCAGTATTGCTTTATTGTTCAGAGACCTGGAGGGTTACCATAAACAAAGACATGCTGAAGTCGTTCTCAAAGAGATGTTTACGACAGACCCACAAGATCAGATGGCCAAACATGGAGTTTGTTCTTCACAAAAGAACATGAAGAAATTATCATATTTGGTACCAGCTTTAATTGCATAGCAAATCTGCATATCAATTGTTATAATGATATTTATCCAGAACAGCATGTCTTTTAGCTACCATCACCAGGCTTTATCTGTGGAATCAAGTAATTATTCATTTTATCTTACATGACTACAAGTACAAATCTTACGCCTCTTTTCTTTTCTTAACTTAGCAACACCTTTCAGCACTGTATACATAATTATTGATTATTGGCCGAGAAAAAAATCAATAACCGAATTTGACCTAATAAGAAAAAAAAACTTCAATGATTCAGCACAACCTCATTTCAGTTTTGCCGAGTCATGTTAGTTCGTGCACAAATCAATAAACATCCCCACCCTCCCCGCATTTGGCCTCGATCTCCCCCTCTCCAGAGGCGTATCAAACGGTGGGGGTGGGTGGTGGGTACATATGTCCGACCCTATGGGGCGCCAAAATGGGTTGGAAAAAATTAAAAGCTCATTTTAGCTGCAGTTTTGCATTGTAAATATTAAAAAATGAGGGGGGGGGGGAATGCCAAAATGAAAGTTTGTCTCTGGGCGCCGGGAAGGGTCGCTACACCTCTGCCCCTCTCTCCCTACTAGCCTTTTGTCGAGTCTTGTTATACGTCCATAAACACTGAATTAGAACCGACTTTAGACCCAGTGTAGACAGTAAAAAGAAATGCTAATTTTAACCTCGTACTATTGAACCAGAATTCGCTGGTCATAGTTGTCTATATAAACCAAAAACTGTGTCACAATCGGGCATACGCTGTCGACACGCTCCAAGAATAAGCCTTAACAGTTTTCTGCACTGATTGCGCTACACACAACTTTGTAGGTAGTATTATATTACATTAATGTTTTTTTGATAAATTATATACATAGGCATATATATATATATATATATATATATATATATATATATATATATATATATATATATATATATATATATATATATATGCCTATATTCCTAAATATATGCATGAATATAGGGTCTATATATTATGTAGGCATATATATATATATAAAGATATATTTATATTCTAAGCTTATGTGTGTGTGTGGGGGGGGGGGGGGTATTCGTGTTCTTAAATGATACTTTTATTTGTAACTATTAAGTTTCTTGACTATAAACTATATTTATGCCTCTCTCCGCAGTTAAAATGGCTCTAAAAAACGTCAAGCTTTACTACTTCGATGGCAGAGGTCGTGCTGAGGTGACACGGTTAATGCTGGCAGCAGCAGGCGTCAAGTACGAAGACATCAGATACACTTCACAGACATGGCCCGCCGAGAAGTCAAGTAAGACTGATATTTTTAGAATTATATATTTTTAAAAAAAAAAGGCTTTTGTAACCAAGAGCTTACTTTTATTTCTAACTGTGATAGATTTACGGATTGGCTGATTTTTAATTTTGTAGAAAACATAAAGTGAATGTTAGAGACTATCAAGGCAAAAATACACTTAACGTATCCATAAATGACGTCACACTCGTAGGTGGGAGGGGGGGGGGGGGTCCGTAATTTTGTGACGGTGTGAGATGAGGGGGAGGGAGGGATTCAGATGGTGGGACGTCACACTTTTGCATTATAAAAAAGCAATGTTAGAAAACGTATTTCCGCCGTTATTTCGCGTTTTAGAAAACTATTTTAATAAATTGTAATAGGAATTGATCAAAATACTCTATGTTGACGGAGTTCAAACAAGATTTTGGGAAAATATCGATGTTTTAAGAAAAAAATCAACAGCAATTTTGAGAGAGGTTGTAGGCTGAGGAGTGACGTCATTTTACGAGGGGTCTGGCTCAGTGGCGTAGCGAGGTCGGGTGTCACCCGGTGTGGCACTTAATGGTGTCACCCCCCCAGAGGCGTAGTGACCCTTCCCGGGGACAAACTTTCGATTTGCACCCCCCTCAAACTTTCGATCTGCACCCCCCCCCCCTCAAACTTTTGATTTGCACCCCCCTCAAGTTTTTCTCTATATATTTTGCTATTTTTTGCCTTGGTGTCACCCCCCCCCCCTAAATGGTGTCACCCGGTGCGGTCCGCACCCACCGCCCCCCCCCCCCCCTCGCTACACCTCTGGTCTGGCTTTTTGTGAAGACGTGTGACGGAGGGGAGGGGGGGGGGTGGTAAAAATCGTCCAAAAAAGAGTGACGTCTTTTATGCATGACCCCTAAATTAAATCTCAAAATAAATTGTCTGTTAATTTAACAATGATGGGCTATGCCTCCCCCCCCCCCCTCAATGCCCCCCCCCCCCTCCCGAATGGTAGTTCCGCCCCTGTTTTCATTTGTAGCTTTGTAAATAGCAGACGATCATAAATTTAATTTAATTAGCTTATTTTTTAGTAGCCTGTCCGTTATTTTAAAAGAATACTGACTAGATTATATAGTAATTAAAAAATTATTAACTTTAATTATATGTGTCAACTAATGTTGCTTTTTTTCTTCTTCAGAAATGCCTTTTGGGCAAGTACCAGTAATAAGTGTAGATGGCAAAATGTTTGGCCAGAGCCTTGCAATAGCAACTTTCGTTGCCAAGGAAGCTGGTAGGCCAATAATTTTCTTTAAATTTATTTTACAACTTTTAAAGAATAATTATAATAAATACATGTATGTTAACAATTTAATTTTTTTTATAAATATCAGGAAAAAAATTAAAAATTGTTTTTTTTTTTTTTAGGATTTTATCCAAAAAGTAATCTTGATGGGTTAAAAGTGGATCAAGTAGTTCAGCTGGGAGTTGACTTTCAAACAGCAGCAGGGAAAGCTTTTTTTGAGAAAGATGAAGCTAAAAAGGTAACATGACATTTTCAGTTTTAAAAATTGATTTTTGTATTTGCAATATAATATTTAATTTACTCGAGTTGTCTTTTTAAAATTATTAACTCATCTAATAAAGTATATTTTTTTATAATTAAATTAATAATAGAGTGAGCTTCAGAAAGATCTCAAGGAAGTACAGGTGCCCAAGTACTTAGACTTGTTTGAAAAACTTTTGAAAGAATCTGGCACAGGATATTTCTTTGGCACAACGGTCAGTGAAGTCACATTTTGTAGCCCTTTTAAGTGTTTCTTCCAGACATCGCTTCGTGGGGGGGGGGGGGGGGGGAGAGGGGGCCTGGGCCACCCCAAAGAAAGTCTACCACTTCATGAAAGAAACGGAATTTATATAGAAAATCTATACTTTTAACAGTTTCTGGCCGCCCCGGAAATTTTTGTCTGGCTCCCCCTCTCCCAACCATCATGGAGAAAAAATTCTGGAAGAATCACTGGCCCTATTTATCATTACCTTTTTAGTATTTTTTTACTTTTATAGTAGTTTTTTTACTGTATTATTAATGAGTAAAATTTACTTTAGAAATATTTTTTTGGGCGTAAAACAAGAGCATGAAATAGTTTTGTTTTATATATATCCTGGCTCTAACTATACCTAGACTTCATTTTTACTTATACAACATTATTTTCTTTTAAATAAATAATCTAATTTAATCATCTCATTTTATTTGTATGTTTAATTGTTTGTGAGCTATGAGATTTTACCAGTTTGTAACACATTTTTTGCAGTTAACACTTGCAGACTTCTTCATCTATGATCTCATCTCCGGTTTGATAGGCAGAGGAGTCCTCAGCACATCCAAACATCCATTAGTGGATGGGTTAGTTAAGAAAGTTGAAAGTAATGCTAATGTAAAAACTTACCTGGCAAACAGAAAGAAGACTGATTTTTAATACAGAATAGAAACCTCCAGATTTTAAAATTACCTGTCCATTAAAAAAGATTTAAAGCTTTGTAACACAAAAAAAAACAAAAACTAATGGCTTCTTTACATTTTGCCACATTATTAAAACAACCTCATGTAGGCCAATTGACATAAGTAACCTTTATTAAGATATAAAAAATACAATTTTAAAAATCTGTATTAAATTTAACTGTCCTAAAATGCTAATAATATTTAAAATTAAAATTTTCAGAGCTGTAAAATTTGAAAATATCACATTTGACAAACTTTCCAATTGTATATTGTAGCTAAATATTTTCTTCAATGTATAAGTGAATTTTAAAAATGCTATCTGGCATTATTAGATTTCATTCACTCCATTGGTTAATCGTTGTGAAATTCAGTTAATGAAAGTAAAGTTTATTGAATCAAACTTGACATTGGCTGTCTGTGTAAATAACTGCAATCCATATTTGATGTAACTTTAAATTAATGTAAAATGTAAATAAATATCATGTAGAGATAAGTCTTTTCTTTTACATTTTAAGTTGTTGCGATGTTTGTTTTATATGAATACTTTATATCCATGATCAGATAACTAAACCTGATTTATATTTTCTACTGACATACACAACAGTTAACTTAATAGCCATAAAAATATGACATTTAACTAGCCAGAAGTCTCATACCCTTCAGAACTTAGTTTCAAATACACATTCACATATCTGGGAAAGTGATTAACATTGGGCAGAATAAAATCTGTATATACAAAGCCATATAACTCACCAATCCCAATAAGGAATTGCACAGCTTAGTCACTTCATAGCAAGATCAGAATCTTCTACTCAAATGTTAATGCAGTATTGCTTTATGGTTCGGAGACCTGGAGGGTCACCAAAGCAAATACAGACTGGCTGAAGTCGTTCACAAAGAGATGTTTACGACAGATCCACAAGATCAGATGGCCAGAGGAAATATCCATTAAAGACCTGTGGTAAAACAGCTAATAGGAAGGGACATTAAAGCCAGAAAATGGGGATGGTAACAGCAGAAGGATGTCGTTCACTCAGTAACTAGCCTACCTGATTCAGTGATGCGTAACAATCTACGGCTTGTACACTTACGACGTGCTGTGGCCGTGTGTATGTGCTACAGGTATATATCTATATAAAAATTATATATATATATATATATATATATATATATATATATATATATATATATATATATATATATATATATATATATATATTCTATAATACATTGAAAGAGTGATCAAGTGTGAACACTGTTTATCTCTCGCTTATACCCACTGTTTTTCATAATTTTATAAAGTTAGTCAGAAGTAGCAAGCAGTCCTGAAAAAAATAGGTGGGTGGGGCTGTAGGCTTTTGATGACATTTGTTGTGTGGCTGTGATCGCTACTAATGACGATATGGGTTGGGGTAAAATTAACAGAAATAAAGTGACGTCATTTATGTACAGCCACTTGCCTGCGCCTTATATGTAACTTTACCAACGTGGTTCTTCATAGGATTATCTCGAGCGGAGATGTAACTTTTCCTTTTTTTACGGAACTCTGCTTTTTCCTAAAACAAAAAAATTAAAAAAAAAAAAAAACTACAAACAACAACAACGGCAAACAGATCTAGAATCTAGCTGTTGCGCCGACCGAGACTGAATTTGATTCATGGTTGCGCTCGCTGATCGTGAGGCTTACGATGCAATACCACGCGAGCACATTCTACAAGCGCTTTTATTTAAATTTCTAACTTTAACTTGGTTCTTTTTCTCCTGCTTCGTTCTTAATTTTTAGTGTTGGGAATGATCTAGCCTTATCTTATCGAGACTTTTTCGAATTTGTCAACCATGAGCTTTTGCCGACTCGACCACGCCTCCATCACAATCCGTCCCATGAGCCGCGAAATGCGGCTTGAGCCAGCTTCACCGTAGGCCCACGAGCCGCAAGGTGCGGCTCGACACCGCAAGCGGTTTTTTTAACAAGTCATTTAACGTGTAAAAAACCTACATTCTTTAACATAACTTAAAATTATCTTCATTTACTATTATAGAAATTTCATTTCTGTTTATTTTGATGTATAATACATAAATCTGGTAAGAAAAACATTGGAGCTATAATTGTTTACGTAAATAGGCTCTGTGTAAAAAAAAAATAGGTCACGAAAATATTGAGGTCAGGGGGTGGAAACGCCTCTGGTATAGAAAGAGTTAAGGATACGTGTCAACTGGTTATGCGCTATTGAGGCCATTGACTCCGATTTCAGCCTGCTTTTCTTTTTGGACTTGCCTCCATAACATTTGTCCAATCAAGAACAAACTAGAAAGCAGCAGTTGTTTCATTTTGATCTCTCCTAGAAGAGTGGCTGTCCCCCAGCTAACGAGCCTCATCTGCCGGAGGCAACCATGAGCTTTACCGAATCGACCGCGCCGACCCCTTAACGTGGTTAATTAGAGTTTTTTTAATATATTAAAAAACAAGAACAGCAAAAAAAAAAAAATCAAATAATAATAATAAAAAAAACCCCACTCGATCAACGTTTCAACGTTTGATCCAAATTACCGATGTAGGATTACTATTACACGATCGATCAGAGTTTCTTCTAGCAGTGGCGTAGCGAGGTCGGTGTCACCAGGTGCGGCACTTAATGGTGTCACCCCCAGAGGCGTAGCGACAAACTTTCAAATTTTCGATTTGCACCCCTCCCCCCCCCCCCCTCAAACTTCCGATTTGCACCCGCTCAAACTTTAGATTTGCACTCCCTCAAGTTTTTCTCTATATATTTTGCGGTCCGCACCCCCGCCCCCCCCCCTCGCTACGCCTCCGTCTTCCAGTCTACCGCCCCCCGAACGAGATGGATTTTATATAGCAAACATACACTTTTACTAGTGTCCGCCACCCCCCCCCCCGAAAAATGTTGACCCCCCCCCGAAATTATCAAGTGCCCCCCCCCCCCCCCCCTTGAGAAAAAAGTCTGGAAGAAATACTGCGATCGATCATGGCCTAGATCTAATGGTCTTCGGCACTATTTTCAATAGCAGAGCCGGCGTTAGGGGGTGGCGAACGGGGCGGTCGCCATAGGCCCCGCGCTTGAAGGGGCCCCGCGCTTCAGCAATGTCATTGTTATCTGAATTAGTTCGTAAACTTAAAAAAAAAATGTTGCTGAATTCAATTGGGAAAAACTAAATGGTGGAATGCCGACGTTGTTGATTGTTATACCTGAGGCCACGGTTGATGTTGGTGAGTCCCACCTGAACTGGGACAGGCCGTAATTCGATACAAAAATAGTGTTACACCTACCCTTTGTGTAGGGTACGGTCGCCTGGCATTTGACCTGAGCTGACTGGAGATGGCGGTCGAGAATTAGCCCACGACGTAAAGAGATACCCTATTGTATGCGGACCGATGAAGACGTCCTTTTAGTGAGCAGACGGGATGTCTATAGTAGACAGTTAGTGACCTGATGAACTCTAGTCCTGACTTTCTAGTTGTAGATGTCGTATAATGTCGTATATGTACAGTGTTTCTTCCAGACTTTTTTCTCCGGGGGGAGGGGCACTTGAAATTTTCGGGGAGGGGGGGGGGGGCGGTAGACTTTCTTCGGGGGGGGGGTGCGGACACTGTTAAAAGTATATATTTTCTCTATAAATTATATAAATTTCATTTCGTTTTCGGGGGGGGGGGGGGCTACTCTATATGTAGGCCTACGTGTCTTGGTATAACAAAATTAACATTCAGTTGCGTGCAGAGGGGTGGGAGGAGGGCGACGAGGAGGGGGGGGGGGGGGGGGGCTTAGGATCTATATCAGGCGGCATTAAACAGAGTGATTTATTATTATTGTTTGGAAGAAAGTTAAAACTTGTTATGTTGTGTCACCTTAAGGATTCACCCGTTCAATAATTAAAACAATAATGATTTTGGTTTTAAAATATTGTATAAATTCTAAACAAATTTTGAAGTCTATACTGTTTTGATACATCAGGCCGAGTTCGCTGTATTGTAAACTTTATTTTCCTAATTATTTGGCTCGTGATTAAATTTTCTTAAGTGATTTGGTATGAATTACATAACTGTTAAAAGTGATTTAATATCTTAGCAAAGGAAAAAAAAAAAACTACGAACATTGGGTTAATACATGGAAGAGATAAAAATCTGTTATTATAGTGGAAAGTTTGACATTAGCTTATAAACTCCAAAACATTTGTGTTATTATGTGTACATCACATTATATAGGCCTTTATACATACATACATACATATATATATATATATATATATATATATATATATATATATATATATATATATATATATATATATATATATATATATATATACATACATATATATATAATGGAAAGGCCCCGCGCGGATCGTTGGCCCTAGGCCCCGCTTATTCCTAACGCCGGCTCTGTTCAATAGCATAGCAAATCTGCAAAACAGTTGTTATACTGATATTTATCTAGAATAGGCTGTCTTTTTGCTACCATTACCAGGCTCTCCTTGTGGAATCAAGTAATTATTCATTTTATCTTACATGACCACAAGTACAAGTCTTACTCCTCTTTTTTTTTCTTAACTTAGCAAAACCTTTCAGTACTGTAGACATATTATTGATTATTGGCCGAGAAAATCAATAAACGAATTTGACCTATAAGAAAAAAACTAAATGATTCAGCACAACCTGATGGCCAAGCCGTTGGGAATAGCCGTAATGGGACTATTCCCAGCCGACTGTGAATAGCCCCAATACGGCTATTCCCAGTCGGCTGTTATTTCATGCTAAATACGATTGGGGATAATATCTTACGATGATAAAATTATTTATTGTTACTGGGGAATGAGGTATATATTCAGAAGAGAGCAGTGCTATTTTGTTTATACATGTTACATTTTCATTAAAAAAATATTAGGTATGGTTTATTTTAAGTTTAGCTTTTAGGCTCACATCTCTCTGCTACGTTGGTCGCAGATGAACTGGTCAGTTATCATTATGCACTATAATTAAATCTATACTTAATCTATTAATAGATCTAGTAATTTTTAAATAAATAATATTAATTATGCATCAATTTAGTAGTTCACATTGCTATTCTACAGTCAATTACCATTTAAAATTCGAATAGAACAAATATAGGGTGAAATAGGATGTCCTTTTTTGTCCTATAATTCACAGTTTCCATCATTATTTTCCCAAGTTATTTTTTTTCTTAGCAAAAATCTAAGGGAGAAGTTTTTTTTTTCCCAGATATATGACATTAATCACGTCACAAACGATTAAATAAAATAACAAACGTAACCGTTTCATGAACAAAGGGATAAAAATATTTGATAATAGGGGGCATAAATTAAGTGTCGAAACCCGCACCTACCAGCACATCAGCCACCCACATTTCCACTCGACCTCACAGCTTCATATTGAATTCACAACTGTGAATAGCCCTAATACGGCTGTTCCCAGTCAACTGGGAATAGATGCTTCGCAACCTGATTTCAATTTTGCCGAGTCATAGTTCGTGCACAAATCAATGAACATCACCACCCTCCCTGCATTTGGCCTCAATCTCTCCCCTCTCTCCCTCACTAGCCTTTTGTCGAGTCTAGTTTTACGCCCATAATAACTGAACTAGAACGAAAATCTTCCACCCTTCTAAATAGCAGAAGCTCACCTGAGTTAAGACCCAGTGTAAACATTAAAAAATTCTAATTTTAACCTCGTACTATTGAACCAGAATTCGCTGGTCATAGTTGTCTATATAAACCAAAAACTGTGTCACAATCGGGCATACGCTGTCGACACGCTCCAAGATTAAGTTCAACAGTTTCTGCACTGATTGCGCTACACACAACTTTGTAGGTAGCATAACATTAATGTTATTTTTTTTTACATAGGTAACTATGATGTTTCTTGACTATAAACGATGTTTATGCCTCTCTCCACAGTTAATATGACTCTAAAAAACATCAAGCTTTACTACTTCGATGCCCAAGGTCGCGCTGAGTTGACCCGTATAATACTGGCAGCAGCAGGCGTCAAGTACGAGGACATCAGATACACTTTTCAGACATGGCCCGCCGAGAAGTCAAGTAAGACTGAAATTTGAAAATTTATCTGGCGATGTTATATTAGATTTAATTAGCTTATTTTTGTAGTCTATCTGCTATTTTAAAAGAATACTGACTAAATTATACAGTAATTAAAAAAGTATAAACTTTAATTAAACGTGTTAACTAATGTTGCCTTTTTTCCCTTCAGAGATGCCTTTTGGGCAACTACCAGTAATAAGTGTAGATGGCAAAATGTTTGGCCAGAGCCTTGCAATAGCTACTTTTGTTGCCAAGGAAGCTGGTAGGCCAATAACTTTCTTTAAATTTATTTTACAACTTTTAAATAAATGCGCTTAAAAAATTTTTAAAAATAAATAAAAATATCAGAAATAAAAAAAACAATTAACACTTGTTTTGTTTTAGGATTTTATCCTAAAAATAATCTTGATGGGTTAAAAGTGGATCAAGTAGTTCAGCTGGGAGTTGACTTTCAAACAGCAGCAGTCAAAGCTTTTTTTGAGAAAGATGAAGCTAAAAAGGTAACATGACATTTTCAGTTTTAAAAATTGATTTTTGCCCTTGTAATTTTTGTTTTTATGATGTATATGTAGGCCAATAGTTTTTATATTGATGGTCTATTTATTTTCTAATAAACATTTAAACATAAGAAAGAATATACAGGTCTATTAATTTTATTCTATTTATTTTCAAAATTAGTGATTAGATTAAACATAAAATCTATAATATTTATTTGGTTTTAGATATTTTAATTGATCACATTGTCTTTTTAGATTTATCAACTTAGCTAATAAAATATCTTTTTAATAATTAAATGAATAACAGAGTGTATATGAGAAAGAGCTAAAGGAAGTAGAGGTGCCCAAGTACTTAGACATATTTGAAAAACTTTTGAAAGAATCTGGAACAGGATATTTCGTTGGTACAACGGTAAGTCAGTGGTCATATTTTGTAGCTCTATAAATCTGTACTTTTTGGGTATTTTTTATTTTATTGTATTATTTTTACTGTATTATTAAGGAGTGAAATTTACTTTTTGGATGTAAAACAGGAGCATGAAAAAGATTTGTTTTATATATCCTGGCCATGACTAAATACCAAGACTAAATTTTTACTACAACATTATTTTCTTTTAAATAAATAGCCATATGTAATATGTTTGTTTAATTGTTTGTGATTTATGCAATTTTACCAGTTTGTAACATATTTTTTTTCAGTTAACACTTGCAGACTTCTGCATCTATGATCTCGTCGCCATGATGATAGGCAGAGGAGTCCTCAGCACATCCAAACATCCATTAGTGGATGGGTTAGTTAAGAAAATTGAAAGTAATCCTAACGTGAAAACTTACCTGGCAAATAGAAAGAAGACTGATTTTTAATACAGAATAGAAACCTCCAGATTTTAAAATTACCTGTCCATTATATAAGATTTAAGGCTTTTTAACACGCAAAAAAACTGACTGTATCTTCACATTTTGCTACATTATTATTAAAACAATCTCATGTAGTTGACAGAAATAATCTTTTTTTAAGATAAAAAAATACAATTTAAAAATAGAAAACTTTATTAAATTTAACATAGTCTAATCTAAAAATGCTAATGATATTCAAAATAAAAATCTCCAGAGCTGTAAAATTTGAAGCTAATGCATTTGACAAACTTTCCAATTATTAATTATATATTGCAGCCTATTTATTTTATTCAATGAATAAGTGATAATTGCAATCCATATTTGATGTAACTTTAAATTAATGTAAAATGTAAATAAATATGTTGTTCAAATATGTGTTTTTATTTTTACATTTTATGTTGTTGCGATGTTTGTTTTATATGAATACTTTACATCCATGATCAGATAACCATACCTGTTTATATATTTTACTGACATACGCAACACTAAACTTAATAGCCATAAAAATAGGACATTCAAACTGGCCAGAATTGTTATACCTCTCAGAACTGAGTTTAAAAAAAAAATCACTTACCTAGGAAGGGAAGCAGACGTTGACATAATTGGCCATATCAACAATGCCAGATGTGCATTCAACTCACTAATCCCAATGAAGAATTGAAGATTCTTATCACTAGAGAACAAGATAAGAATCTTTAAGACAATAAATATTAAGGCAATATTGCTTTATGGTTCATAGACCTAGAGGGTTATCAAAACAAAGACATGCTGAAGTCATTCTCAAAGAGATGTTTACGACATATCATCAAGATAAGATGGCCAGACAAAATATCCAATAAAGACCTTTGGCAAAACACCAAACAGCTAATATACATGGACATTTGAATAAAGCCAGCAAATGTAGATGGATAGAACATACCTTGAGAAGGGGAGAGGCTAACATATATTTGGTTGGAATCCCCAGGGTAAGTGGTAAGTAGGTCAAGGTCATCCAGGAACAGGACACTAGAAGATGAGGTGAGAGCTGCAGGGCTTACACGGGAGCACTTAAATAGAGAGAGTCGCTCAAACAACATAGTCCGATTTAGAAATATAAATATGCAAAAATGTTCAATGATAACAGAAATTTATTATCAGTAGGCCTCTGAGTACTATCACGTTACCTTTTTTTCCCTTTGGTGTGTGTCTTCGTTTATGGATGATCCTTTTAAAGAGCAACTACTTCTTCACAAGACATGTTGTAGGTTTACTCTACTATGTCATGTGATATAGGCCTTTAGTGATGCTTGCTGGTGTTTTAATTGTTTGATTCTATTTATTAACGCCGTTTTAGCTTTCCTCTCTATAATCTAGAGTATCTACCCTTAACTAACATTTTTTTAAAATTTGCTTTTTTTGTTTATTAGGATGTCTGCCTTTCAGTTTAAAGGCTACAAACTCAATTAAATATTAAATATGGGGGGGGGGGGGGAGTGGGCTTCAGTGTGACGTCATTTGTGAGGGGTGGGGGTGTCTGACCTTTTGTAATGATATGTTGTAATGAAGATAGAAATATGGCAAAGAAGAAAACGTGACATTTTAAATGGACGACCCTTCCCCCCTCATTATATTAAATAATTGATTGTGGGTTTTTTTTTGTGTGCATAAACCAAATTTAGAATGCTCTGTAGTTTATAATTACTCAAATAATTTTTTATGATAATTGTTGTTCTGTAAATGTAAATTCCCTCATGCTTAAAATAGATTACATTGTGTAAACTGCCTTCAAGAACAACATTGTGGACCCCCAAAAACTATCGTTGTGCTATGTCGTTTTATATATTTATATGCACACACACACACACACACACACACACACACACATATATATATATATATATATATATATATATATATATATATATATATATATATATATATATATATATATACATAATATATTTATATGGACATTTTTATCCCCCCCCCCACATACACACACTTAACAAAATTCTGTCTACGTTATTGCTCCTAGTTGACCGTCCTCAATTTATCATCGTCATAACATTCTTTCTTCTCCGAAAATGAATGCTAGTCATTTGTTTAGCTATTTGAACAAATATTTACGCATGACATATGGGCCACCTTTCTCCTATATTTTCATATTTTCCTATAACGTCATTTAAAAAATAGTAGTGTCAAATCTCAAACTTCTACTACCGGAATACGCACAAACGATGTTTGTATGCCTTCAAACACACGTATAGCCAATACTGGGATTCAATGTTACTCGAAATAAAATAGCAATGTCATACCAGTCTTCACAAGAGACAACTTGGTATTTCAACTTTTTTTTCTAGGCCTTGGCACTAACCAGCCCAACCCACCACTCATTCAGACCTGGCCAGTTTTACACAAACGCAGAATGTCAAATCAAATTAAATAAATAATATAGAAAAAAAAAACTGCCGGTTGGTCATGGCGCAGAACATTGACCTACTATCTACAAATCTATCTTTAAATATTTGGTACCCAAAATTAGGCTACAGTTCGGATGTTTGGCTTAAACTTGCTGACACCACCCCCAGTTAGCAGGGAGAAAATATAGGTATATAAAATAGTACAGATATAGCATATATTTACATCTAATTAGCAATCTTAACAAAAAAAACACAACATTTGATAATTGACTATTATTTAATATTATTAAAAGTTTGTGACAATACAAATTTGTAACCTTCACAACGATTTGTAAAAAATACTGTTAAAGCAGTTTTATGGAATGTATATTGTACTTCAAGGCAGCCTCACATTCCGTCAAACATCGTTAAACAAATATTAAATACATCTAATGCTCAGATGGTTTTCTGCTTTCCAAATAGGCTCGAAGTTTTTCGTTACTTTTTACTTTTTCGATCCAAGTCTGAACTAGAGGGTACTGTTCTATATTTAGCATTCCTCGCTGTACTAGGGCTTCCATTTGGTCAAACACCACTATGTCGGCAAGTGTAAGCTGAAACAGAACACCAGTTCGTGTTTGAGAAACATATCAAGATGAGAAAATATGCTGCATAATGGTAGCAGTCATGAAGTAGAAAAAAAAGACATGAACTAAATATAGAGCCTATATATATATATATATATATATATATATATATATATATATATATATATATATATATATATATATATATATATATATATATATATATATAAAACGTAATGTATTTCTTGTTAGTAACTTGTACGAAGAATCAGTTGACAAGATCAGTAATAAAATGTTAAATAGATGTTATTTTTTTTCCTTTTTTCCCCCTCGGCGATTGTTTTTTCTTATATTGACAAACAGGTCAATTTCACCCCCTCCCCATCTCGACATTATGTTTTAATTGTGTCTATCCAAAATGTCAACGTGCGAGCTGAAAGGTCACGTTATAATTTTCTGTGACGCCTTTCAGAAAAAAAAAGCTCGATGTTATATCCAACAGTGATAAAGAAAAAAAAATATGAGCTACACTGGTTCATTATCAAACCCAGACAGCAATTGTATACTTATCAATATTTTAAATATTGATCCGTTTCTTTAACACGTTTAAAATATTAGCCATAAAAATCTGTATTTTTAATATGATGTTGTTTAAAACGAAACAAAGCCAAGTTAGAAAATAACTAGTTGGCTTGTTGAATACTTACTGAATCACCAACAAAATATCCTGTTCCATTCTCTCTCAAAATTTTCTCGTAGAAGGTGACGAATTTCGGCACGTCCACCTCTTTGGTTTGTTTCAGGAGTTCAGCCTGTAAAAAAAAATCTCTGGAGTAAATTTGATTATGGGACAAAATATTTTACATTTTAAAAGTACATCCCTCCACACACGGTATACAAACCGTATACAAACATGTCCACTATTATAAAATCAGTAACTGTTTCATTGATTACGTTACAATGTTGCACATGATACCAGTCTCCACACCCCCTATCTACACATTTTATTGTTTCAGCTCACTGGTGACACTTGTTGTTAGTTAAATTGGAAAGGCAAAAGCTCCCTTTTTCTCCACGTGTGAGTAATCTATGGTATTGTAGTAGTTTAACATTGTATTCTTCAATATTAAAAAGAATATGCTAATTACTTCGTCCATGATAAGCTGTTTTCATTTAGTGTTGTATATAAGTGGCGTCACGATTTTTGGACGATTTGTTTTACCGCACCACTCAATCCCCTTCGTCATACATCCACCCCAATTTCAATTTCTTTTCTCCCTTGCAGTGTAATTTAAAAATGTCATTTAAGGACGACCAAAATCAACCCCCCAACTTGAACTAACTTGGGTAACTATTTAAATTCTTGACTCACCTCCACCCCCCCCCATGTCCCCATAATGCGTGACCTTAATTCTAGAAGTGACATTTTGCCTGTCCATATCTAGACTAAATTACACCGACTAAATGCCCCAACACGAAATCGCTCTGTACCATCACGGTCATTAATAAAGTCACGGCGTTGTTTTAAAAATACGTGATGGCCATTCGTTTAATAGTTGTTGCTTTAATGTTTATAGTCGCAAAAGATTGTATGATAATAGTTTTCCATTTTATATTGACAGCTAAGAACCTAAACACAAAAATTTAGCTGCATAACAATATAAAAATAGTTTTCTAAAACGTCATCTACCGCACCCCCGAACGAAATGGAAATTTATATAGAAAATATATACTTTTACCAGTGTCCGCCCCCCCCCCCATCGAAAAAGAAACACTAACAGCCCTAATGATGGACCGACACCACCAGTGTTGACACCGTCTTGCAGGTACTCATTTCCTTACCTTTTTGGCCTCGTCCTTCTCTCGACGGTTCCTTCCCAGAGCTGAGCCGAAATCAATGGACAACTGCACCACTTGGTCAACGGCTAGCCCATCCAGCTCGTCTTTCCCATAGAATCCTGAAAAAGGCAAATTAAACAAAGATAACATTAATACAAGAATAAAACAAATATTCATCTAATTCCCTGGTACGCGTTCTGATATTTCAAGTCATTGGACGCATCCATTATTTCCCGAACACAAAAGTGTCATTAAAATAAATTAATACAATTTTAAGAAAATGACTTCGTTACTGTTGGTAATTTAGATATAATATGGCAATTAATGACATTGATTAACGTACCAAGCTTTCGGGCTAGAAACATCGCAATGGCCAAACTCTGGCCAAATCTTTTGCCTTTTACTTCAAGAACTGGGAGTTGGCCAAAAGGGGTATCTGTTGTTGTTTGAGAAAAAAAAAAGACACAATTTAAGGTAACATAATTTAATACATTATAATTAACTTTAAAATATATAAACGAACATGCCTTTTAAATAAATCAGTATAATATTGTTTAAAAAAATCTTACTTGGCTTTTCTGCCGTCCATTGATCACGGGGTAGTCTGACGTCTTCGTATTCTTTTCCCGCGGCCGCCAACAGAAGGCGGGAAATCTCAGCACGTCCTCTAGCATCAAAATATATTAGCTTCATGTTGGTGTTTTGTTGTTGTGGGTCTCAGGTCTGTACTTAGGAGTAGATTAACTGTTGGAGGTAGTTGTAAAATTATACTGAAAACCTTGCCTATATATACAAGTTTGCCGAAGTTAAGGAATTCATTGTCAAACTTGGACTGGATTTGCTATCTAGTGCTGACCAATTGTGGCGTTTCAAAACATCAACTTCAATGCTACAAAATGCACTTTAAATGTATTCTATTTATTTAACTCAAACACTTATTGCATTAACTTTATACTAATAACCAGCGAAACAAGAATTTCCAGAATGTTCTTAAAGAGTCTTGGCTGCCTCTTACCCAGAGGGAGGCGGGGGCGGGGAGTGCGGACTGCACCGGGTGACACCATTTAGGGGGGGGGGTTGTCACACCATAAGGTGTCGCACCGGGGTGACACACGACCTAGCGACACCACTGCTCTTACCACATTAACATAAAGGTTGGCACAATGATACATCAAGAATTTGTTAATGTAAGTTTCATCATCATCATTATCATTTTTTTTTTGGGTTTATTAAGATACATAGGCCAATGAACAGTTGAAGTGATATGAAACTCAATAAATTATTGTTAGAAAGAGTGGAGTTTGACAAGTTAGAGAAAGTAAAGATGACTGAGCATAATGCTGACCACACTATCCCTTTAATATGCTAATCAAAGAGATTAACTCTGCTTCATCTGCATAAATGACCCTCTGATCTAAGCAGATAACTTCTTTATGAAAAAAAAAACCTTTTAGTCACGGTACTGTACTGTGTCATGTGTCAAGTACCACGGTAATGTAATGTAAAGTATTGTGTCAAAGTACTGTGTCACGGTACTGTGTCACGGTACTGGGCTGTGTCACGGTACTGTGATGTTTCAAAGTATTATTTGTATTCGATTTTAAAATTTTAAAATCTTCTAGGAAATGTCGATTTATGCTTGTTTTATGTGGTAACTTATTTACACAAGATGGGTTACTGTTCCCAGCTATTGAACCTTTACCTGCCCGGGGATTCGAAATCGAGAGTTCAACCTACCTGACCACGCCGACCCTACACAAGCTAACAATTATCAATGAACTATTTCACACACTTAAAAAAACTTTTTAATTTATGCAACTATAAAAGGGTATGCTGATGCTATATTGTTTAAGTTGTATCACTTTATTTAACAAGTGCTTTTGTGCACTAGTAATACAACAAATGCAATAGTGCTATGTCACATAGGGTTGTATCCCTTCAGTAAACAACCGCCTTTGTGCATAGCTACTAAAATATGAATTAGTGCAATGTCATGTAGAATTGTGTCCCTTTAGTAAACAAGCGCCTTTATGCGTAGGTACAAAGACTAAAACATGTAGCTGCCATTTTGGGTTGTGTCCCTTTAGTGGATAAAGGCTTTTAAAAATGTGAATATGCCATGTCATGTACAGAGTTTCTTCCAGGCATCTCTTCGGGGGGGGCGAAGCCCCCCCGAAAAATTTTACCGCCCCCCCGGACGAAATGAAATTTATATAATTTATATAGAAAATATATACTTTTAACAGTGTCCGCCCCCCCCCCCCGAAGAAAGTTTACCGCCCCCCCCCCCCGAAAATTTCAAGTGCCCCCCCGGAGAAAAAAGTCTGGAAGAAACACTGGTCATGTAGAGTAGTCTCCCTGTAGTAAACCGGCTTGTCATATTGACTGCGGGTATCTCATGAATTGGGAGTACGATGCTACAAATGTCAACGGTTCGTCAAATGGAAGGGTCACATATCTCTGTGATGACTCATAGTTTCATAGGTCTGGTGGTGTGGTTGTAGTAGGGTTTGGGTTGGTCTGGTAGTGTGGTTGTAGTTGGGTTTTGGTTGGTCTGGTGGTGTGGTTGTAGTTGGGTTTGGGTCGGTCTAGTGGTGTGGTTGTAGTTGGGTTTGGGTTGGTCTGGTGGTGTGGTTGTAGTTGGGTTTGGGTTGGGTTGGTCTGGTGGTGGGGTTGTAGTTGGGTTTGGGTTGGTCTGGTGGTGTGGTTGTAATAGGGTTTGGGTTGGTCTGGTGGTGTGGTTGTAGTTGGGTTTGGGTTGGTCTGGTGGTATGGTTGTAGTTGGGTTTGGGTTTTGGTTGGTCTGGCTGTAATAGGGTTTGGCTTGGTCTAGTGGTGTGGTTGTAGTTGGGTTTGGGTTGGTCTGGTGGTGTGGTTGTAGTTGGGTTTGGGTTGGTCTGGTGGTGTGGCTGTAATAGGGTTTGGGTTGGTCTAGTGTTGTGGTTGTAGTTGGGTTTGGGTTGGTCTGGTGGTGTGGCTGTAGTTGGGTTTGGGTTGGTCTGGTGGTGTGGTTGTAGTAGGGTTTTGGTTGGTGTGGTGGTATGGTTGTAGTTGGGTTTGGGTTGGTGTGGTGGTGTGGTTGTAGTAGGGTTTGGGTTGGTGTGGTTGTAGTAGCGTCTGGGTTGGTCTAGTGGTGTGGTTGTAGTAGGGTTTGGGTTGGTCTGGTGGTGTGGTTGTAGTAGGGTTTGGGTTGGTCTGGTGGTGTGGTTGTAGTTGGGTTTGGGTTGGTCTAGTGAAAAGGTTGTAGTTGGGTTTGGGTTGGTCTGGTGGTGTGGTTGTAGTTGGGTTTGGGTTGGTCTAGTGGTGTGGTTGTAGTAGGGTTTGGGTTGGTCTGGTGGTGTGGTTGTAGTTGGGTTTGGGTTGGTCTATAGACCTGGTGATTTAACCAGTTGCAGCTATAGATCTACTGGTTTAACCAGTTGCAACTACATACCTACTGGTTTAACCAGTTGCAGCTACATACCTACTGGTTTAACCAGTTTCAGCTATAGCCCTATTAACCAGCCCACACGGACACACCCCCTTAAAAATTTAGATATTAAATCGAGGATGATATGCTCCTAAACTACAAACAGTGATCTACTCTATCATGTATGGATCAATTATCAGGGGAACTAATTATTGTTTACACCGTAAACGTTCGCAACACCGAATCAATTTTTATAAAACGTTTCCCCATTCTTCTATTTGCACGTCTCCATTGGCTAGTTACAGATTTCAACATGAGATTAGAGAGCCGTTGGTGGTATCGTAGGCAAACATGGGTCCAATTTGCCCTTTATGAAGTGTGACGGTTGAAAACTGGACCCTGGTTCAACTGTGTGTATGGATGACCCTGCAATACCGCTTTATCAGTTGTCTGGCTATCACGTTTAAAGTGGCCATCTTAAGTTTAATAGGAATAGTTATCAACTCTTCTTGAATGTTCTGGTGGGTCGTCCTTAAAGGACGTCACACTGTTGGGGGCGTGGGGAGTTTGGGACTTTTGTGACGATGTGTGACAAGGGGTGGGGGTGTCAGGAAGCACGACGACACAGTATTGCATGATAAAAATTTATATTAGAAACTGAATGTTAGCCATTGTTTGGTGTTTCTAAAAAAGCCGATTTTTGTAAACTGTAATAGAAATGTCGACCAAACTTAGTAATAAGTTATAGTACAGAAACAAGAATACATGATCGCCAAGGCGAGACAACTAGAATGCAGTGGTGGACAGTTAGGATTAGTTAACTATAATATTTAATGCATCAAATTTTTTCTTATAGAGCCAACCTTGTTGATGACTATTAATTATGTAACCATTGCAGGTCAATTAAGTAAAAGAGCCACATACACTTTTAAAGTGATTCTCTTTGCTGTGTACATGTGCAAACAGGAATGGTTAAATCTAAAAATTTTAGGCACCTTAGAATGCAAAAAATCTGAGCATTGTGATCAGTTGTTACGTCACTATGTAGTACCTTGACATTTAATTTTATATATGGTTAAGTTCCAGCCAAGATATTAGTTAATAATATAGCCACTCCTGTATTTATCTTAACTACTAAAACAGTAAGTATCTTCTAAAATATGACACAGGTCTGTTCTTTTTTAACACGTTTTTATTAACTCAGCTTCGCGTTTGTTTGTTTGTTGTTAAAATTGACATCGAAAATTAGCCCACTTCTGATTGCTCTAGAGACCTGAAATTTGGCATGCATGCTACTTTCGCCTAACAATTTCAGATGCAATCATAAAAACTAGCAATTAGTGACCGTAATTAGCTTAATTTAATTACGCCCCAAGGACCATAAAATTGAGGACATGATTTCTAAAGATACCGACAAGACTGGAGGCTTATAGACACAGTTACTTCGGCCCCAATCGATGTGAGCGCGCTGGCCGTGATCGTATAGTGGTTAGTACTTCGCGTTGTGGCCGCGACAACCCAGGTTCGAATCCTGGTCGCTCAAGATTTTTAGTCCGTGTATTTATAAACACTTTTTTAAAAACCACGTTTTTCATGTGTAGCAACGGACTAAAAAGGAGAAAATAAAATACTTAAAAAAAACTTTAAAAAAAACCACGTTTTTTATGTGTAGCAACGGACTAAAAAGGAGAACGGACACGGTAACACATTGTTAACGGTGACACGGTTGGTACGCTGGGCATGCTAAAATACACATAAACACGTTTTTCCTTAACTCAGCTTCGCGTTTATTTGTTTGTTTATGGGAGATTTGATCACGTGATTCGTGAGTAGATCTCCACGCCAGCGACGTAAATTACACCCTTTCTCTGTTTAAAGCGTATCGGTCGCTCAAGATTTTTTTAGTCCGTGTATTTAAAAACACTTAGTCAAGTCATACTTAATCAAGTGATTAGATAAAGTAGAAAATAAACTATATAAAAAACTTTTTAAAAACCACGTTTTTCATGTGTAGCAACGGACTAAAAAGGAGAAAATAAAATACTTAAAAAAAACTTTTTAAAAAACCACGTTTTTCTTGTGGACTAAAAAGTAGAAAATAACTATTTACATACATTTGATGACAAAAAACGTGGGTCGGGCAGATGGGTCGGGAAATTTGATGGTGAACGTACCCACGTTTTTTGTCATCAAATGTATGTAAATAGTTATTTTCTACTTTTTAGTCCACAAGAAAAACGTGGTTTTTTAAAAAGTTTTTTTTAAGTATTTTATTAACACGTTTTTCTTAACTCAGCTTCGCGTTTGTTTGTTTGTTGTTAAAATTGACATCGAAAATTAGCCCACTTCTGATTGCTCTAGAGACCTGAAATTTGGCATGCATGCTACTTTCGCCTAACAATTTCAGATGCAATCATAAAAACTAGCAATTAGTGACCGTAATTAGCTTAATTTAATTACGCCCCAAGGACCATAAAATTGAGGACATGATTTCTAAAGATACCGACAAGACTCGAGGCCTATTGACACAGTTACTTCGGCCCCAATCGATGTGAGCGCGCTGGCCGTGATCGTATAGTGGTTAGTACTTCGCGTTGTGGCCGCGACAACCCAGGTTCGAATCCTGGTCGCTCAAGATTTTTAGTCCGTGTATTTATAAACACTTTTTTAAAAACCACGTTTTTCATGTGTATCAACGGACTAAAAAGGAGAAAATAAAATACTTAAAAAAAACTTTTTAAAAAAACACGTTTTTTATGTGTAGCAACGGACTAAAAAGGAGAACGGACACGGTAACACATTGTTAACGGTGACACGGTTGGTACGCTGGGCATGCTAAAATACACATAAACACGTTTTCCTTAACTCAGCTTCGCGTTTATTTGTTTGTTTATGGGAGATTTGATCACGTGATTCGTGAGTAGATCTCCACGCCAGCAACGTAAATTACACCCTTTCTCTGTTTAAAGCGTATCGGTCGCTCAAGATTTTTTTAGTCCGTGTATTTAAAAACACTTAGTCAAGTCATACTTAATCAAGTGATTAGATAAAGTAGAAAATAAACTATATAAAAAACTTTTTAAAAACCACGTTTTTCATGTGTAGCAACGGACTAAAAAGGAGAAAATAAAATACTTAAAAAAAACTTTTTAAAAAACCACGTTTTTCTTGTGGACTAAAAAGTAGAAAATAACTATTTACATACATTTGATGACAAAAAACGTGGGTACGTTCACCATCAAATTTCCCGACCCATCTGCCCGACCCACGTTTTTTGTCATCAAATGTATGTAAATAGTTATTTTCTACTTTTTAGTCCACAAGAAAAACGTGGTTTTTTAAAAAGTTTTTTTTAAGTATTTTATTCAATGGGTAAACAGTAAAACTCTTTATAAAAAAGGTTTCTTTTATATTATGACAAAGGTGGTACAGTATTGTCACACAAAAACAACAACAAAAGATATGTCACATTTCTTCATTTTAATGACTTAGAATTTTGGTATAGAAAACAATACAATACAATCTTTTTTAATATGTTAAAATTTGACAAAACATTGTATTTTTAATTGATTGTAATAATAAACTCTGCATCAAATTTTTTACAAGCATTCTTGGCTTTCATACAATTTCAAAGTCAACATAAACTTTTAATAACAGAAAGTACACAACCAAATTAACACTAGGAGAGTATCTGAAAGTATAACTCACAGAAACACATGCTTTAACAGTAGAATAAGCAAAAAGATAAAGAATCATTAAATGCATAGTTTCTTTTATTGATGAAGGAATTAATTAACATGTTTGGAAAAAAAAACAATTTCAACAACCTAAATATCTGGCAACCAGCTGGTTAAATATCTGTTTGCTTGCGGTTGGCCAGGTAGGCTTTGATGCGCTCATTATTTTCAACATTGTTGAAGAGTTCTTTCAGAAGAGGGTAGTCATCCCCAGGTCTGCTGAGTAATGGACCTCGGACGGAGAAAGCGTAAATATTGTCGTATGTGCTTATGTCTGCATATGAAAGCTGTGGAAGTAAATTTGTTTTACGTCATTGTAAAATAACATGAAAATTAAAGTTTAATATTTGAATTTTTTAAATTTATAAACCATAAAAAAATATTTTAAAAATGTTTATATTAATAATAAATAGTAACTTAAAAACAAAGTTGTTCACTCCAAAATATCATCTTATGTAATTGGTACCTTTATGCTTAGAAAAAAATCTATGTATTTGGATTTTAATGTTTTAGAAAGTATTTATTGTAAATCATAGATTAAAACAACAGTTATTCAACATCTTAATCAACTGGCCATAGTCTGTACAAAAAATAAACAATTTAAAAAAAATGAAAAGATCTTAAATTGTATACGCTGAACAGTGAAAGAAGACAACTTACTGATGATCCAACAAAATAACCAGTGCCATTCTCTTTCAAGAGTTTCTCAAGGAATCCCAGATACAAGGGCGACTCCACCTCTTTCACTTTCTTTATCAGCTCAGCCTGCAGATAAAATAAATTTCTATTTATAACTTGAGTCCAGGTAAATGTAACTGATGTTGGCCCAACTCAGGAACAGACATAATACATTGAGAAAATGTAGTAAATTTTAGACTGACTGCTATATAGATAGAGTTGGATGGATAAATTGGTGAATACCCTATCCCTTCATACACTAAGATCACAGAAGACCCATGGACTGCCAGTTCAGAAAGGGTAACTTTATGTACGGCACATAGCACAATAAGCTGATAACGGTGCCAATACTTTTCAAACCAACGTAATGCATGTCTCCGACTAAACTTACCACAAAACAACTGGATTGTAAACTTTTTTAGTAAAACACATATTGTCTTGAAACAAAAACCTACTCTTAATTTTATTCACTAAAAATAATATTTATAAACTTCAAATACATATTTTTACCTTTCGTGCTTCATCAGTCTCTTTAAGTCCAGTCACTGCTTTAGCTCTGTAGTCCTGATTAAGTTGAACAACTTGATCTATCTTCAGCTGGTCTAAATTTGACTCACCATATAAATCTTCATTAAAAAAAATAAAAATTACAAACATGTTGAAATGAAGCATTTGGAGGGAGAAATGATAGAAAATAAATAGTGACAATGTTCACTAGTCTGGACATCTAACAATTTTTCCTAAAATCTTACCACGAAAAAAACTATGATATTATAATCACTCCAAATCCAAACATATTCAGTCTAAATTTTTAATAGAAATCTCAATATGACATTAAAAAAAGATAGATTTGGGATTTTTTAGTTTATATTTAAAAAGTTAAAGCCACCAAAAAATTAAATATCTGAAGAATTCATTTACAGCTATCCTAACTTGTTTTAGCACTTTTGATTGATAAAATCTACATACTTAATTCTCTGGCTAAGTAGGCTTCAATAGCTACACTCTGAGCATATCGCACACCATCAACTTCCAGCATTGGCACTTGACCAAAGACAGTTTCTAAAAAACAGAATTATAACTACATCAATAAAACAAGTGAAACTTAATTAAAAGAATTAAAAATAAAATTTAGCATAAATAAAATGTGCAGTAACTCACAATCCTCCAAATTTTAAATGAGATAATTTTACGGCTAAGCAAACATGACAGATAACACTAAAAAAATTACAATATAATAAAAGATTAAAATGTTAAGTATATTGTCTCAAAATAAAAATATAAAAAATATTGTGTGTGTAATATTAATGTTAGGGGACGGAGTGGTCTAGCAGTAGAGAGCTGGACTGCTCTCGAGTTCGAATCCGGGTTCAAGTCAGTAGACAGTCCCTGAGTCCACCTAACTCTGATGGGTACCTAACTCACGTTAGGGAAAGTAAAGGCGGCTGGGCATAGTGCTGACCACACTATCTCTTCATATGCCGAGGTCACAGAAACACTGAACTCTACTTCACTTGCCCTATAACCGTCAGGTTTAAAAAGGGAACTTTACTTTTACTTTAATATCCATGTGAATTTTATGATGCACAAAAAAGACTTACTGGGTTTTTCTTCAGGCCAATTTTCTATTGGAATTCTCACATCTTCGTATTCTTGACCACCCAAGGCCAAAAGTAATCTTGAGACTTCAGCTCTGCCACGGGCATTGAAGTAGATCAATTTGAGTTTAGGAGCCATTTGGGGCTAAAGGAATAGTAAATGGGAGTTTAGGGTGTGGAATGGTATTTTTGGTATTTTTCTAAAAACATATGAAAAGAGTATCATCTGAATAATATTCATGGTGCAGACTTGAATCCGTTAACTTGAACTTTAACATATGTTTTAATATGCATCTGCATAGCATTGCTTGCATCCAGTAACCTGACCTATAATATAATATATTATATAGAATCTATTCTATGTCTTAATATGCATTTGCATAGCTTTTTACCAATAAGAGCTTAATAAATGTTAAAACTCATATTTGTTTCTATATTATTATGAAGATGACAATAATAAATATGATTCGGTGGCAGATGGTCCTTCATGAATCATTAAATTTGTATGGCCTAGTTTTTATTGATTATGAATACTGAACAATGTTGGAATAGAAGCGAATAAACAATTGTCAGAATAAAGTAGTAGACTACACTCACACTTAAGTTACGCTTTTTTCACAAATGCCAATGTGGCAAGTCTTATCTAAGACTTTAGTAATACTAGATCTAGTAATAGAGATGGATAGAATCGTTTGCAACTACTAGGCTGGGATCTAGATAATATTCTATAATAATCACGTCCAAAGCTAAATAGAATGCATGTTTAGGTTAGCCTTTAAGTTTGTAGATCTAAGTAAACTGTAGATTAGATCTAGAAAGATACCTGTTGCGATGTAGATTTATCAGTTACTGTTAGACGTTAGTAAGTAAGGCATAAATGAGTGAATTGTTTTCTTTCTAGTTGGCCTTTGCCCTATTCCATAAGAAAAGATTCGGTTCTTTATTTTGTATTCGCAAAATTTAGGAGTTTACATTTGCCAAAATGTAGGAATTATCTATTTACATTAGTTATGATTGTTAGATCTAGGACAGAACCACTATGCACCTTGCGAGAAAAAATTATATTTTTCCCGCGACGAGGGGTGTGGGGGCACTTAAAATTTCCGGGGGGAAAACTGCGAACACTGGTTAATTAAGTCAAGTTTATTTTCCATATAGATCTAATTATCAAGTATAGGGCCTACTCATTTTATCCTTATCTCATTATTCGATCCAGTGTTTCTTCCAGGCATCTTTCCGAAATGGAAATTTATATAGAAAATATATAGATTTAACAGTGTCCGCCCCCCCCCCCCTCCCCCGGAAAAATAGTCCCCCCCCCCCGAAAATATCAAGTGCCGCCCCCCCCCCCCCTCTAGATAAAAGTCTGAAAGAACTGATTTGATCTGTGTTCTTTATTAAATTAACATCCATACGCTCTACAACATATAAGTAGTAAAACGTATATTAGATCTAGATCCGGAATCTACTAGAAAATTTTAACTAGATCTAGATATCTACTTTATCTAAACTCGGACTAAACTGGCCATCATAAACTAAAACAAAAATAAAACAGTGCGACATGCTAGCAATTGAAAAACAAAACAAAAATTAACAGAAAAAAACACTGATCTAAGTTAAAGATCTAATACGTACATCTATTGTAAATAATACAGCGTAGTCTGCAGTGTTATTTCAATGAGCTGATGACAAAGAGTGCCGTTGTAGCGTAGTAGTAGGCCAAGGCTAAGCTCTGATTATGTGTGATGTGGCTGTTTTGTAGTGGTACGTGTTTTTTTTCCTTATCAGACTCTCTCTACATTGACGTACGTGGAAATGGTCTACTTATCAAATGCCATTCAAATTTAGCGGGCACTAGGTCGACCACCCTCTCGACAAGGAAAAGATACATAGGTCTAATTAGCCTACATGTAGGCCACAGACACCAACCAGTTTAAAATTACAGTAGTCCATGAATGTGATCAGGATTTTTTTTTACTAATGCCCCCATCCCACCCCGACGCAATCGCTACAGGTCATCAAAAAAAGTTTCTCCCTCCCCCCCCCCCCCCCAACGTCACTCCTCATCATACTCACCACGGGCTGTTTCATAAATGTAAAATGATCAGGGGCTACAATAGGTATACTGCTAATAGAATCTGTTTATTTACAAAACATGTAACAGCGTGACATGTCAAAATATCTGAATACCCCCTCTTCAACATACACATCGTCTCAAAAGTATTTTCCTCTCACACCCCCTTTCCTCCCCACCGAATAGTTTGACATCGTTTATGGACGACCCTTATGCGCTATACTCTGGAGCCTCGCACGAGAAGAAACCCACCCCAAAATTATTAAACGTGCAACAAGCCAGAAAAATATTGAAATGAGCGAAGTCAAAAAATATAACTATGAATTTCCTGCGAAGTCATGCTCGATCGATTGCTTCATTAATCGACACCAGTGCGTATAGCCAGTGTAGCCAATTAAGAGGTCCTCCATATACAATGTAACGTTACGTTACACTGCTATGAGGGAGGGGGCTTTCGTAATTTTGTGACGAGGTGTGACCGAGCACAGAATATATATATATATATATATATATATATATATATATATATATATATATATATATATATATATATATATATATATATATATATATATATATATATATATATATATATTAGAAAGAAATCCATTTTTAAAAAAACGCATGCAATTTTGAAAGGGATTATGAGCTGAAACGCCATTTTAGGAGTAAGGGGTCAGGCTTTGTTGTGACGATCGGAAAGGGGAGGGGGGTCAAGATCTTTAAAAGGCGCGTCTTTCTGTTATTGATGTGTCTCCCCCAATGCCATACGCTTCCTATTATTTTTCAAAACTTAGATGCCAAAGTTTAAATACAATTTAAAACTATTTACTATGTCTAACACTACATTTAACGTGCAATAAGCTGTAGAGCTAAGTATAGAAAAATAATTTAAAAAAAACAACAATTGTCTGTCAACATGCAATGATAAAGTTCATTCACTCATTACAATATTATTTTTCTCGGTCTCGCAGGATGAAAAAAAAGCCCCGAAACTGAAGCTGCTGACTTGAATTTATTCTGAAAAGCCAGTGTAAAAAAATGCGCATGTAAGTATAAGGAGAGCAACTTTTTTTTAGCCGTACCTCTGTAAGCAAAATTTAACATGATTGATATCAAACACGATTGTCGAGTTGCGTGTTACGTAGTGTAGTCATAGCCTACTATAACTGCAAATTGATTTTATCAATTACAAAAGTAAATTTTTAGACCTCTCGTGGAGTAAGTTCTCTTTCAAACCTGACGGTCCACGGGACAAGTGAATTAGAATTCACCTGTTTTTGTGATCTCGGCATATGAAGAGATAGTGTGGTCAGCACTATGCAGAGGCGTAGCGACCCTTCCCGGCGCCCGGGGACAAACTTTCAATTTGGCGCCCCCCTCGGGAGCAAATTTTCAATTTGCAACTCCCCTACAACTTTCCTTTCGATTTGCACCCCCCCCCCCCTCAACTTTTCGATTTGCACCCCCCTCCCCTCAAACTGCAAAAATGCAGTTAAAAATAACATTTTAATTTGTTTTTACAACCCATTTTGGCGCCCCCTAAGGTCGGCGACCGGGAAGGTATGTCCCACCCCCTATCCCCCATCGCTACGCCTCTGGCACTATGCCCAGCCGCATTTACTTTCCCTAATGTTGGTAATCACTTAAAATCAAAGAAAAAAATCAATAGACCACGGTAGGCCAATCTGGACATAGTGCTGACCACACTATCCCTTCATATGCCGAGGTTTGCTATCGTCTATACATGAACGATTTAAAGAGCTTCCCTTGCGCACATTTTTGTGCGCTTTTTGCCGTTGCGACGTTTTCCGTAATGTGGATGCCTGTATCAGTCGGCTAAGTTAAAGTCGCCTTAGACAGCTCCAGGTAGAAGGTCATTGTGTTTAACTGCCATACTACCCAAGTTTAAATGGATATCTCAGGGCTAATAATTTGAGGACTACGTCTTCTTATTATTCTTCGTTCTTAATTGTAATATTGGATTTCTCCAAAGTAACTAAGAATTGCGTGTCAACATTGTATACACCACGTGGGCCGTTGACTCCGATTTCAGCCTGATTTTCTTTCTGGGTTTGCCGTGTGTCCATCCCCTCCCTCTGAGAAAATGTCTAAAAGAAACTCTGCCACCAAAAACTACCGTCCAATAAACTTCACTTTTTTTAAACTGAGCTTAAGACAATAACTAACATCGTCCTCAACAGAAAGTTGTAACCAAACTCACAACAAGACTTGTTATTTTTGTAATTTTTATTTTCTCACTTTATAAGTTTTGTTTACGATACATTCAAAAAGTCCACATAAAAATGCAGCCAGAAAAAAGTTGCTCCATGGAAACTTTGTACTGAAATACAATTCATTCAGCTACCGCATACGATTTCATTTTCAAATCGAATAAATTATTAAAATATAAGATCATATTTCTTATTAAAAATATAGATCTATGAGCACCAGTAATGCCTTAAAAGACTAGGAAATTTTTAATTTTAATAATTTGTTAGATTTTTTTCGGGGGTTATTTTTTTATGTTGCTAAAATAATTGCCCAGGTAAAAAAAAAATAATTACTGACAGAACCAACAGCTCTACACACTACTGATTTAAATGGCAGTAAAACTTAACATTCCTAACAAAAATCAAAGTAAAATCTTCTCTAGACTTTGTTTGTAATACTTTATAACCTCTAATACTCAACCAAAAACAGCAAAAAAAAAAAAAAGATAAAATACTACATCAATTGCACAAGTTTGCATCTAACAATAAAACTGGGGCACAAAAAAAATCTGGCCAGTTTAATGCTCTGTGGGTTTCCTCTTGGCCAAATATTCTTTAATCATTTCATGGCCTTCGATTTTGCTGTAAAGGGCTTGAAGTAATGGATGAGCTTCAAGGGTTAGGATTTTTCGGATTGTGAAGGAGTAGAGCAGATCATAGACACTAAAGTCTGCAAGAGTCAGCTGTAGAGAGGCATACAATTAATTTAGACATCATGATGAAAAACAGCAAGCGAGCTAGATCTACTAGAAAAACGAATCCCAGTGATAAAAATACTCACTGAATTTCCAACAAAGTAGCCAGTGCCGTTTTCTTTCAACAGCTTTTCAAAAATGTTGAGGTATTTTGGTACTTCAACTTCTTGCAAGTTTTTTAAAGCTTCAGCCTGATTTAAAAAAAAAAACAACAAATTATTTGAAAATAGATTTAACAAATCGTTTATACTCAAATAAGCTTCGTGTTTTACAAAAAATAAATTAAAATAAATTAAAAAGTTCAATTTCTGTTAGATTTTTCTTCTTGTTGCCATGTGTTAGACTATAACGAGTCAACATCATTTAAAGATTTTAAAGTTAATTCTGTTTGAACGATTGGGTGTAGAATAAATTAATTACTTTTTTAGTCTCATCACTTTCATAGAAAGATTTGACACCAGCTTGTAGAAAATCCTGGACACATTGGACGACTTGATCGATCTTCAGACCATCAAGGTTTGTCTTACCGTAAAATCCTGAAAAGTTAAAAAAAATAACATTTCATAGAAAGTTAATAAACATTAATATATAGATAAACATATTTTTCGTGCAAAATTGTTTTAGGCATATATATATATATATATATATATATATATATATATATATATATATATATATATATATATATATATATATATATATATATATATATATATATATATATATATATATATATATATATATATATATATATATATATATATATATATATATATATATATATATTATTCACAACTCACCACACAATCGAGCAATGTAGTTTGCCATGGCAACACTCTGTGCAAATCTCTGGCCATCGACTTCCAAAACTGGCATTTGGCCGAAAGGCGTATCTGTAATTGGTCAATCATAATTTTTTTACTCTCGGTATGCGTCACTGAGGCTAATGTCACTGACACTAATGCTATCCCAGTTTAACACAATAGACAGGTACAACATTCATGAAAAAACAGTGGCTCTTTTTTCGCTGTAGTTTACATTTTTTTGGTCATGAAGTAGACATCAGCTTGAAAAGCCTAGCCGAAAGCTATCCCACCCGCATCTCTATATGATTCCTATAACAAAAGGGCTATTTATATCTTGTTGTGGCACAGCGTGTAAAGAGCGAGATAAAAAAAAACATCCCGAGTTTGGTGTCTAGTGCGTAGGACGTTCATAAGCCCACTGAGCTGTGATGAATATCTGACTTGCAGAGTTTCTTTCTCTTCGGGGGAAAAGAGAGGGGGGTGGAAGCGAAGAACGTCTATCCACCCCCCATCCAGAACGAAAAATAATTTATAAAGAAAATTTCGCCCACCTCCCTCCAAAATATTTAGTCCGCCCCCCCCCCTTTCCAGAAAATTCTAAGCCCCCCCCCCCCCCCGGAAAATAGCGTCTAAAAGAAACACTGCTGACTTGTTTCGTGGTAAAACAGAGGCGACTGAGCGTAGTACTGACCACACGATCTCTTCATACACCAACGTCAGAAACCATTGAGTCTAGAAATATATTTATATTTTGTTGCAGCTAAAACAAAATACATTTAAGCTCTGAAAATTCCAGCACGTTAAGACACCCCCCCCCCTCATAGCGTACCCTTCTCCCGTACACCAGTGTTTCTTCCAGACTTTTTTCTCCGGGGGGGGGGGGGGGGGCACTTGAAATTTTCGGGGGGGCGGTAGACTTTCTTCGGGGGGCGGACACTGTTAAAAGTATATATTTTCTATATAAATTATATAAATTTCATTTTGTTTGGGGGGGGGCGGTAAAAAATTTTCGGGGGGGGGGGCTTCGCCCCCCCCCCCCCCCCCCCCCCGAAGAGATGCCTGGAAGAAACTCTGCCGTACACAATTGATTCGTTACTACACATTTCATGGATCTGCTGTTTTTAAAGCCAAACTGTCATCTGATCATCCAACCTCAACGCAAGGGTTTTTTGCAATAAGTATTTACTCAAGCCACCCCCGCATATCATTGCGGCGTAACTTACTGGGTTTTTCCGTCGGCCATGACTCCCTGGTGTGTCTGACGTCATCGTACTTCCTCCCGGCAGCCTCTAGCATCAGACGACACAGCTCGGCGCGTCCTCTGGCGTCGAAGTAGATGATCTTGATGTTCTTGGGTTCCGCCATTCTTGAATGAGATGAAACAAGAAAGGGTTAACGAATGTGTGTGTGTGTGTGGGGGGGGGGCAGAGGCGTAGCGAGGGGGGGTACATATGTCCCCGGGCGCCGACCTTAGGGGGCGCCAAAATGGATTGTAAAAACAAATTAAAATATCATTTTTGCTGCATTTTTGCATTATAAATATAAAAAAATATCGATAAACGCGTTGTGTGTTATACAACAATGCGCATTTTCATGAGAAAAGTATTAATAAAAATCCTTTGGCGACATGATTTATACATTTGAGTTAATTTCTATCTACCATCTAACTTAAACGAAACTTTAAAATAACAGTTGAAGACACTGATAGTGTTTTAATTCCCCCCCCCCCTAATCCCAAACCCAGTATGTAAAAAGAAAGGGGGGGGGGGGGATAATTCAAAATTAGATTTTGTTTACAGATAAAATTCAGAAGTAGAGTAGCAACCGTCTTTCCCTCCACCCTTCACCCACCTCCTCTGTTAAAAAATATCGTCCGCTACCGTTCGTTTTTTGATCTAGATCTATAACATAATATAATAACAGGAGCCAGTCGCGACAAGTCTATTTTAAACCGTCAACACTGAATCGATATGCTTGGTTGAACTTCAGTTAGCTCTCAGCTTGTCACTTGCTTTGAAAGCGTTTTTTCCTCACCTCCGCCTCAGGTTAAATTTACCGGTCTGAAATTGTAAAGCTCGCATTGTCCGAGAATGAATAGGGTAGAGTTACTTAACCTTTAATAGCACAGCAATAATGATGCTTTACACATCATTTTTTATCGCTATAATTATAGAAATTTAACCTGCAAACACCTTTTACTAAAACCTTATTTTACTAATGCATTATAAACAAACATAAGTTCTTGTTAGCAAAAAAAGGTAATTAGAATTCAGCATAAGAAAGATAACGTGATGTGGTACGTGACAAAGTGTCTCCCTTTGCTGTTCCCGTTCTCTCTCTCCCCCCCCCCCCCATCCCCTTATTTAGCGTTGGTCGTACTTTTTCATGTTCTTAGTTGTATAGCAAGGATAAACCATAACTCATTTTGGGTATTAAAACTATGACTAATACTTCCTTATTGTCGGTTCTTATACACGGCTTGTGAAGGGGAGAGAATCCAACGCAAGGTCCCGATCAGTGGTTCTTAACATGGGTTCGATCGAACACCAATTGGTTCGGTGAGTCAAGTCTCAGGGGTTCGGGGGAGGTCAAGATTCATGATCAGATTTAGTCAGTGCGGGCGACGGAGCTATGAGTCAAACAAAAGACCTTTTTTCAGGTTTTGAATGACTGGTATATTAGATTAAGCCCTCGTAGATAGCAATCGCCTGCATGTGGCTTGATATCTGAATTTTGATCAATAGCGGCTGTCAAAACATTGTACGTAATTCAAGTTACGGCTCAGGCTTCATGGACGCTACATTGTCAAGATAGTCTTAGTTACATAGGCTCCCCTCCCACACAACCCCCACAAGATCCCCTCCCACACAAACTCTTCTCCCACACAAACTCCCCCCAAAGACTCCCTTCTACACAAACTTCCCTCCCACACAGGCTCCCCCTCCCACACAAACTCTCCTCCCACACTAACTCCCTTCACACACAGACTCCCCTCCCACACACTCCCCCCACAGACTCCCCTTACACACAAACTTCCCTCCCCTAAACCTTAAAAGGTTATATTTTAAAAAAAAATCAAAGCTACGTTTAACTAAAAATTAAGGTAAAATCTTTCGCGATTAATTAATTACCAAAAAATTTTAATAGTAATTAATACACAGGTCCTTTTATTTTAATTTTTTTACAATGCTGAAAAATAAGTAGTTAATACCAGATATCCAACTGTTTTTAATCATGCACTTTCTATGGAGCAAAAGCATATAGAATCTCCATAGATCCACATCTCAAATATTACAGAATATTTCTAAGACACCCCCCCCCCCCCACACACACAAACCACGGCACAAAAATAATAATAAAGATTATCAAAAACAGTTATATAAAACTGTACTAAGTCACCCCTTCGCTTTGCAGCATCAATACTCGAACCTTTATGTCTTTTCTAACAAAAAGAAATTAAAAGAAAACTTACGCAATAAACGTATTGAGAAGTCAGGGTCAGAAGACTAAAGAGAACTTAAACGTTACAGGAATCAGGCCTAAGTATATATATAACAATTACCCCAACCACCTGACGGATTGACTGGTTACAGTAACCACCTGACGGCTACATTGGTTACAACGCACGGAACCGGTGAGAGAGGGCTTGGGAAACACCTATTTTAATGTACGCTTCTGCTCCTGCGGTGGGTTTTTCTAGAGTGTAGTGCAGCGAGCGGTCCTCAAACTTTGGTCCAATATTATTTAAACATTAAATTAATTGGAGTTATATTGTGAATAGTAATGTATGAAAGAAGCGCTAGGGCGGTTCTTGTGTTATGGATATTTCTATACTTATCGTGCATGGTCAGCTCTAGCAGAGTGTATGATACGCAGAGTGGATCATACACGGTTACTGTTTTAGTGAAATTATTAGGCCTAAATTTTGCAAGCAAAAAGATGCGATATGAAAAGTAGTGCGCTAACTCCTCCCCCCCCCCCCACACACACGTGTGTCTATTGAATAATTCCAACACGCTGATTAATTTGTCTCTTAACCACATGTTTCTACTAAGCTTACAGCCAATCAGACAGGCCTACAATCCTTCTTCAAAATTAGGTGGGTTTTTTTTTTAGTGTTTCTACATTAACTAATTATTTTTGAGCATGTTCCTTAACCACGATATCATTTGTTTTTACACACCCGAAATTAGTTTGCCTGATAGGCCTATCTGTTGGAGTTATAGAACTTGCCAGCTAGCTCTTGCATACATCAGAGAAAATAGCTGTATCTGCATTATCTCTAGTGCATAATATCAAACAACGATAAGAAAATATAACAAATGCAGATATCAGTTATATTAAAACGTTTTATTGAATACTTAAGTAGATTTTCGTACACAACAATGTTTCTTTTTAAAATTAAAAAAAACGTATTTTACTTTACAATTTTTATCTGGGTAGATTAATTAAATCTTTTGTTCACCACGAGATAATGGGATAACAAAAAGGCGAAACATCATCAAACAAAGCTTCATCTAATTAAAATTCATGTGCATCTGAACTTAAAAATTAAAGTATCATTCAGTAGTGTAGCGAGGGGGGGGGACGGGCAGGGGGGGGGAACATATATACCCGGGCGCCGACCTTAGGGGGCGCCAAAATGGGTTGGAGAAATAAATTGAAAGGTTGAGGGGGGTGCAAATTGAAAGTTTGAGGGGGGGGGGGGTGCAAATCGAAATGTTGAGGGGGGGGGGGTAGCAAATCGAAAGTTTGAGGGGGGGGGTGCGAATGGAAAAGTTTATCCCCGGGCGCCGGGAAGGATCGCTACGCCTCTGGTATCATTCAATTAATACGACTCATATTCCATACATATACGATACAATTTTATTATAGAAATAATCAGGCCAATCGTATTTAATAAATAAACAAAATTGTAATCATCGTACGAGCAGAAACCCACCCCACGTTAAATATAGCACGGAGACCATGGAACTGAGAGGAAAAATATAACCATGATTAGCAGGCGTTCTTGCACCGTCATGCTACGATCGTTAACGGTTGCTTTTCGTTCTGCTTTAAATGAATCAAATTTTGTAGACTCCAGAACGAGGCGTGTGCTCTGCACCATCTAGCACTCTACCATTGATTGGCAGCACGTCTACCGTAGCCTCGGCATCACACGTAACGCCTACTCTATGCCACGTATATTTTAAAGTGGGTGTGGTCGATCGTTAGAGCGTAGAGGCTGTCGAAAAACCAACAGTTCGGTTCCCTGATGGTCTCTCGTTCCACCTCAGTAAAAAAGAGAATGCGGCTAGGTTTTATAGTTGTACTAAACGAGATGTTCGTACCCTAAATCACAATAAAACGCTATGTTATTTGGCCTGTTAGAATGACGATTCTCATTTCTTTTCTGTTACATCTTTAATAAGTGTATGTTAATGAGCTAGGAGCCGTCTTTACATACAGTGTTTCTTCCAGACTTTTTTCTCCGGGGGGGGGGGGGGGGGGCACTTGAAATTTTCGGGGATAGACTTTCTTCGGGTGGGGGGGGGGGGGGCGGACACTGTTAAAAGTATATATTTTCTATATAAATTTCATTTCGTTCGGGGGGGGGGGGCGGTAAACTTTCTTCGCCCCCCTCCCCCCCCCCCCCCCCCCCCCCGAAGAGATGCCCGGAAGAAACTCTGTTTACCGAATAGTTTTATTTATTACAACCCTCCAGACGATCTAATAGGGGTGGTCGGGGTGTAGCATCACATCACAGACAACCATTGTGCTTATGATTTAATCTTAATTTCACACGTTTAGTTTGCTTTAATCTTAAGAGAAAGTGCAAATCAGGAGGAGACACTGTCAGTCAGAATTACCAGATCTCTATCTAAAAGCATCCAACAGTCTTGATATAACAATTACCTGAGCATCGGGTGACGTTTTATGGGGGTCCCATTATCAATACATTCAATGACTGTTTATTCTCCCCCCCCCCTGGTTTCAGTATACTGTAGCACACCCTGCCCCCCCCCCCCCGCCCCCACTACACAGCCTAAATTAACCAATATGCACACTGACTGAAAATGTCGCGTTGCGATTCCACCGTTTAAAATAAGGAATCTTTATCGAAGGAATTAGCTGTAAAAAAAAAGGATGCAGTGTGGAAAGAATCAATAGCGCTAGTTTGCTTTCAGCAGCGTGCTGTTTTTTTTTTTTGTGAGATGGTAGGCAGACATGATCTGCAGAATCAAGATCTTCCAGTATTTTGGTGAAGTTCTACTGTGTCGTTTGTGGTCTCCTGCATAATCCAATCAATAACCATTCATTAGTGAAGGCATACACATATCCCACCTACCTTATTCTTGTCTTCACCGTGATCAAATGCTCTGTTAGTTTACCCTTTGGATTACTTGACAGGCACAGTCTTAATATAGTTTCTCTATAATGGATACACATTTGGGCGTATACCATACTGGCTCATTAGCTTCTTGATAACATCTCTAATCATACCACACACCTTTTCAAAGTTTACATAGGTCATGTGTAAAGGGGGGGGGGGGGGCATTGCCACTCAAGGGACTGTTCAATAATTAAACGTAGCATGCGGTTAATGCATTAACTTTCTTGTCGAAAACTACCATGTTCATTATTCATACCAGTTCACACTTAGGACAAGTTCCCAAGATGGACCATAACTCTAATTGACCAAAACGCATTCCAAATATGAATACCATTTGTCATTTTGGCATCAATACTGAAAGTAATATTATTAGCACTTGAGTTAATCTAGCTTCAAATAAATGCCCTCACACTATTTTTTTCCATATGCATTATCTAATTTCTATAGATCTAAATCTAGATTTCAAACTAAAACGATACGACATTTAATTTTTATTTTTACAGTTATTTTATCAGCTGATGTGTTTACTTGGCTTTTATACACAGAAGTTAACTGGCAGGTTGTTAGACGGAAATAGAAAGCGGGTTTTATAAACAACACAAACTTCATGTAACAAGAAATCTAAAACCGTAGTGCAAATTATAAATTAAGCATTTGATTTAGACATACTTTACTTTAACCAGAATCAATTGATAAAATTCTAGTTATTTATTTTGTTTAGGCTTACTGTTGTTAATTTTACATTGACAAAATAAATAACGTTTACGTTTACGGTTTTGTTTAGTTTAGGCCTAATGAATCAATGATTGGCCGCTTGATCTAGAATCTAGAGTCTAGTGATTCCTCTGAGTCTAACTAAAGTCCGAGTCTCTCTAGAAGAATGATAGAATTAAGAATAGAATCACTAAGCAGATTAAGAATCTCTAGAATCTAGATCCTCATCCTAGAATCTTGAGTTAAGAGTCCAGACTTAGCTCACTTGACTCTTACTCTTCTACCTTCTAGAGTTACAGTACTAGATTTTCTAGTACTAGAGAAATCTAGATCTAGTACTAGTCTACTTCTACTAGATCTAGATCTACTACTAGATCTAGTACTAGAGGCCTAGGCCTACTATTTGTTTTTTTAGATTTCTTCATCTAACTAAACTACAGACTACTTTAGGCCTACTAAAGTACTAAACTTACATTACAATTCATGTAGGCCTAACAGCGAACAATTAGTGGTATAGATTAGACTATAGACTTATAGAGTTAAGTTATAGACCTACAGAATCTTATTATTTTTGGCTGAAATCAAATGTTTGAAATCCCAGATGATGATAATTTTTGGGATGTAAGTTATCACTTTTTTTTTACTAGATCAACAAAAATTAGCCTACTAGAATATTAGTTATAATAGTTAGATCTAGATCTAGTCCAAATAAATGTTAAACAAGAAGAAGGGAAGGCCTATGTGTCTTAAAGTATGGGTGTCGTCCTTAAATGACGTGTTATTTCGTGTTAAATCGTCAAAAAAGCGTAACGTCATTTATGGATGACCCCTATCACAATAAAGGAATTTTCTTTAAAAAGCAGTGTTAGAACACTGGTAGTTAACTAAGTACAAACGTGACTCAATGATGTCAATGCTAACCATATCCCAAACCCTAACCATATAAGTAAAGTTCCTTTCAGACCTAATGATTCTTAGTTAGGGCCAGTGTATTTAGAGTTCATAAAGTCCATCATAGTCCCAACTGCTAACCCTAATTTCTGACCCTAACACTAGGCTTGAGATTACACACTTCTTTTTCAGAAGTCTATTTTCAGACATATTAATACTCATTTTTTTTACCGACCAGTGCACAAGAAGATTTTTATTGTGTTATTAATTTCTCTATTTTCCTCACCTTGTGTATATTCGTCCCTCATCAAGACTTTCCTTTCTAAGCAGTACTGCTCAGTCTATTTATAACTTCTAAAAGTTCAAATTCAGTCTTAGTATTTATTCATTTCTCAGAATAATTCACACATTTAAAAAAATTATTTAAAGAAGAATTTAAAAAATAAGTGCTTGCAAAGATTTAAAAAGCCTAATTTTGTTTATATTTTATTACACTTAACTTATGTTATGATTTGATTGGACCTTACTTCAGCTAGTACTGTTTCAGTGTCTGTTGTTAGTTGTATTTCTGATAGAACCCAGTCTAAATATCAGCATGACGGACGATGGTGACAGTACAAGTATTAGGTGGACGTAACATAGAAGGCACATAATAATTATAATAGAAATCGCCACCTATTAATTTCATGTAATTAGCAAATGTTTGTTTCATAGGATCTTCCACTTGATGGATTAACTGATGAACCTAAGAATGTATTTAATAACACAGGTTTGTCGTACTTAATAACACTTTTTTTGAAATTTTGGAAGAGCATTTTTTAACTTAATTACTACTCTTTTTTTATCCCTAAGCTTTTTTTTTTTTTTAAATTATAAAACACCTAAAATTTAGAAAAAATTACTTTTTTAAAAATAATTTAACAAAAATTTTATTTAAATTTTAGCACCATCAATATGTTTTAAGCATTGCTTTGCTTTTATATCAAATATTAATTCACATTTGACCATCTGGCACATCTAGTATCACCAGAGATACCAACGTGCAGTGAAGATCAAAGTGATTCAGCCAACAATGCCAGAAGCTTTAGCCTGCAGAGATGCAAAAGGAAGTTTCCAGGACCTGCAGGAATTTTACCACCAACTGTAAGTTTTTACAACCATTTTAATATTGTTATGATGTTAATAAATAAAATCCCCATTTGAATCTCTGTAGTTTATAAAAATGATGGAAGTCTGTCAATGTTTTAATTGTCTGTGGCATACAAGCAAATGCTCAACCCTATTTTTTTACAATTTTAGGAGTGGGTGTAAACATTTTGTTATTGTCTGGTAATGATGGATTTGCTGTGTGAGATTAGCTCTCAGAAAGCTGGTTAAAATTTTTTCCTATTTAAAAGGAATTATATTAACAATCAACAATTTCAAATTATTTCTGATTTATATTTATTTTTTTTTTGCGCACATTAAAAATTTATAATTGAGGGTATTGAATCTGTTCTCTGTTTATATTTTTAGACTCCATCCAGTTTGATGAATGTGAAAAGTTTGCCAGAAATTGAAGCTTTGCAGGATATACAGGAAGCAAATGTTAAACAGGTTTGGTAAACTGGTCTTTGAAAGCTTTGTGATTGATATTTTAGTAAAATTATGTAAACTAAAATCTCATAATATGATTAAATTATTCAAAAGTTAATTTTTATATTGACAATTTCATTAAAATTAATAGTGTTTTAGGAAAATATAAGTGTTAACAGTGCTGTTTCTGTTCAGGGCTGATTTACAATAACCATAACTTGTTTTAAAAGGTTACACCTCTGCCATCTTCGCAATCATCCTCTGATGATGTGTTCAATGGTGAATTATGGAAGACCCTTCTGTCAGACTTGGGCACCAATGCTGCTTTGGTTCTTGAGAAATTCTCTGTCAAGTCCATGCTATTAAAAGTAAGTTAGGATAAAAAAAATTGATGGTTTTGAGTTAATAAATAGGAATTAATGTATTTTTAAATTTAGTTAGAACTTTATGTTAAGTACACTGTATATTAATTTTGAATGAAGTTCAATTATAAAATGAAGCTGCCCTTGTTCCATTGTGATATCTATAAAGAGAATACAAAGGGTATAATATACTATAGTATTGTATATGTTAAACCAAACAAATAGGATATTACAGAAATTAGAAGGGAAAAACAAAAGATATCACAAGACAAATACAAACTGTACCATAAATTAGACTAGATCTCTGATTAGAAGATTAGTTTTTAATTTTTTAATATAAAACTGCCTCCTTTTATTGGATAAAATCAAAATATTGAGACAACTTTGGTTCTGTTCTTATATGAGGATAACACTTAGAATAGCTAATTCTCCATTGATTATTCACTGTCTTATATATGATAAAGATTGTATCAGCTGAAAGTGATATAAAATGTCTTCAGGCCAGCAGAAAAGTTCTCCACCGAGGGAAGATTCCTCTACTTGTTGGCATCATTGAGAACCTGGAACTGCAGGGATCTGATGCCAGCTTTATCATTAGAGATACCACAGGTATTGTGTCGGCCATTATGTGGTTTTATCATTAGAGATACCACAGGTATTGTGTCAGCCATTATGTGGTTTTATCATTAGAGATACCACAGTTATTGTGTCGGCCATTATGTGGTTTTATCATTAGAGATACCACAGGTTATCTGAATCATTTTGTTTCTTGTGGGTTTTATCATTTGACGTGATCAACAAAACTTTGGTTAGAACAGTGGTTGTTAACCTGGGTTTAATTGAACCCCAGTGGTTCTGTGAGTCAGCCTCAGGGGTTCGGCGGAGGTCAAGACACACACCTGACACACATAATTCACATGTGAATAATAGAACTATTAAGAAGGGTTCAGTGAAAACACATATGAAACTGTTGGGGTTTGGAACCACCAAAAAGGTTAAGAACCAATGGGTTAGAACAATATTTAATGTTTCCTCATACTTAAATATTGTTAACGAGCCGACCCGCGGCATATCATACGCCGCTATTTAGTTGTTTTATTTTCTACTTTTCAGTAATTCATAATTTGTGAATTCGACAGTACCAATGCTGCCACTGAAAATATTTGCTTTAAAACACTATCAGTAGATCGTTAAGGACGATACTACCCCCATCCTCCTTTCCCCAACCCCTACCCTACACCCCCCCCCCGTGAAAGCAGCCTCCTCTTAGTTACCTCCCATAAGTTTAAAATCGTTTCAAACTAAATTATCTGCCCCTAGTAGCCGTCACTAAACCCGGCTCTACGACTGTAAACATTTAGCGTGAACCAAAGCTCACCAGACCATGTAGGGGTGGGGTGGTAGAAAGCACGCTTACAGCTTGTTTTCTAGCGTCTCCAAGAAGAGAATTATATATATAGATAATTGTAAATTTTGGATAATTTTACACTGCATACTTTTATACTATTTAAATATATTTTTTTATACTTTAGTAACTCAATATTATTTATATGTTTTTTCAAACATCTTTGTATTTATTCAACAGAATGTAATCAATATTGTGGTTTATTTTAAATTTTTTTTTTTCTATCATTGTTCCAGTATTGTTAACATTGAGTACTTTGTTTTGTTTAGGAAAAATGAACGGCTCCTTACACAGAGACTTGGTGAGAGACCCAGGCACAGCTCTACAGTCTGGATCTGTTCTTGTGCTCAGACAGGTAAGTCTAGTGTGTTGAGAAATTCTAGTGTGTTGAGACAAGTAACTCTAGTGTACCCAGACAGGTAACTCTTGTGTACCCAGACAGGTAACTCTAATGTGCTCAGACAGGTAGCTCTTGTGTGCTCAGACAGGTAGCTCTTGTGTGCTCAGACAGGTAGCTCTGTGTGCTCAGACAGGTAACTCTTGTGTGCTCAGACAGGTAACTCTTGTGTACCCAGACAGGTAACTCTAATGTGCTCAGACAGGTAGCTCTTGTGTGCTCAGACAGATAACTCTTGTGTGCTCAGACAGGTAACTCTTGTGTGCTCAGACAGGTAACTCTTGTGTGCTCAGACAGGTAACTCTTGTGTGCTCAGACAGGTAACTCTTGTGTGCTCAGACAGGTAACTCTAATGTGCTCAGACAGGTAACTCTAATGTGCTCAGACAGGTAGCTCTTGTGTGCTCAGACAGATAACTCTTGTGTGCTCAGACAGGTAACTCTTGTGTGCTCAGACAGGTAACTCTTGTGTGCTCAGACAGGTAACTCTTGTGTGCTCAGACAGGTAACTCTAATGTGCTCAGACAGGTAGCTCTTGTGTGCTCAGACAGATAACTCTTGTGTGCTCAGACAGGTAACTCTTGTGTGCTCAGACAGGTAACTCTAATGTGCTCAGACAGGTAACTCTAATGTGCTCAGACAGGTAGCTCTTGTGTGCTCAGACAGATAACTCTTGTGTGCTCAGACAGGTAACTCTTGTGTGCTCAGACAGGTAACTCTTGTGTGCTCAGACAGGTAACTCTTGTGTGCTCAGACAGGTAACTCTAATGTGCTCAGACAGGTAGCTCTTGTGTGCTCAGACAGATAACTCTTGTGTGCTCAGACAGGTAACTCTTGTGTGCTCAGACAGGTAACTCTTGTGTGCTCAGACAGGTAACTCTTGTGTACCCAGACAGGTAACTCTTGTGTACCCAGACAGGTAACTCTTGTGTGCTCAGACAGGTAACTCTTGTGTGCTCAGACAGGTAACTCTTGTGTGTTGAGACAGGTAACTCTTGTGTGCTCAGACAGGTAACTCTTGTGTGCTCAGACAGGTAACTCTTGTGTGCTCAGACAGGTAACTCTTGTGTGCTCAGACAGGTAACTCTTGTGTGTTGAGACAGGTAACTCTTGTGTGCTCAGACAGGTAACTCTTGTGTGCTCAGACAGGTAACTCTTGTGTGTTGAGACAGGTAACTCTTGTGTGTTGAGACAGGTAGCTCTTGTGTGCTCAGACAGATAACTCTTGTGTGCTCAGACAGGTAACTCTTGTGTGCTCAGACAGGTAGCTCTTGTGTGCTCAGACAGGTAACTCTTGTGTGCTCAGACAGGTAACTCTTGTGTGCTCAGACAGGTAACTCTTGTGTGCTCAGACAGGTAACTCTTGTGTACCCAGACAGGTAACTCTAATGTGCTCAGACAGGTAGCTCTTGTGTGCTCAGACAGGTAGCTCTAATGTCTCTTGTGTGCTCAGACAGATAACTCTTGTGTGCTCAGACAGGTAACTCTTGTGTGCTCAGACAGGTAACTCTTGTGTGCTCAGACAGGTAACTCTAATGTGCTCAGACAGGTAGCTCTTGTGTGCTCAGACAGATAACTCTTGTGTGCTCAGACAGGTAACTCTTGTGTGCTCAGACAGGTAACTCTTGTGTGCTCAGACAGGTAACTCTTGTGTGCTCAGACAGGTAACTCTAATGTGCTCAGACAGGTAACTCTTGTGTGTTGAGACAGGTAGCTCTTGTTGTTTTCATAGTTACTGCCATAACTTTCATCAAGTGTTCTGTTTTGTTAACCCACAACCCCAAGCTGTAGTAATAGTATGCCTGTCCTCCCAATAAGACATAAGCTTCAGAAAAGAGCATTACTAATTTACATGCAACTCATTTCTGAGCTAGTTTCTCCAAGTGTGGTGACCCCTATTTCTTGTGTCATTCTCCTCTTTAAATCTCTGGATTTTGAATGGTCTGCCTTATTTTCTTTCAATAGAGGTTCTGGCAAGGGCCGGAAATGTATTTTAAGAAGTAGGTTCAGAGCCAGAACATTAGTTGTAAATGGACTCTGTCCCCCGTCACTTAGTTAGGGTGTGAGGTGGTATTTTGTCATTTGTAGAGCAGGAACCAGAAATATTAATTCTAACTTGAACAGCTGTTTTAATACAACTAATATAGCCTAATCTAGAGTATCAATAAAAAGATGGCTGAAGTATCTACTTAATGACAATACTTGATTAGAGATAAGTGTAGTTAAACTTGACTGTGGGTGAGGATGTTGACAAAGATAGCCCTTTAGCAACATCTCCTATCCTTCCATTATATCTATTTTATGACTAAACAAAGTTAATACTAATTATAGTTTAATAACTATTGGGCTATGGTTAACCATTGATTACCTTCACAACTATATTCTAGTACTAAAAAATTGAATTGTAAATTTTAAACTCACAGCCAAAGGGAAATAACTCCATCTAGTTCAAACCAGTTTTTTCCATGCCTGACAGATGGGAAATTCAATTGTCATTGGGAGAAATTTGAGCATGGACATGTCCAGAGTGTACTGTGTGGTAGCTCTTTGTTGCTACTCCAGTTGGGTCATTGTCCAGTGTAAGGAACATTGGTCAAGTATGTGATTCCAGGACAGGATAACCAAAATCTGAGTGTATCTTTGTGTATTTTGTGGTCAGCTCTCTGAACATGCACACAGCACATTGTGCTTGATGGTTAACATGGCAGATGATGGCATTGAGTTGAAATATAATTTACTTGTCATACTGAGCCATGAACTTAAAATTATACTGTTCCAACATTAAGTATTTGTACCATTTGCTCTGAAAGATATGACATGCACACAGCACATTGTGCTTGATGGTTAACATGGCAGATGATGGCATTGAGTTGAAATATAATTTACTTGTCATACTGAGCCATGAACTTAAAATTATACTGTTCCAACATTAAGTATTTGTACCATTTGCTCTGAAAGATATGACAAACTTAGTGACAGTATCAGTTTCTTTAGTGCTATGCAGAGCATTCATTGTTTAAAATAAGCCTCAGTTATACTGTTCACTATTGTTTTAAAAATATAAATCAGAAATGTAACCTTTTCATTTTTTTTACAGAAATTAGCATTTTCCATTAAAAAAAAATTGTCTACCGATATTTTTCCATCTACCAAATATTCCAAAAGAAAATCAGAAAACATTCTATTAAGTATGAAAGTAAAAAAGCTGAAACTCAAAATGGTTTGTGTATAAAAGTTTTACCATCACATTAGCAATGGCAGAGCTTTGTGAGAAAACTGATAACAAATGCAACCAAATGTATAAGAGATTTGGTGTTACCCTTTCCATATTAAAATTTAACTGAATGTAGATTAAGCACCATAAAATAATGTGTTGTTAAAAAAGAACTGGCTGGATATAGCAAATCAGTGAGACATAAGATTGAAGTTAGCCTGAGCCTGGCAAAATCTATCTGCTTCAAGTGAAATAATTTCACTAGTATCACAGAAAAAAATAATAGTTAATACTTGAATCAATGTAGAATAACCTATCATTATAAATATTTTGTACATATATTTCATTTTTTTATGTATCATTTGGAAAATTTTTGTTTGCCTGCTGTGTTTATTCAATAGTTTCCTAGTGTACTCTTTAAAAACCTAACATTCATGTTTTTAGTGAACTTTTCAGTTTTTAAATATTGAATGTTGTGGGTGAATTTAAGAAAGGCTAAGGTGGAGAATACTGGTCTACTCATCAACCATTATCACCTTTTCATTTACAAAATATACAAAACCTTGGCCAGGTTCAAAATTTGTTAAACTTTTAGGATAATCTTTTTGTTTCTTTCTTGATTACAAGATGTATTTTCTCCTTGACCTTGGCCAGGTTCAAAATTTGTAAAAATTTTATGAAAATCTTTTTGTTTCTATATTGATTACAAGATATATTTTCTCCTTCAGGTCAGTGTGATCAGCCCATCCCCTCGCACACACTACCTCAACGTGACACCTGGCAACATCGTCCTCATCTACACAAGCAGTGATGGGCGAGGTGTCTTCAAGAGACCCTGGTCTCCTCTAGCAGCCTCGCCAGACACCAAACTATACACCAAGGACACCGTGGAAATTCCTTCCCTTAAAGAAATTATTGAAGAGTCCGAGCTCGAGCTTTCATTGTCATTGCAGAATTTCCGTCAAAATTTATCAAAACGTCCGTCGTTGTTATCTCCCATGTCTGATAACTCTTTCACCAGTTTCTCTCCTGGTAAACCCAGGTTTAGCTCTCATCCTGCAGGTTCTAGACACAGTCTTCATATGGCTCAACCTGGTGCCAGACATTTCTCTGGTGATAAGAGACAGCTGTTCTCATCTGTACCCCAGCAGTCCCCACACTTGAGACCCACTGCAGGACCTAACACCAGCTACATGATCAGTGGGGCTAAAGCTGTGAGGTCTGGCACCAACAACAACAGTTGGACTTCAGCGCCACAAAGCTCTGCTGTTACACCTGAACTCCGTAGTTTAGATAGAGAAAAAAGAACGTTTCCGTCTTTCAATGTTGAACTATGTGATGATAGTTTTCCTGATGATGATAATGAAATGCTTGAGTTATGTGATGCTGTCAATGACCATGAAACTTCTCAATCTTGCGACACTGAGAATTTAATAAGTGGAACCAAAAATATAACTGCGAATAGACATTTTGAAGACTCTAGAATAACAGGCTGTATAGAAACCAATCCATCTAGTTCTGACAATTCTGGAACTTCAAATTTATCAACCGGTGAGGGAAAAATATTTCGGTTCAAACGCAGTCGGACTAACTCACACCCCGCGTGTGGCTCTCCAGCCAAAAAAACATTGTTTGAGCCTAACCTTTCTTCCTCTAAAGACTTCAGTGTAACACTCAAGCCAACAGAATCAGACAAAAAGCCATTGTTTGAGCCTAACCTTTCCTCCTCTAAACACTTCAGTGTAACACTCAAGCCAACAGAATCAGACACAAACAAACCTGACCGATTGACAGGCGCATTAGAGGAACTCCTGCACGGTAAGGGTTTAGTCAGTGACAACAGATGTCAAGCTGAAGCTGATTCTAAGAAAAGTTTTGACAGAAGTTCTTTCCAGCTGGGTACCAGGAGTTTGGTGCCTGTGGCTCAGGGAGTTGAACAAGTTTTATTTCCTCAATGGGAGGATGGTAAGGATTTTATTATATGGTAAATAAAAAAAGTAATGTCAAAAGAAAAACCACAAGAAACAAAAATGATTTGCCATTGCCATTTGTGAAAAGAATTCAGATGAAGAGTGAAGTTTGGCACTTTATTTGTGGTGTTTTTTTTCTGTTGGACCATTTTTTGTAAAAGAATAATAATTTTCATTTTCAAAGCTTACTGCTGGTTTTCAGTACTGTTTTTCACAGTGCCAACAAAAAACCTATTATAAAACTTTTTGAGATGTAAGGCTTGTCCCTGCCCCCCTCTACCACAGGTAGATAATGCCTGAATGAGCCCCCCCCCCCCCCCCTTTGTTATATTTCCTCTTATACTACTTATAGCTATAAAATCAGAGATACAATTGATACATTGTGTAAAGATGGGTCAGCCACTCCCCTTTTAATCCATTATTGCCCTAAACAATTTGATTTTCTATGTTTATTTACTTCTAAGCTATTTCAGTTCTTTCACTACTAAAAACAATCACTGCTTCTATCACTACTTAAACAATTTTTATGTCACCTTCCATTATTACTAAAACATTTTTTGTCTAATCTTCCATCACTACTAAAACAATTTTTGTGTTGCCTTCCATCACTACTAAAACAATTTTTATCTAAACTTTCATCACTACTAAAACAATTTTTGTGTTAACTTCCATCACTACTAAAACAATTTTTGTGTCACCTTCCATCACTACTAAAACAATTTTTGTGTCACCTTCCATCACTACTGACACAATTTGTGTTGCCTTCCATCACTACTAAAACAATTTTTGTCTAACCTTCCATCACTACTAAAACAATTTTTGTTGCCTTCCATCACTACTAAAACAATTTTTGTGTCACCTTTCAGATTTAAATGACGACCTACTGCTGTCCCAATTAAGTGAAGAGTTTTAAGAAGCCAGCCCTTACATTTAAACGCATGTATTATTTATAAATAAATATATCTTTTGTTTTGTTTTTTTAAATTGTTTTTTTTTTTATACTGCATCAATTTAGGTTAGATTCTGACTCGCTGGAAATCTGCGGTCAGTTTTTTTTCTTATAAGGCAACATATTGGAGGTACAGAATGCGGTATTAGACGTGGCGGCCAATAGGACAGATGACGTTGAGTTTGGTTTAAGAACTATAGTCAGGTCTAAGCCCAGCTTCCTTTATTTTCACAAACGTGAATCATATACCCAGGTGGTTAAACCTAAATCCTATTCACATTTTTATTTTTAATATTATTACACCAGGAAGCAAAATAAAGCTTTAACTGTGGAACTGATAAACAGTTGAAACAAATTAAAAAAAAACGTATTTAGTTTAATACTCCTGTAGTAATGCAGATCTAATCCAACGGCAGCCGTGGCATTAATGAGTTGTTTCCCTTGGCTTAGTGCTGCACTGAAAAACATCGGATTTACCCGAAGTGTGTTAGGACTATTAGTTCAACGCATGAAATTTGTTTTAACATTACATTTGTTATCTGATTAGGATCTATGTTCTCAGTACTTCTTGTACCTGCGTTCTTAGTTATCTTGTACCTGTGTTTGTTCTTAGTACATCTTGTACCTGTGACATCTTGTACCTGTGTTACAGTACATCTTGTACCCGTGTTACAGTACATATTGTACTCGTGCTTACATCTTTTACCTGTACTCGTGCTTACATCTTGTACCTGTTACAGTACAACTTGTACCTGTTACAGTACATCTTGTACCCGTGTTACAGTACATATTGTACTCATGCTTACATCTTTTACCTGTACTCGTGCTTACATCTTGTACCTGTTACAGTACATCTTGTACCTGTGTACATCTTGTACCTGTGTTACAGTACATCGTGTACCTGTGTTACAGTACATATTGTACCTGTGTTACAGTACATATTGTACTCGTGCTTACATCTTTTACCTGTACTCGTGCTTACATCTTGTACCTGTTACAGTACATCTTGTACCTGTGTACATCTTGTACCTGTGTTACAGTACATCTTGTACCCGTGTTACAGTACATCGTGTACCTGTGCTACAGTACATTTTGTACATGTGCTACGGTACTTCTTTTACCCGTAACTATGTTGACAGTAGGCTTACATCTTTTACACGTACTCTTGCTTACAGCTGTTACCTGTACTTTAGCTTACATCTTTTACCTGTACTCGTGCTTACATCTTTTACCTGTACTCGTGCTTACATCTTTTACCTATACTCTTGCTTACATCTTTTACCTGTACTCGTGCTTACATCTTTTACCTGTACTCTTGCTTACATCTTTTACCTGTACTCGTGCTTACATCTTTTACCTGTACTCTTGCTTCTTTTACCTGTACTCTTGCTTTCATATTTTAATTGTGCCTCTATTCTGAGTACATCTTTAACTTCTTTTATACTTCTATTTTCATGCTTGAACATTCTTCCATAAAAGATAACAGCACATATCATTAAAAATATATTTATTTCTTATCCATTAAGTAGAAGACATCTAGAACTTTCCAACGATTGCCGAACAAGTCAGTCCATTATACATCATTAATAAAAACAAATCAATCCAGTCAACATCATTAATGAAACAACAATTCCATCCAGTGAACGTCACTAATGAAACGCCAGCGAAAGCAACAACTATAAAACAGAATCCGCCCAGAAATTGATTACTCGGTTATTGCGAAGTTGTTTTCCTGAAGTCCTCATTAGACTAGATCGCTCTTGTTGATGGAGCTACCAGGCTGGTGGGGGGGGGGAATTGCACTTAAACGCTAAACTACAGCATAAACCCATTCAAAACAACCAGTGCTCGACTCTTGTTTTGTTTAGTTGAGCTGAAGAACGAGTTAGAGCTAGAGCTAAGGTTTTTGGTCAGAAAACAAGCTATGGTTTGTGGGCAGGGTTTCTTTCTGACATTTTTCTCCGGTAATGGGCCATTTGAAACTTCTGAACCCCCCCCCCCCCCCCCTCCACTGGTATTGGTGGCGTGTCGTTTTGACTTTGTTGATTCCCAGAATATCTCAGAGTGATTTTTCTCTACATTGTGTCTAGTATTAGGATACTAGCATTCATTATCATCATCAGCGTTCCTTGAGGAGCATTGGTCATCTATCAAAGCTTTCTACTCACCATGGTCTACTGTCACTTTTTTTCAGCGGTTGCCACACCCACCCCCAGAGGCTTAGCGACCGGGACTGGTTGGTACATGTCCCAGGGCGCCGACCTTAGGGGCGCCAAAATGGGTTGAAAAAAAATTGAAAGCTCATTTTACCTGCACTTTTGAATTCTAAATATAAAAAGGATATGGGGGGGGGGGCAATTAAAAGTTTGTTCCAGGGCGCCGGGTGGGGTCGCAACGCCTCTGTCCACCCCCAACCTTTTACTTACCTTCTTCCAGCACGCTACGCCCCCATGTCTTCCTAGGTCGACCCCTGCGTCGCTTGCCCTGGGGGTTCCATTCCAAGACCTATCTGGTTCTATTGCCTGTATCTATCCTAAGCGTGTACCCCACCCATCGTTATTTCCTCTTCCATTATTTGTCTTTCTATTGTTTTCTATCAACAGCTCTCCCATACTCTATCGTGACCTGCCATTTAATTTTTAAAAATTTTGTTACTGGCATTGGTGCTCTATGAAAAATATTTTTATGGTACTTTTATAATAGCCAACAAGACACTACAGTATCGTATTGATTTTTAAAAACCGCTAAAGCCGATAAGTTTAGGATCAGAGCATGGATTACTGGCAGAACAAGCAGGTTGGTGTGAAAATAGCAGTAGTGAAGTAACCTTTTAGACCTGATGCCCCCCACCTCAGGATGAAGCTTATCTTGTCTGCGTGCATTATAATATTAGTATGGTCAGCCCTACGCCCAACCGCTTTATTTTCTCCAATTACAACCCGGGTACCCGTCATAGGTGAGTTTGCTCAGGGACGTCATTTGGACTAGATCCAAAAAAAAACCGAACTCGAATTTTTTTTCATTAGTAATAAATCGTGTACTCGACCACACTATCCAATTACCGACCCAACTTTTCACGCTGAAGTCAATAGGATTATTATTTTCACGTACCCCCCCCCCCCCCTGCGCCTTTATCAGAACCAGGAGAACCGCCGATCTAGAACCGCGGGTTTACGGGGAGTGTAGGGTCTGCTGGGCTGTACCTGGTGATCCTGTCCTGGTGCCAGGAGTTAATTTAAAAACACGACCAGGTCACCTCAACATCGGCACCGTTTATTTTTTCTCCAGAAGGCTGCAACAGGTTTTTTTTGTGTGTGTATGCCTGCCGTGCCACGGTTTAGAGAGGAAAAAAATATACGCAGTGGGGGTTTTGGTGGGTAGGTGGGGGTTTCGAAGGGGGGTCGCCATGTTCTTACACCACATTTAACCTATGACCCATCAGACGCGATTTGCTACAGTGACGTTTCCATTATGCCTATTCTTACATCATAGAAGGTTTTAAACGATTATTTATAACGAGCCGACCCGCGGAGTAGCATACGCCGCTATCAGAGGCCAGGTCACCTCAACATCGGCACCGTTTATTTTTTCTCCAGAAGGCTGCAACAGGTTTTTTTTTGTGTGTGTATGCCTGCCGTGCCACGGTTTAGAGAGGAAAAAAATATACGCAGTGGGGGTTTTGGTGGGTAGGTGGGGGTTTCGAAGGGGGGTCGCCATGTTCTTACACCACATTTAACCTATGACCCATCAGACGCGATTTGCTACAGTGACGTTTCCATTATGCCTATTCTTACATCATAGAAGGTTTTAAACGATTATTTATAACGAGCCGACCCGCGGAGTAGCATACGCCGCTATCAGAGGCGTAGCGAGGGGGGCGGGAGGGGGGGACATATGTCCCCGGGCGCCGACCTTAGGGGGGGACGCCAAATTGAAAGTTTGGGGGGGGGGGGGGTGCAAATGAAAAGTTAGAGGGGGGGGGGGTTGCATATGAAAAGTTCGATGGGGGGGGGGTGCAAATCGAAAGTTTGTCCCCGGGCGCCGGGAAGGGTCGCTACGCCTCTGGCCG